GCCTCGGTCACACCAAGCATCAGCCCCAGGCCCAGGAAGATGACAGCCACCCAGCACTCCCACCCGGGAGTTCCTGACCAGGCTCCTGCTCTTGCTGGGCCTCCGTTTGCCGGCCTCTCCAAGGGCAGGCCGCACACATGGTCAGACGAGGCCACCTCAGCCATGGACCCCTGGTGACCGGGGTCCGAGGTGGCCAGGAGCAGGCGAGCGCAGCCTTCTGCCGCCGTCCCTCACCCACCTGTACTGGAAGGTCATGTTGGTGATTTTGATCTTGATCTCTTCGCCCAGACGGCGCTCGCCAGTCATCTCGAAGAGCTTGCTGGCCATCTTCTCATATACCTTGGCGTTGCGCTTCGTCTGTTTGAGCTCCTCGAAGAACTCCTCCCAGACGAGCATGAGGCCGCGCATCTCGGCGTCCGTCCAGTTGCGGGCCCGCCGGTGCTTCTCCGTCGGAGGAGACACAAGGTAGCTGGGCACGTCGGCGGCCGCCATGCTGGAGGCCCCTGTGGGGTGAAGGACGGTGCTCAGGTGAGGCCCCAGGCCCGGCCAGCGTACCATGGGCGCAGGCAGTGCGCTCGCTCCCTCGCTTGCTCGCTTGCTCGCTCCAGGCAGCGCCACGCTCAAAATGGGGCCTACATCTGACAGGCAGGAATTTAGTTAAAAGCTTTTAAACGGGAAACGTCATTTTGATGTCACGTTTCCATAGCAACAGAGCAACGGCATAAGCTACAACAACAGAAACCTTTTAACTGAAAGCACAGGAATCAGGGCCGCACTGACGGGCCATCAATATTGCAGGAACCGGCCGGCCCAACCTGCAGCCCAGCTCCCTCTTCCTCTCACCCGGCTGCTCCTTGGGCCTCACAGCCCCTGGGACAGCCGCTCCGTGGGCCCAGCAGGCTTCCCTGAGGCCTCGTGACCCCCCCCATCTCACCTCACCTGGCTCACGCAGGCCAGGGAGCTGGGACAGGACAAGCCGAGCCACAGAGAGGATGGACAGATTGGTCCACTGAGGAGCCTATGGCTGCTCTGACAAGGGGGCTGCTAGTGCTGTGGGGTCCCTCACTCTTCCCAGAAGACCCCCACTAGGCTGGCCTGAGGGGGTCCCTCAGGCCACTCTGATAGCACGAACTCTTAAGGCCCTGCCCCCCTCATTGGCCCCACCCACTGAGCACCCTGAGCCTCAGGTCGTGTGGATACAAGGAACCAGGCTAGCCAGAGCCTGGCCCTGGCCCTGTAAGCAGTTCAGGCCAGCAGGGGCCGAGTCCTCCCCTTGGGCAAAGGCAGGGGCAGGAGCCCTGCACTGGTGGTGGAAACAAGCACTGTGCGGAGATGAGGAAGAGCCCTCGGGAAAACTGGGAAAAGCCTAAGAAAACTCATGGGAAGCGCTGGACACCCCGGCAGTACACTAGGGCCAGGTGGGGCGTGCAGGGAGCTCCTGCAGAGCCACAACCACAAGGCTGTGCAGGGGACACAGCGCCCAAGGTGGGCCGAGGGCCAGGCTGGGCACGGGACACCTGCCTCTGCAGGGCTGGGCAAGGCCTGCACCTCAGGCATCCGTGGGAGCCAGGCCGGCAGGAGTGCGCCGTGGAGGGTCTTCCAAGGGGAAGGCTTGCTTCAGGGCATCCATAGCCAACACTTATTTTTTGCCTGTCTGGAGCTTGAACTCAGGGCCTGGGCACGGTCCTTGTGCCTCTCTGTGCTCAAGGCTGGCGCTCTACCACTTGAGCCCAGCACTACTTCTGGCTTTTTCCGTTTATGTGATGCTGAGGAATCAAACCCAGGGCTTCATGCATGCTAGGTAAGCAGTCTACCACTAAGGCACATTTCCAGCCATGACTAACAATTAAAAGGTAAAATTCAAACAAGAGTCCACGAAGCCCAAGGCCCGGTGGGCCAGTACACCACCGACAGGCCTGCTAAAGCCCATGTCCCCCCCGTTCAGCAAGGGAACGGCGAGCGCCTGTCCGTCTTGGACTTGACCAAAGGGAGGAGGAGCTGCGCCCTTGGAGAAAGGGGCACACGGGGCCCATAAGCAACGGCAGCCGACCCAGGAGCTGCCCAGCCTGGCTGCAGCATGTGGCATGGGGAGGAAGCCTCATGGAAGTGTCTGGGGGACAGCAGGCATCCGTGGCAGCCCCCGGAGGGCTCACTGGCCTTGCCATTCACCCCCACGCCTGGTGGCGCCCCTTCCTCTGGCTCTGGGGGGAGGGACTCGGGGACATGTACCCAGCGCCCAGGCATGCAGCCCCCTCCAGATGCTCACGGCTGCTGTACTCAGGGCGCTTGTGATGGCCCCCTCGATTCCACTGTGCTACGGGAAGTCTGGTCCTGCTGCTGGCCTGCCAGCTCCCGGCCGCCCTCTAGTGTCCAGTGGAGGCCTGGGCCTGGCTCTCTGAGCTCGGAGGAATGTGTGCAGGGTGCTTAGAGGGCCCCTTTCTCCAGAAAGCCCCTGCTTCTCTGGCACGGGAGTGGACGCTGTGGAGGGAGGCTGGGGACCGGCCCCCTGGCCTTCGCAGTCATGTGGAAATGGCCCCCGCACGCATGGAGAGACAAACAGCTTTGGAGTCGTCTTACCACAGCCCCTAGCCTCAGCATGGGGACCACAGGGCCTGAGGGGGACCACCAACCCCAGCACTGCTCCTCCAGCATCCTGGGGGAGCCATGGGGCCCCTTCGGCCCCACCCAACCCCTTCCACAAATCCTCTCAGTGCTTGAGCTGGCATGAGTCCCTGGCTGGGGACAGCTGCCGACGATGGACGGCACTACTGGCGCTTGGGTTCCTGTAGCCAGATGTTCCTAAAGGAGGCGCCAGTACCCCTGCCTGCCTGAGTTTGGTGGCAGTGTAACCAGCAAGGGCCGCCTTATGCCCCCTCCCAATCCCAGCAGCACCTGCAGAGGTGTGGCTAGGTTCCTACCTTCTCTTCTCAGCTTTGGGGTACACTGGAGCCTTAGAACAGGAACCGCCCAGGGTGGGGGCTCCTCTTAAGCAGAGCCTTCACCTGGGCCTCCAATAACAGGAACATACTGGATTGGCCAAGCCAGTACCCCCGCCTAGGGACCTGTGCCTGTCCCAAGGCATGCCCTCCATACCTTGGCACAGCTGCATGGCCTGCTGGGACCTCAGTCGCTGTGGGACGGGCCCAGGGTGGGTGCCCGGCAGCACCTGCAGGGAGAGGGAGCAGTCAGCCCAGAGCGGGAGCCAAGGCCCGGGGCCGGGTCTCAGTGCTCCCTCAATCACGAGGCTTAGCCCAACGCGGCCCACCTCACTCAGCACTTGTGGCACCTGCTCTGCCTGGGCCGGGCCAGGCTCAGGAGCACAAGGCCCAGGACAGAACACGGACAGCACGCCGGGTGCCAGGCGCATCTGGAGCACAGTCTGGAAGGCCTGGAAGCACGCATGTACCAGTGCGTGTGCCAACATGTGTATACACATACCTGTGCATGTGTGTCAACACGTGTATACACACACCTGTCAGAGTGAATAAGTGAGCAATGGCCAGAGGTAGCAAGGCCAAGTCCAGGTGACCTAGAACAGCTCAGAAACTAGAACTGCATGGGAGAGGCAAACCACCCCTGGGGGGCTGAGAAGGGTCCTGGGTGGACAGCAGGGGACTTGGGGGTCCAGCTCGTACACTGGGGGCTGCCATCCTTCTGACCCAAGACCCTGAACTTTTAGCCCTGTCGTGGCTGACGGGCTGCCCTGACCCACTGGCCACATGGGTCCTGCAGGAGCGCCGTAGCCTGCGGCTTCAGGAAGGTGGCCACTCCAGCGCTGGGCTCACGCTGGTCCAGGTCCCTGGAGACTTCCTTGGTGCCTCAATGCGCTGCCTGAGAGCCTTTCAAATCCAGTAACCAGTGCTCCTGGCAGCTCCAAGACACCCAGAGCTGGCGTGGGCACTCACCTCACACTGGCCGCCACCCTCACCCCATGTGGTTAGGTGCTTCCTTTGGGAAGGTGCTTCAGAATGCTTTCAGAAGGAAAACATAAACAAAAGCCGCTGCCGGCAGGAGTGTCCGTCCCAGGGGGTGGTGGGAGAAGAGGGGGCCTGACCACCTGCCTCCAAGCCTCGCCCCCGCGAGCTCCCCTAGGTTGGCAGACAGGGCCCGCTCTGGCCCTGTGTGGTTGTTGGAGCCAGTGGGGCATGCTGCCAGCCTACACCAGGGGGCCTGCCCCTCTCTCATCCAATTGGCCCCATTCGGCAGGTGTGTCAAAGGTCTGCTGTCCACGCCTGAACCAGGGTGAGGGGTGCTTCGTTCCACTAGTGATCTGAGCTCAGCGAGTTCCAAAGGGCGTGGCCGCTGGGGGTCCAGGAGTTTAGTGACCTCCCGCCTGCCCCCCACCAAATGCATGTGGTAGGGCCACTGACAGGTCACCCTGTCTGTGCAGGGAGAGGATGGGATGCTTAGATCACAGCCTGGACCTCACAGAACCTGAGGAGGCTGCAGGCCTCTCCTGGCCTCACCCACAGGGCCAGCTCCTCTGGGGAACCGTGACATCTCCCTCCAGTTAGCTGCAAACAGCAGGCATTCAGCAAGTGCGCACCGAATACAGGGCCCGAGGCTACGACCCTGAGCACCAAGCTCTGGGGAGGGGCCGAGGAAGGCACCAAGATGAACAGAGCATCTGGACAGGAAGGACCTACAAGCTGCAAGGGATAGGGCAGGCACAGTGGCCAGCACAGGCTGAAGGTGGGAAGGCCAGTGTTGGGAGTGGGGATGGGGTGGGTCAGGCACACAGGGGCCAGTGGTTAGGGAGGGGACCAGAGAGGCCATACAGGGCCTCCAAAGCCAACCCCGTGCTGTGTCCAGAGCCTGGGAGCCACCGTGGAGGCAGAAACAAGGCCATAGCCAAGGCCTGGCCAGTGAGCTTCCAATGTCATCGGAGCTCTGCCAGTACCATCTGCCAGAGACGGAGGCAGAGGCAGCCCCCCGGCCTGACCAGGCCCCTGCCGTGGCCGGGGAGGTGTCCGAGCAAAGCACGCCTCACACAGTACCACTGGTGATTAATTGTTCCTTTAATTTGTCTGTACAGTGTCTGCAGCAGTTTAAAAAAAAACAACTAAATATACATCTCATGTCAGTCCTTCCTCTTGGAAGTGGGCAGCCAGGCCTGGGCTCCGGGACTTGCCCATCGCGGCCCTGCTGACTCCGGGGAGCCGATGGCCCGCTCCCGGCGCTGCTGCCCGCGCGCGCAGTGCACACGGGGCCTCCACCATGGCCACAGCTCGGCTGGCAGGTCCCCAGCACCATGGCGCCCAGCCAGCTCGCAGCACAACTCTGTCCCCACATGCCCAACTGTGTCAGGCCCTGCCTGGCCCTTCTAGGCCCCCTTCAGTTGTCACAAGTCTGTTTGGGCAGACTTCCGCCCGGCCTCAACAGCTCTCCGTGTCTTCCGTACTGACCTTAGGCGGCTCGAGGACCCCGAGTATGGGCAGTGCCGGTGACAGTCCCAGTAGGGAGAGACTGAAGTCCACGCGGGGATGTCTGCCAGGAGGAAGCTTGCAGGTGGCAAGAAGAAAGTACCTTCCACCTCCACAAACACCTGGCTAGTCCCAGACCGCCAGGTGGCCACGAGCCAAGGTATTGCTGTGTAAGACCCAGCCCAGCCGGGCTCCGTGGTGGGCAGGCACCGGAGGCTCCCCAAGAAGTCCCTGTGTGCCTTCCGGTGCCTTCCCTCCTGAGGGGTGCAGGTGCAGGCAGAAACAAGAGCAAGAAAGGACACTTGACAGCTGGGAAGTCACCTACATAGGCCAGTAGAGCCAGCAGAGAAAGGGAGGCACATTTTTGGAGAAGAAACATGCTTAAGTGCATTGCCAGATAATTCTACCCTGGTTTCAGTAAAATCTTTCCTGATAGTACCAGCAGGAAACAAAAATAACCTTACCTCCCCCCCACACACAAAAAAACTGACCACCAAAAAGCGGTGTTTTCAATGAAATTTCAGAATCCATACATTTGGAGGAACTTGATAAAGTCTCGGGTCCTTCTGCGGAGTCAACCAGATGACGCAGCTCCCCGTGGGCTCCCTGGCGGCGGGGCCCTTCTCTGTTGAGTTCCACTCCTCAGGTGCTTGGGTCACCCAGCCAACGTTCCATGGCGGATCTCAGTTCAGTGCCAGGAACCACACAGGTGCGTCCAGAGGCCTGGCACATCTGTCTTCAAGTGTGTGTGTGTGTATACAAATAGATTCGTGTGTGCATGCACATGCGCACACCTTACACGATTAGACACGGGAGCTCATGTACGTTTCTGGAACACAGGGCAGGTCTTTGGGTTGACGTCCCCACCAAGAAGGGCTATCAGAGCCAACAGAACCACGCCGAGCCCAGGACAGGGCCCCGAAGGGCCCGGCTCCACACTGCGCACTCACAGGGCTATGTCTCACATGTAAGCACACAGCCAGGAGCAGCATCTGGCCTGTTGGAACAAGCTGGGTGTGGGGCGGTAGCCCACAAACACTCCCAGCGGGCATTCATGGGGAAAGCTGGGATGAGAAGCAGGAGTCCTGGATAAGGGAGAGAGCTGGTGACCTCCTTACTTCTCACTAAAACCCGCAAGGTCCTCCTCAAACTCAGAGCCTCTTCTCTGCTCAGGCCAGCTTGGGAGGCCCCTGCCGGGACTGGCCAAAGACTCAGCAGTGGGGCTGCAGTGGGGAGCCCCCTCCCGGTGCCCCCCCCATGAGCACAGTGGGCAACTCTGCATTCTGGCTGTCCCCACCTCCCCTCTCCCCCCAAGGGAGTGCAAGGGTCTTGGGCAGTTGATTCATTGACAAGACTGACAAGCAGTTAACTAAAAGCTCCCTCCTTTGGAAAACAGTACCTGAATCATCATGTACCAAGGTAAACCCTGAAACATCAACCACTGGGCTAACTAGCACACAGGTCACCAACCATGCAGGCCAGCCTCCAGGTGCAGGGAGGCAGTGACTGCCCTACCACCAAGTCAGACAGCAAGCAGAACTTCCAAATCAAGCCAAGAAATCAGAGAAAGGCTTTCTGTCCTGGGTTCATCTTCATTTACATGGGCACCCGGGAGCTCTTGGTGGGCTCGCAGACCGGCCCCTGAGCTGAGCTCAGCTGCCACACACCCCTCCTCCTTGCCATCTCACCCTGCCTGAGATGGAGCCCCTTTGCGGGCTCTGATGCTGAAAGAAGGCCTGGGTAGGCGCAGAGCTGGGAAAGGAAGGGAAAGAGGAGGTGTTGGGAGTTCACCCTTACCATTTACTGGAACACTATGCTTTGTTCTTGACGAACAGAAGCCTAGGCAAAGTAGAGCACAGTGACACCCTGGGGCTGCCGGTCAGGTACCTATTTGGACCCACTGTGCAGAACAGGCAAGGGATGGTGTATTCAACACTGCTGGCCAGCTCCATGGAGACCACCACCTGGAGTCAGCTCAGAACTAGTTATCAGAACCAACATTTCTGGGCGCTAGAGACCGCTCACGGCCGGCCTTCCTGACAGCGAGAGGAGTGCTGCAGTGGGCGTGGACCCGGACGGCGGACAGCAGCTCTTCGCCGCCCCTGGAGCCAGCCTGAGGAAGGGTTTCTGCTGTGGGCACCCGACGGCAACCTCTGTCTACATTCTAAGTAAATGTGAATGCATAAAAAAGGGAGACGTGCCACCAGGTATTAGGACACTACAGGAGGCACCGGCTGAGCGGACGGAGCAGCTGGAGGGGGCGTGGCAGCCTGGGGCCCTCCCACCTCCAGGGACGTGATCACATGCAGCACAGGCCTTGCAAATCACACACTTTACACGGGCATAGGAAGAGTTACATTTAAAATTAATCTCTTTACTTACAGATGATTAAGTTTTAAGTCCTGAGAACAACAGAGAACGGGAGACAGGCGCTAGGCGCCTGGCACCCCAGCCCCAGCTGGCTGCACACCACAGCGTCTGTGTGCGGACACCGGTGCACCAGGCGTACCCTGTTCGGGAGACGCGAACGTGTGCCAGCCCACTGGGCTGGTGGGAGTCTGCCTGCGGGACAGGAGGGCTCAGAGCCAAGACTCCTGCCCCAGGGCAGCTGCCGCCTGGTGAGCACTCGAAGGACGCACACCCCACTGACTGGGACTGGCACCAGACACAGCAGGGCCAGGACGCAAGCTCCACCCCCGACACGCACATTCCCTGCATGGCTGCCGCCGCCGCTGCAGAGCACTGCTGCTATGAGTTATCCCACACTGCTAGCTGCCCCCCAACATTGCAAGCAGAAGCCTGTGGTGGTCCAGGCAGCCACAGGTGAGGCAGGCGTGTGCTTGCACGCTCGGCCCAGGCTCCTGGGCTCTGGCTCCCGCAGCTACTAAGCCTTCCTGCCACAGGTGCTCAGCAGGCGGTGACCTTATGGACATTTCGCAAACACGTAAGTAGCCGATGATACGGGCCTCCTGGTGTGGCAACCACTTCAAACACAGACTGGAAGGCCCTGCGATCAAACTCCTCCTCTATCTGGTGTCTGTAGAAGTCTGTGGCAACCAGGCAGAAAAGGTTCACATCCACCTGCTCCAGCTTGCCCATCCTGCTGATGAGGTGCGGAAGGCTGGTGAGGAGTCAAGGGAGAATGCTGGCAAGGGTGGGGAGGGGCTCCCTGGGGAACCCTGTGCGCAGGCTGGCGGGCTGCAGGAACACCAGCACCTATGCCCCTCTCCCTGCAGCCCAGCTCTACCACGCGGCAGCACTTACCTGACACAATGCTGGTAGCCGGGACCCCCACACCCCGGCTCAATGCAGGGAAGGCCGTGTGTGGCTGCTGGCTGGGTCTGGCCAGCACAAGGGAAGGCAGGGCTGAGCTGTCGGCACTGCCGCAGCCACTCTGAGCAGAGCCTCTTGTGGTCTGTTGAGGGAAGGGGTACTAAACGGGAACTCCTAGCTGGCAGCACTGTGGGGCAGGAGCTGGCTCTTCACTGAGGACTTTCCCTGGGAGGCGGCCGTGGCACAATGACACATGCTAATGAGAAGCAGCACTGGGAAGAAAGCCAGGGGGCAGAGCATGCTAGTGGATGGACCACCGCAGGGCCAGGGGCTGACCCGAGCCGCCCCTCCTCCACCAGCCTCTAACCCTAACCAACATGGCTGCCACACTGCAGACCCCTCACCTCCCGACCTCTCTCCCCGAAGCCTGGCTGGCAAATGGCTGGCCCTTCTGTTTTGTGTCCTGTCCATATTTTATGTCTTTGGGACTGGGCAAGCATCACCTTGATGCCGTGGGGGTCTATAAAGTTAGGTTTTAAAACCTTCAGCGAAACCTGATACTGGGAGAAAATGAAGGAGGAGATGACACTGTTCAAAAAGGACTGTACTCATCACCTTATGTACCTCAAAACCCCTCTGTACCTCAAAAAACAAACAACAAAACAACACGTGAACCTAATGCCAACAGAGCAGGCAAGGGCTGGCAGGAGGCAAGAGGCCGGCCTAGGAGCACAGGGAAGGATACATAGCTGAAACCCAGAAGCTGGTAGACGCGCTGACAAAAAAGCAGGAGAGGCTCCACATGGCCATCGCAACAGGCGTTCTCTGCGTGAAGTTGGACAGGGACAGCATGACCCAATCCCGGACCATCGATGACTGTCCCGCGCTGTGCAGAGTCTGGAACACCTAGGGAGGAGAGAGACCGCTAAGCGGGGCCTGAGCTGCTGCTGGCGAGGACTGGATGGCCCTGGCGGGCGGCGAAGCCGGTGGAGACCTGGAGCCAGCTCCACCACTGCTCCTCCCCTACCCAGTCGCCTGTACCTTGTGCACCACGGTGGCCATGAACTGCGGGTACGGCTGCTGGCTGGAGAGAAACTCTCCGATGACTTTGTTCATGACATCCTGGGGCGGGAAGAAGTCGTCCAGGAACTGAGGCAGGATCCTTGCCACCACCCTGGCTTCACAAGGAAATCCCTTCCTGATCCTGGAAGGGAGGCATCGGGTCAGAGCATCGCCCTGGGCCCCACCCAGGGCTGCCCTGCAGGGATGTTTCCCATGGGGCTCGGGCCACAGTACAGTATGAGGTCTTGAGAACAAATTATGACATTCTGGCCCTCCCTCTGCTCCTCACTGGAGAGGTGAAGGCCATCAGTGTGCTGGGCAGACCCGGGACTTCCCACCCCTTGTGGGATGGATCACAAAGAGGGATGTGAAAGTACTAGAAAAAAGCCAGCAGGAATAGCATGGGGTGACATCAGAGAACACATTTTCCAGGTCCAAGTACGCTATGGACTCCTCCCCCAGCTCCTCTCTCTTCCTTCCTTCCCTCCTTCATTTTAGTGGTATTAGGGTTTCAACTCGGGACCTGCTAGGCAGGCATTCTACCATTTGAGCTGTGCCTCCAGCCTGTTTCCTCTGGTTATTTTGAGGAAGGTTATTTTAGTCCAGGCTGACCTCTCAAATGGCTAGGATTACAGATGTGACCCACCAGCATCTAGATCGATGAACTTTTTTTTTTTCCTTTGGTTGGTCATGGGGCTTAAACTCAGGGTCTAGGAGCTGTCCCTCAGCTCTTCAGTTCAAAGCAAGCACTCCACCACTTGAGCCACAGCGCCACTTCCAGCCTTTTTTGCTTATATGCCCATTATTGCAAGGCAAGCACTCTACCACTGAGCCCCCTTCCCAGCCCCTCCATGAAATTTTCAACACCCCATGTCCCAGTGCCTGGTAGCCCTGCTACCAACCGAGGCCTTTTCTTGTTCTCAAAAACCTGAAGGTTCTCTTGCCGATTCATCTCTCACAGACCCTGAATTCTGCCCCTTAGCAGGGGACTTTAGAGCATGGGAAGACACTGGGCTGTGACACTCGTGTGCCCATGAGTGCAGTGCAAGGCGGAGAAGTGCAGAGTGGCGCAGCACACGGCTGTGCCTCCTTACAGTGAGCCCAAGTGTGCCCACCGGCAGACTGCGCCCAACAGTCCTCCCCCAGGCCCTGGGGTTGAGGGGCCGTGCCGAGCACTGAACCATGAACTCCGTTAGGGCAGTGGCCTGGCTACGCACTGGCACATGCCCAACTCCAAGCCTGCTCACAGGCAGCGCTCTATCAACGTGTGTGTACTGGAAAGTGGCTGCAAGACTGACATCTTAAGAGTCAACATGGAAACGGGCTGGTGTCTAGAATACTTCCTCTGGCCAGAGAGGACACAGGTGAAGGCCTTGGGGTGTGCTCTAGGGACAGGCCTGATGGACTCCCATCGGCCTAACAGACCTGAGGGTGAAAGACTGGGCCTTGTCCTGGAGGAAACACTCAGTGTGGCTCCCGACGCTCTCCAGAATGGGCAGGTGAAGACTGCTGCGCAGACAGGTGTGCAGGGTGGAAGGCCCCACATACCTGCCACGGCTCTCAAAGATGTTTCTGTTTGTTCTGACCTTTGCCTTTGCTGGAGCCTTTCCCAACAAAGCTGTTAGGTGCCCTGTGCTCCAGTCCACAGGCTCCGAGGGTAGGAAGGAACTTGCTTCTACCTCTCTTCACATAAGGCAGCGAGCGCGAATGGGACACACACCTACACCAGCCCCACAGGTCTCTAGGAGAGGCTGCCGTGGAGTCAGCCCTACACTCCCATGTTCTGGGCCCAAAGACAACCTATCACACGAGATTCCCCAGGCCAGGCCAGGCCGGGCCTGGATCAGGATCAGGGTGCCAAGAAGAGAGCAAATGAGCACAGTGGCAGGCAGCACAGGGCGACGGAACAGCCCGAATTTCTTACCTGTCGAAGAGAACAGACACGCGCTCCATAGCGACAATCACGGACTCACTATCTGGGGCTGCAGGGCTGGGGTCCGAGGCTCTGCCTGGGCTGGCTTTCTCCTTTCCTGAAATGAAGGTGCTCCAAGTTGAGGCCAAAGAGGCTCTGCAGACCACACCTCATACAGAGCTTACCACATCACCAGAGGTGGTCCCGGGAAGCCAGAAGCCAGCCCACCCCCCGGCTCAGCCACAGGGCTGCAGCCAGACCCTGTGGTATGAGCTCAGCTCAAAATCTCTCTCAAGTCTTAACACTACAGATGCCATGCTAAAGGGACCCAGACTCATGTCCCCAGGGAGCAGGAGCAGGGCGACGCTTACCACCCTCCCCGCCGCTCACCTGTGTACATGCAGGTGAGCATCAGGCCTAGCGCTGCCATGGCCCGGTGCGGGCTGTGCACGTTCACCCTGTCCACACTCAGCTTGACCAGGGACTCGGTGTCCAGCCGGGAGAGCTGCTCTGATAGCAGGAGGCGCTCCAGGCCGCGCAAGGCGCAGTGGTAAATGGTGGACGGGGTGGAGTCCTCGCTGCCGGTCAGCATCACTCCACACATCTGGACACGAGGAAAGGTTCATTCTCGCCACTGACTGGTGCAGCCATGCCTCCCCTCTTCAGAAGAGGCCCGGTAGAAGCTGCTTACCTGTATTATAGATGCAGAAAACTCCGGCCCCACATCTAGAGGATAGTTCTCGATTAGGTAGAACGCGGTGGCACACATCACCAGCACGTGCTGCTGGCTGTGAACGTTCACGCAGCTGAGAACAGGAGTCAGATGTCATGCTTGGCCTGTCTGCAGCGGGGACAGCCTCACGGCACATCCAGCCCAACCGCAAGTCCAGAGCTATGCACCCCAGCGGCCAGCCTGGCCACTGCATCCTACCCAGCTGTCTGTAGCTGCGTGCCTCTGCCGGCCTCTGCACGCCTCCTGCCATGCTGTGCTCCCACAGTCCACTCCCATCCCCTAATGAAGCCGGATACTCCTTCACATCCAGGAGGGATGGGAGCTATTTTCTCCCTGTGTGAACGTGCCACCCTGTAGTCCTCTGACCTTCGGGATCTCCATGGGCACCTGTCTGCCCCACAGCAGAGGGGCCGAGACCTGGCTGGCTAGTCTCTCAAACAAAACAGCCAGTCACCTCCCTCTCCACGCAGATGCCCACAGATGCTCCTCTGAGGGCTGGACCGAGGCTCAGCACGTGCCACGGGTCCTCTGCTCAAGGCGCTGCCTCCTGCCACCACAAGCTTCCATCCCCCCCCCCCCCACGTCCTCTGTACCCCCCATGCCTCACTGCACACGGCACTTCTGCATCCCTGAACAAACCTGGGCCCATCTCTGGGGATCATGGAGACTGGCCAGCTGTCCATCTGCCCTGCTCATCATCCAATGAGAACAAGACAGACAGACCTCTTTACACCTGTGCCACCACTGGCCTTGAAGGCGCCTCCACAGTGCTTCCTGCCCTGTTCTAGTGCACACTCCCACCGCCTGATGGGCATCCAAATGCACCCCACTCAAACCTCACCCTGTCAGAAACTTCACCTCATCACAACAGCCTCTCACCACCTCTCAATCTTCAATCTGTGTCCCCAGACTTGCACTCTGTCACAGCACAGCTGCGTTCTCCTCCCAGTGCCCTTATCATCTTTGCTCCCAACTCTGGCCCCTAATTCCTCTAAGCCTGGGCTACTGGGTGAGGTGGGCTATGGCGCTAAAGAAACCTGTTCATGAGGAGCCAGGTCTTGAGGGATGGCCTGGCTCTGCTCCTGCATTCTGTGTGTACGGGGTATGCAGTGGAGCTAAGATGTCACTGGGCTTCCCTCTGCTTCAAGACACAGATTGATGAGCTGTACACAGAGCTGCTTTAGAGAGAAGGGTGAGGAAGACCAGGGCAGGCACGGGTGACTTTTCAGGGAGGATGGGGTGTGGGGTGGGGGCTGCGGAGCCTGGTGATAAGTAGAGCGGCTGTCTGTGACAGCTGGAGCTAGAAGTGGCCATGTAGAAGTGTATGCCAGGTACTAAGGAGCAGGGCGAAGAAGCAAGACTCTAACACATGTCTGTGACCTTGTGACCCACTGACCTCTATTGCTAATCCTTGGAGAATGCTCATCTGGGGTCCCTACCCTCTATTCTGTGCCCACCTGGGATCCCCACCCACCATCCCAGCGGGACCTCACAAGTGCTCTGAAAGGCAAAACGTGGCCCTTCGCTTGGCTCCTGTCAAGCCCGCCAGCCCTACTCACTGGGCTGCCCCTTTGAGGTTAGACAGGAGATAGTCGCTGACGACGGGGATGAGCTGCTTCGCGGTGTCATCCAGGAGGTCGCACTCCAGCACGTACAGGATGCCATGCAGGGCTCCGATCTGGCTGGGCAGGTGGCTGCTCCTGAGTGTGCTCTCCAGCAGACGGCTGACTGGCTCTGCCACAGCCTTGTCCTGGGCACAAACACAGACACCGGCTGCCAAGGCAGAAGGACAGCGCCGCATGCCAAGTGACCAATGTCCTTGTGGCTAGGAGGGCTGCCCACATCAAGGAGACCACTGGGCAGGTAAGTCCTCACACTGGCAAGGCCTGTCCAGCAGAGACCCACATACAGGGCTAGTCCTTCACTAGATTAGGAAACCTAATGAGCCAGGCAGAGATGCCCGTGTAACCAGCCCTGGCCTTGGCATCTGCCCTGGGCTCCCTGGTGGGAACAGCTCCTTCTGGGGAAGGCAGCCTGCATCCAGAGCAACTCTATTGAAAAAGAGTTCTGGAAGATTCTGGACGATCACAGCTGGTTTCCTGGGCTTAGGCCACTTGACTTCTCCTCTGCAGATTCTGCTTGGGTCCCCTCAGCAATACATCTTAGCTCTGGCCTCTAGCAAAAGCCCAGGGTAGTTTATACTAACTTGGAACAGAAGTGGGTAGACTGAATGTGGACCTGGACACCCGCATGCCTGCACTTCAGGCTGACTTCTTTGATGGTGCAGACAGCCTTCACAGGAAGTGAAGCGGGGGCTGGAATGGCAGGTCAGTGTTTGCAGCGAGTTCTCCTTCAGCAAAGGCTGGCTGAGCCTCATCTGGTTCCACAAGAGCAACAAGAGGCCATAGCCCTCTGGTTCTCTGTGAGGTCTGCGGCTGAGGGCCGTAGCCCTCTGGTTCTCTGTGGGGCTGTGGCTGAGGGCCGTAGCCCTCTGGTTCTCTGTGGGGTCTGTGGCTGAGGGCTCCAGGATGAAGACCGCCACTCCTTGCCAGCCCACTGCGCCTTGTCCCCTTCCTGTGCTGCCCCCACCCACACCACAGAGCTGTGGGGCGCCTTCCCAAAGATGGCCTCCACCCGAGGGCCAGTCCACATCCGTGATACAATGCCGCGATCTGCTCTTGAGAGCAAGCAAAGAAAGTGACGTGCCTGGGTGCGAGAACAGGACAGGCTGGAAGCCAGACAGAAGACAATCACCTTCAAGGAGGAGCATTTGCATACACAGAGCTGGGAATGCCCGCCCTGTCCCATCCGGCTTTAGGGCTTGTTTTTAAAAACCATTATTTGCTTGATGGATTTGACTTGCATTTTGCCTGGGGATCTGGAACTGAGCACAAAACCACAGCCACAATGAAAGTCAAGGCAGCAGCTAAAGCCCCCCATGGAGAAGAAAGGGCCTCCCACAAAGACACAGTTGGGCCAGCGCCCCAGGGTGCCTACTTGAAGAACAGGTTCACGCGAGGCGATAGTCGGTCCCTGTCCTACCAGGGACCCTGGGACGCCTGCCCTCGACACTGAGCTCAGGGACCCCGGGGTTCTTTGGGAAGCAAGCTCTGCCATGTCCTGCATGTCCTTCTGCTTTGTCAGGCCATGAACAGGGTTGGACGGGAGAAAGCCCGGCAGACAGTGGCAGCTGCGTGCTGGTGACGCTGCCGCTAACCGTAGCAGCACTGTTGTTGACAGGCAGGACAGTTAGGACAGGGGGGTGTGAGAGGGGCAGGGCCTGCTGAGCTTCCCAGGCCATTCCTGACAGTGGTGGCCACTAGCGTGTCCAATGCACAGGTATGCTGCTACTGCTATTATAAAAAGGGATTCTAAGAAACTCGGATACGAAGCATCATGATAATGGGCTCATGCTACGTGACAAAGCAAACACCCACCAGTTTGGCAGTCTGGAGTCTCTTTACTGGCAGTGCCAATACCCTGTAACAAGAGGCAGCAATTTTCATGTATGTATCTGGTGTATGAACGGAGTTACCATAAGGTGACAAGGACATGGGACAGGAGGGCCTTGCCACTGTGGCTTGGCCCTGAAGAATGGGGTTATTCCCCCTTATCAGAATGGCCCTGGAGCCTGCTCACCACTTCCATGATTTAAGAACACAGCTATCCCTAGACTCTGAATCTGCCAGCACCCCAGCCTTGAGAACTGTGAGCAATAAACATGTATTACCTATAAGCTACCCAGAATTCTATAACAGCAGCATAAATGAGAAAGAAAACCATGGTGCACAGAACTACTGCAAATGCAGGGCTACTCGAACCTAAGGCTGCAGGGAGGCAGACAGTCCAGAAGTGCTAGGAGAGGCTGACAACATCAGAGGAGGGAAGAGGCCCCAGGCCATGGGAAGAAGGCAGTTCTGATCCACTGGTGCAGCTCCTGTGCCCTGCCCACCCCTGCCTCTCCGGGGTGACCTACTATGATGACACAACACAAGGACACAAGAGTCTCGGACCAGCCAGCCACTACAACACATATCACAGCTTCCTGAGGGAGACACCAACGAGGAGTCCTCTGGGCTAACCAGTGCCATAGCTCACTTGTGCTGGGGACCTGTGCTTGAGACAGACCCTTGGGAAGGAAGGGTGTGACTACACACGTCACGGTTGGAAGCAGCAGCTGCCAATCCAGAGCAAGCCTCATGCAGCTCCACACCCCGCCCCTTACCATGCCGAGCACAGCGGCTGCCTTGCAGGTGGCAGGTACCAGGTACTGAACAAGGATCTCATCTTCTGAAGGGTGCACCCTCCGCAGCTCTGTCAGCGTCAGGTACATCATCTCAAACTGGGTGCGTTCGGTGAACAAGTCTGAGACCACGAGAAGCTGGAGACACAGCACATCAGAGAAGGAAGGGGAAAGTTAAACTCCAAAGAAAACAAATGCAGTGCAATACACGATTAGTAGTAAAACTTGTTCCAATATCCAGAATAAAATACGGAATTCACAGGGGCTCTTACAGAGAAAATAAATCAATATGGACCTAAAGGCTTAAAGACTATAAATAAAACCTGGTGACCTGATACCTTGTGAAAAATGCCTCTGCACCTCTTGCAGCTTGAGGAAGGCTTGGGCCTCAGTTGCTACTTGCATAGAGACCCTCACTTATAGGGTTCCCCCAGGAAAATGGCTGCCTGGGTCACGTTTCAAAATACTAGGCTGGGCTGGGAAGGTGGCTCAGTGGTAGAGCACTTGCCTTGCATGCATGAGGCCCTGGGTTCGATTCCTCAGCACCACATAAGCAAAAAGAAAAAAGCCAGAAGTGGTGCTGTGGCTCAAGTGGTAGAGCGCTAGCCTTGAGCTGAAGAGCTGAGGGACAGTGCCCAGGCCCAGAGTTCAGACCCCACGACTGGACCTTCCCCCCCCCCAAAAATACTAGGCCCTCTTGCAGCCCATGCAGAGAGACCCTTAAGACCCCTTGGAAGAGGGAAGTTGGTGATCATTTGTTCCAAAAACACATGCTCTGGCAACTCCTCTTTGTCTCCCTAGCTCTCCTGTCTCTATTTCATGCCACACCCAACACTAGATCTTAGGTGCTGACACATGTCCTGTACATGTTCAGCGGGGCTGGGGTAAGGACATCATGGAAGCCAGGCTTCTCAAGGGACCCGTGTATGTCTGGGTACTGGAGTACTCTTGAGTATTCTTGAGTGTTATCATTACAGGCATGTATCACCATGCCCCACTTGAAAATCTATTTCCCTAAGGAGTAGGAGCTGAAACAAAGTTACTTTGCCTTTCCATCTTCAGTCTTTCCTAAATGTATAGTGGGATTTCCTACATGGTATAGCAGTCAAGAGAATTTTTCTTCTTTCTCCTGTGTGTGTGTGTATGTATGCCAGTACAGAGGTTTGAACTCAGGGCCTCATACTTGCTCAGTGTGCTTGTTCAGTTGGTGCTCTACCACTTGAGCTAAACCTCTAGTCTGGCTTTTTGTTAGTTATTTTGGAGATGGAGTTTTGCAGACTTTTTTTTTTGGTCGTGGGGCTTGAACTCTGGGCCTGGGCGCTGTCCCTCAGCTCTTCAGCTCAAGGCTAGTGTTCTACCACTTGAGCCACAGCACCACTGCTTATGTGGTGCTGAGGAATCGAACCCAGGGCTTCATGCATGCAAGGCAAGAACTCTACCACTGAGCCACCTTCCCAGCCCATTGCAGACTTTTCTATGGACTGACTTCAAATTGAAACCCTCCGGATCTTGGCCTCATGAGTAGCTAGTATTATAGAAACCTGTCTTAAAATTACAAAAAAAAAAAAAAAAAGATAGGATCTCGCTGTATAGCTCAGGCTAGCCTAGAACTCTAGAGCTTTCTGCCTTATCTCTTGAGTGCTATCATTACAGGCATGTGTCACCATACCCCACTTGAAAAATCTATTTTAATAAGCCTAACATTTTCATTTACATTGCAAAACTATCATTATTGTAACTGGACACATCATCTATGTTTTAAGGCATTTCAGATTCTATTTCCAACCCCGTGAACAGTGATAGAGTTATGGAGGGGCCTCTGGCTCCTCATTTGTAATGACTGCTCTGACCTGGGCTCCTCAGAAGTGGCGTCAGAGCCCTAGAGGAGAGAGGCTGTGAAGGAAACCAAGTCTACAGAACAATGGCAGTGGCCAACATTCTATACATCTGTGAGACAACCTGCTCTCGATCTGAAACAAGGAAATCTCTCCCTTCCCCAATTTCAAAAGTACCACTTTATCATTCTGTAGCTGAGAGTGTTAGAGCTCCTTCACAGATTCGGAGATATTACAAACCGTGTGTATGGCATGTGGGGCTGTGGTGTGTGTTTAGCACATGCCTGTGTGTTGTGTGTATGTATGTGTGTGGTGCATGCATATGTGTATGGTACATGGATACCATGTACTCATACCATATATGTGTGTATCTGGCACACACTACACGTGAGGGGAAAGCAAGCTTACCGATCGAACCACTTCACTGATGAGGATGACTGGGGTCCTTCTGGCAGAGCTGGACGGTAGGATCCATCGGCTGTATAATTCAAGCAAAAACTGCGAGCACGAGTGAATATCGACTCCAGCCCGGTGCTTCCTGTGGAATGAGTATGCAATATGGCTGTTTTCCCCCATTCACAGATGAGGGCTTCACTTTCAGACAAACCCAAAATCAGATGACTAATAAAGCCAATGTAACCTGGAGTTGACTGGAGACATGGGAGGAGATGCTGGTGCGGGGATATCAGCTTCCTCCTCTTCCTCCTCATCCCATTCCTCCTCTCTCAATGGTGTGATGTTGTTCCCCAGCCACACCGAGTGTATGGATACCTGTCACAGAAACAGGATGTTGGGGCTGCCACCTGCTAGGTGCACCCCAGCACTCCCAGAAGGGCACACATTTACATCGGAACAGGAATACATAGAGGACAGACAGCATGGCCACGAAGCCAGAATGTGGCCATGCTCCCTACAAGTCTGAGGCCTGCAGTTGATTACATTCCAACATCATTTGTCTTAGCAGGGAAGCTTCTCTATAAAGCAGTGGAGGCGCTTGTCTAGACAAGCAGTGGGGCTCATGGCCCCTACTCAAAGGCCAGCGCGTGCTCTGCTCACGGGCCTGGGGGAGGCTGTGCCCACAGAAGGCAGCAGAAGGACGCAGTAGGACAGCCCGGTGGGAAGCTCTGCGGGGAAGGCGTGGCCAGCCTGGTGGAAGAGGAAACCCTTGGAAGCAATCAGTTTTTAACCTCTATTCTGATCAGAAGCTTCTGAAGTGAGAATGACAGAGAAACTTGTCTAACTGGCTTACACAGAAGTAGAGGGAAAGGGAGTGGAGGAAGGGCCGCGGGCAGTGCAGCGGCTCCACAGCAGGTGCTAGGAAACTGAAGCAAGTTTTCACGGAACCCACCCAGCGTGGCACCATCTGTCTGATGCCTCGGAGGCTGGGCAGAGCCGGCCCTCACCGGGCCTCAGGGGCACCAGCTGTCTCCCTACACCATCCCACTACGTGTTATGCACACCTGTGTGCTCACATGGGAAACGCCTTGTAACATAGAATAAAGAGTGCAAATCAAAGGGAGAGTACAAGTTCCTTCTACCTAAGAAACTCATGTAGCTTTCCCCTTGATGCGGGACGTGGTTGTGTGGGCCTGCCTGGGGTGCGGGCACTGTGACTGACCTGGCCCAGCTTGTAGCTCATGTTGCCCAGCTCGCGCTCCGGGTTGGTCTGCAGGAGCAGCTTGTCGTGGCTGATGAGGGCACCTAAGAAGCAGTGACACAAGGCGTTGCTCTCTGCGCAGTGGCCGGCAGGGCAGACCCCAGGCTGCAGGCCTACCAGATACAACCCTGCTCCTTCCTGCCCAGGCAGGTGCCCACTGCGCCATCTGTTCTCGTGACTGGCAGGACAGCTGCCGCTGTGCAGAGGCCCATGGATCACATGGCTCTGTTAGTTTGTAATCTATCAAGCTGGCAGGCCCAGTGGGCAAAATGGACTCTCATTTTATTTCTAGAAGAAGTCTAGCTAACCTCTGCTGGGTCTCATTACCCACCCTCTCTCAAAGCACATGCTCCCACTGCTTCCCAGAAGCACGGCCTTCCTCCTCCAAGCCCCCAGAGGGCCTGCCCACACTCTGCTGCTTTGTACCAAGCAAATACTTCTTCTCATCAGCCCTACCGGCCTGTAGGTTCCTAAAGAACCAAACCTACCATTATCCAAGTCCAGTGTTCTTATAATTCAAGATCACGATAGATACTTAGAGGCACACGACACACTGCACTTCCATATGGTTTTTCCAAAAACTCTTCAAGCAACTTAAAATTTATGGCACCAATGACTACTAAACACTAGGGGAGGAGAGTGTCACAAGTTAAAATACTGCTTGTTCAACAACAGAAAAAGTGTATTAAGTCCCTTCTTTTAAGTCAGTGACAAACTCCAGTGCCATGTGAGACAGGCCCAGGTGCAAGAGGCGTCTATGCCACAGAGCACACAGGACGCAGGGCAGGGGGGGCTCAGGCTGGCGTCTATGCCACAGAGCACACAGGACGCAGGGCAGGGGGGGCTCAGGCTGGCGTCTATGCCACAGAGCACACAGGACGCAGGGCAGGGGGGGCTCATCAAGAATGCATGCCCTTGTGTTGTGCATGGGGTTTTTCATGAGAAGCGGGAGGTATGGGTAGTTTAGACAAACTGCTGATATTTTTTCAAACATAAGTAACCAAAGAAGAAAACAAAGCATGAGCAACTACTTTGGCTTTTAAATCCTGTGGAGGCCACCAGTCTTCCAGTCTCAGGAACTCTCTGGCTTGTCAAAAGTTGACAATGCTTCTAGTTCATTTCCAGATTTATTTCCTCAAGCCTGACTTTTTCCCGGGTGGAATGATACTTGTGAATAGGGGCGGTATACTCTGCACATAGCCTGTGCCAGTATGTGTGCCCGTACCTGTAGTAGCAGGGGACAGGGAGGGGACCGGATCCCAGGCCTGGTAAGGGTGATGGGTGGCGATGTTTTCTCTCCGAGAAACCATGGCTTGAATCTCCTGCTCTACAACCCCCCTGATCACGCTCAACTTTCTCCCGAACCTAAAGGAAGAACAAAAGGTAAAAAAACACTGTGTAAGTGAAGAGTGCCGGGCCTTTCTCTCTTCTTTGCTTTGCCTGAAGGAAGCTGGGACAGTAGTAAATGAGCCCTTGGGTGGGTTATGTTCCGGCTGTGCCCGGGTCTGTCCCCAAACACCCAGCAAGCCCCATGGTTGGTCAGAAAATCACTTATGGATCTTCAGCAGGGCCAGACACAGTGTTGTCTTGGTTCTGATCAGGGAGGGGTGAGGCACCTGTGCTCCTCTTGCATTAGGGGGCATGGCCACGGAGAGGCTCAGGCAAACCTGGTGTCCAGTGCTTTCAGGGGTTTGTTCCTTGGCTGTTGTTCCAAGCAGCTCACAGCGGGGTTGCCAGCCACAGGCACAGTCATGGCACTGAGCACCAGGGAGGTAATGGCCTGCACGGCCAGCACGTGGATCTGGGTCCTCTCCATGTCTTCCTGGAAGGACAGTTCACATGCTAATGACATCAGCCAGCAACTACTGGCAAGTCAATGAGTGTTCACAGGCTACATGGCCTCGGAGGCTGGAGTCAATGCCCCGAGGGCTGCGGAGGGGTAAGGCTTCCCACATGTGAAGCCTTGTGCCTGTCTCAGTTCTCCAAGCATGGAGCCACACCTCCACACACCTATGTCGTAAGAGTAAAATCTAAGGGACAAGTATCTATTTTTCAAAGAAAGGTCTTTTAACAGCCACAAAATTCCAAATGCAAATTACTAGGTAATAAACTATCCTTAAAATTTCTCAGTAACTTTAGAAGCTCTGCATATGGTAACCTACTGGCACATCCAGATGGATTTAAAGACCGCCTGGGTTTGTGACGTGTGGCCCAACCCTTTAGACACTGAAAACTAACGAGAACTCAAAATGCTGTCAGGAGAGGGCAGAGTCCCACTGCCCTGTCACGTGCTATGCACCTTCAGAGCAAGGACACCAGCCACAACCAGGCCCTCAAACCCCAAACCGTGGGGAGGCCGGTGCTCCCTGGAACTTCAGTCAAGATCTGGTCTGGCTGGGTTGTGAGAGTCGTCTTACCACAGAGCTCAGGCTGGCCTCAAGCTGCCTCCTGAGGCCTGGACTTAAGGTGCACTCCACCCTGCGCAGCCGGTCCACTTGCTCATTTATTTATATTTACATTTTCGTACTCTACCACTTGGCCCACACCTCTATCCTGCACTTTTTAGTCATTCATTTCCTGCCCAAGCTGCCTTTAAACTCAATCCTATGATCTCAGCCTCCAGAGTAGCTAGGATTATAGGTGTGACCCACTGATGTCAGTAGCTGTAGTTTTAGCTACTCAGGAAGGTGGTAAGAGGAGCTCTGTTCGGGAACAGCCAGGCAGAAGAGGTCTTAAGATCCCTTTTCAACTGAGCTGGGCATAGTTCCTGTCATCCTAAGCTATGTGGGAGGCTGAGATTGGAAAGATCTTGGTTCCAGGCCAGCACAGGCGGAAAAGTTCACAAGACTTAAATCTCAAAGGAAGAAGATGAATGATCACATGCACCTGTCATCCCAGCTCGAGTAAGTGCCTGAGCAGGAAGCAAGCCCTCATCTCAAAAATAACCAGCACAAGAAAGGGCTGGGGGCATGGCTCAGTGGTAGAGCTCCTGCCTCTGTTCAACCTCAGTACTGCTCCGCACAAAAGTGCCTTTAGCCAGAAGTCAGCATCACCGTGGCTTCCCAGCCTGCCACACCCTAGTGGCAATGGCCTCACCTCCGGTGGGCTTTCCTCCTGCTCCAGCACAAGCGGCTGCGTCACCAGGACACCAAGGAGAGTGGCCCAAGTTTCTTCAAACTGAGTCCGACTAGTCCACCCTAGGAAGTAAGCATTCTGTTAGATAGTCCACTCACCTCCCAACCCTTAGGGTGTTACCTACACACAGCAACTCTTTTGGTTTTTTTGGTCGGTCGTGGGCTTGAACTCGGGGCCTGTCCCTCAGCTCTTTAGCTCAAGGCTAGTGCTCTACCACTTGAGTCACATCACCACTTCTGGCTTTTTCTGCTTATGTGGTGCTGAGGAATCGAACCCCGGGCCTCTTGCATGTGAGGCAAGTATTCTACCACCGAGCCACCTTCCCAGCCACAACACACAGCATCTCTTAACAATTCTTTGTAATCTTCCTGGCAATTACAAGACACAGGGAATACTAGTCTACTTTGTCAAGAACATCAAAACACAATGAAACAACAACAACACATGGAAAGGAGCCACACTGCCCAAGATCACACTGTAAGTAGAGCAGCCGCCCAGCTCAGCCCAGGTGCCTCTTGGGGTCTGCTGCATGGCAGGGACTGTGAAAGAGCATCAGAGCAGGCTAGGCCTGAGCCGGCTAGGAGCTGTCCAGGAAGCAAGAAGTCTTTCCTCAAGTCCCACCTTGAGACTGTGCTGATGGCAGCTGTATGGCTTCATGAGCAGAACCGAGGGCCATAGACGCACACACTCCCAGGGGCTCGGCTACGTGGTAGGAGAGCTCTGTCTCAATGAAGCTGTAAAGATGAAAAGCCGAAGCCACCAATTCTTTGTCCCTGTCCAGAATATGGACCGGAAAAGCCCACGGTCTAGTTGGGCATGCTCCAGCATTCAGAGAAGCCCAACCTCTAGCTTTGCCAGAGGCTGCATTCGGAGGTCCCTTCACTGTCTCTGTGCCACTGGCCTTGGACAGGTGGCTGCTTCTGGGGGCGGCACTTAGTGCTCCTGCTATGACCTCAGAAGAGCCACAGGATTCATATTAAGGCCACGAGGCCAGGATTGGGGGGCGAGGACAGGGACGTTGAACACTAGGACCTCCCTGACACACTGGAAATAGAAAGAAAGGCTGATTCCGATTCAGGTAGATACACATACTGACAGACACAGTTGACAACCGGCATAAGGAAGAAAGACAAAAGCAGGCAGGAGGGCTAGGAGGGTGGCTCCAGGGTACAGCACTTCCCTAGTGTATCTAAAGGGCTAGGTTCAATATTCACTATCATTTCAAAAAAATAACACAACAAAACAAAGCCGCAGCAAGAGCAAAGGCAGGCTCTAGAAGAGACCAGAACTGGACCAGGTCAGGTAGGCCACAGGAGGAAGACTAGGAACTGGCTCCAGGCAAAGGCCCTGAGGATGCTGCCTGCCATCAGTCTGTAAGGAGAAGGAAGAAGAAAGCTTCTCAAGAGTATGTCACTCAGGACAGTGATAACTAAACTGTCCAGCTAAGGAAAGATATCTGCTGCCAGAACCTTCTGGAATCAAAATAAGCACAAAAATCTGCAGACACCCAAGGTGCTAAGGGCAGACTCCACACGGAGCTGTCCCGGAGAGACCAGACCATGGCTCTCGTCATAAAACAGCAATTCATTCTCTTTAGAAAGCATGGGAGGGCTCTGATCGAAGATCATGCTGCCGCTTGTGAAGATGCCAAGCAAGGTACACTCCTTAGCAGTCCAGGTTGCTTTGACCCTCCCCTCACTCCTGTCCTGGCTCCCTGGCAAAGTCAGCCTCTACGCGTCCCAACTGCTTGTTCCACAAATGAGAACCCAACAGTGAGAACACCTGGAGACAATCCCTTCCACATTGAGCCTGAGTGCATAATATAAAGATGGGGTCGGCCGCACATCAAGTCACATGCACACAAAACCCTGCAATTACACCTGCACCACACTTGGGTCTACACTGCCACTAGGTTTCTGTCACCGTCACAGGCCTTGACCCTGGGGCTTCCAGAGGTGGTGCTCCAGGTCCAGGTGGTGTGTGTGTGTGTTTGCGTGTGTGCGCATGCGTGCGTGTGTGTGTTACCCAGGGTGTTGATGCGGTAGATGAACTCTTTGAAGATTTCCTTCTCCTGGAGGAACTCCACAGGGATCTCAGGAAACACGGTGCCAAAATCCCCTCCTGGTTTGGGCGACCATCCGAGTTTCCACACCTGAGATGAGAGAATGTTCTGACTGAGCCAGGTGGCAGGTGCTGACAGGTAGCCATCACATACCCCTTTTCTCTCTGTGGGTCCCGCTGCTGAGCCAGCCAAATGGCCCTCACCACTCTCACAGACTTGCCCAGAGCCTGCACTGCTGTTCCAGGAGAACAGCTTCCACCCTGTGCCCAGGACCCCCTGGCCAGCATCCCCCCACTTCCCCATACCTGGCCCTGCCTAGACTATATCCATCACTAGCCTGTGGCACTGCCCGCTGCCCACACCCCATTCAGGCTGGCTGTGCAAAGTGGGCAGACATCAGTCAGCACTCACATCCACAAATGTACGATGTGCTAATCAAGTTCTGCTTCATGTGTACTGGCAAGCCCCACTTCCCTTAGGGGCCTGGTCAAGCACTGTGCATGCACAGAGAGCAGCTTGAGATAGACTCAATGGTGTAGTTCCAGTAGCAGGACCGCCAAGCTACCCTAGCTATGTCCCTCACGGAAGATCTACAGAGACTGCTCTAGATTCCATAGCTAGGCTTTGCTATCTCTTAGGAAACTTTCCTTACATTTCTTATACCACCCACCAAGTGTGGGCACTTCCGGGGGTGAGGTGGGGGGTGGGGAGAGAACGGGGCACTTGCCATTGCTACCTCCCTGACCAGCGTACCCCAGGGAGTGAACTCAGCCCCTGCTGGAGACTTCTGTCCAGCACAGGACTGTGCAGGCAGATCCCTGCGGACCTGGCAACCATCATGACCTCAACAGTGTCTTCCTAAATGGTTTCCTCACAATCTTCCAAAGGACCAGGTGCTTACTGTCCTAGACTCACATACACCAACGGGACGGGTGAGCCCTGCCCGCTTCCTGTGCTCCAGGCTGGGACATCTGCGGCTCTTTATTCCATAAGCACCTTCAGCCTGCCTGGCTCTCCCTCAGAATGACCCTGTGTCTCTCAGGTACACTGAACGCTGCGTTCTAGGATCTCACTTGCAGACTTCCACATCCACAGATGCACAGAGGCTACGACCTGGCAGGGGGCAGAAACAAGCATCCTCCCTTACTCTGTGCTTAGGCCTTCTGCATGCTACCGCTTCCCTGCACGAGGCTGTGACTGGAAAGACATGTTCCACTGTGGTATTTCAGAAGGCCATGAGAGAGCAGATGATGCAATTTCAGGGGGCTAGGTTGGTTCAGATCCTAAGCTAGGCTCTTCCTTCTAAATCTATTCCTGTGATCCTGTTGGATAATGCCTATTTTAAGCTGCCAATTTCTAGAGAGGTTCTGCAAAACTGGTTGCACTGATATGCACAAGTATTTTCAAAAGTGACTTTTTTTTTGGTCAGTCGTGGGGCTTGAACTCTGGGACTTGCCATTGTTCCTCAGCTCTTCAGCTCAAAGCTAGTGCTCTACCACTTGAGCCACAGTGCCACTTCCCATTTTCTGATATTTTATTGGAGATAAGAGTCTCACGGGACTTTCCTGCACAGGCTGGCTTTGAACCAAATCCTCAGATCTCAGCCTTCAGAGTAGCTAGGATTACAGGCGTGAGCCACTAGCAGCCGGCCAAAGGTGACTACTTCTGAAGGAAAATACTTACCATTAATTGGTTTATTTATGTATATCATATCCCACATTAACATATCAGTGAAGATGAAATCTTATTTGGTGAAGTAATGCCTCATCCTGTATTTTTACTAGCAACCACTGTATACAACGCCTAAGGCCACTAGATAGCTATCACTGCATACAACAAGACGTGTGCCACTGGATGGGAGCATGGGAACTTCATGGTTCCTTTTCAACCCAAGTATGATGTTCATGCCTGTAACCCCAGCACTGGGGAGGCAGAGAGAATCCTACATTCTAGGCCACCCTGGCCTACACAGTGAATTTAGCTAAAAAGAGAGATCCGTCTCCAACAACCCAGAGCTACATGTTTTGTAGCTTAGTGGTAGAGCACTTGCCTAGCATATGAAAAGCCTATTCCTAGCAACATAAAACAAAACAAAACAAAATAGCCCCCTACCCCCCTGCCAGGATCGTGATTATTATTTTCTGATCTCCCAACTCTGGGCTGCTTGGGTGTCTTGTGCCTCTTGGTCTTAGGCAAAGAAAAGGCACTACCAGACTCACCAGTGGGGGCACACGGGTGTAGCTGTTGACAAGGGGGAGGCGGGCCAGGCTGATGACAATGTTCTTCAGCACGGCTGTGAGAAATGCGGGCACGCTGCCATTCCTCTTGTGGCCTAAGGCCAGAACCGACTGCAGAGACTCCACCATCTCGGCCACCATCTCACAGGCCACAGCCACACACCTGGGGTCTGTAAGCAATCACGTGAGAGGAGCCTGTCAAAACACACTACAACCCTGTGAAGGAGGCGCGCACCGATCCACAGCCGCTCAGTTCACCTGGGCTTCGGGATGCTCACGGAGGTTCAGACAGGACTATAGCAATGACCTTGAATCTGAGCCTGAGGCTCAGTTCCTTTCTTATGCACTCTCAGCAGTTCAACATGTCAGCTTATCAACACCTACAAGCCATTGTGTAGCATCTCAGCTTCCAAATTCCTTCAGGATATCTGTCTCTTGCCTTGTAGCTCTCCCAGAACCTAAGCTAGCACCCAAAGAACCATCTGGCAATCCCTGGCCCAGGGGTGTTTCACAGGATGGGGCTCTGATGGGAACTCCTGAAGCTGAATGCCGAGGAAAACCAGAGACCTTGGGGGAGACCCACCACTATGCACCAGCAAGGTGTCACGGACAGGGACTACTATTCACTGCGTCTGATCTACAGTATGGGACTAACTCACCACGTTGCACTGGTAAATGATTACTACGTTACCCTAGGCCCTAAGATGTAATAGTTTAGGTGACTTCTTAGTCTAGAAATGGGATTCTTCTGGGGGGAGCGGAGAGGGGGAAGGGAGACTGGGAGAGAGTGATGGAAGGGGTGACACTGCCCAAAAAGAAATGTACCCTCTACCAGACTTATCTAACTGTAACCCCTCCGTACATTACCTTCATAATAACAAGTGAAACATTTTTAAAAAAGAAAGAAAAGGACTTCTTGGCTGGACATAGAGGCACATACCTAGAATCCCAGCTACTAGGTAAGCAGAGATGGGAGGAATATAGTCTGAGACAAACCTAGTCAAAAATATCAGCAAGACTCTCTCTCAAAAAATAAAACAAGGGGGCTGGGAAGGTGGCTCAGTGGTAGAGCGCTTGCCTTGCATGCCTGAGGCCCTGGGTTCGATTCCTCAGCACCACATAAGCAAAAAGAAAAAAGCCGGAAGTGGTGCTGTGGCTCAAGTGGTAGAGCGCTAGCCTTGAGCTGAAGAGCTGAGGGACAGCGCCCAGGCCCAGAGTTCAGGCCCCATGACCGGCCTCCTCCCCCTCCCCCCAAAAATAAAACAAAACAAAAAACTGAGGGTGATAGTTCAGTCTTGTAATCCTAGCTACTAAGAGGTGTAGACAGGAGAAACACAGTCCAAGGCCAGCCCTGGGGAAAACAAAATCCTGTCTAAAAATAAACCACTGAAGGTGCTGTCCGCGTGGAAGAGTGCTCGCTAATTTATTAGCAAGTACAAGGCCTGAGTTGAAGCCCTGTCCCACTGAAAAAGAAGAATTCTTATAGAACTTAGTACCAGGATTGAGAAATGAGATTGATGTCAATAAGAATTGGTGTCTTTAAGAAGTAACAGTAGCTGGGCACCAATGGCTCATGCCTGTAGTACTAGCTTCTCAAGAGGCTGAGATCTGAGGATCATGGTTCAAAGCCAGCCTAGGCAGGAAAAGCCATGAGACTCTTATCTTGAATAAACCACCAGAAAACCGGAAGTGGTGCTGTGGCTCAAGTGGTAGAGCGCTCGCCTTGAGCTGAAGAGCTGAGGGACAGCTCTCGGGGCCAGAGTTCAAGCCCCATTACCAACAACAACAACAACAAACGTAGTAACATTATATGGAGATGATTTTAAAAATACAAAACAAAAAAGCAAAAAACAGCTTCTTCCTCTGACTGCGAGTAAATTAACAAACCTGACAAGGGAGGGCATTAAGCCTAAGCACAATGACACCAGCAAACATTAAGCAGGCAGCCAGCTCTCAAGGTCAGTGTTTCACGCTGCCTAATACCTTTCTTATGTTAGCCAAACTGCAGAAGTTAGAATACATTGAACTGTGCTACTCAGCCAGAAAACAGTTAACATGGGAGGTGAATGTTTTCTTATTGTGTACTTATCAGTAAGAAATCATGAAATGACAAGGCTGCAGAAACTGTAGGAGTTCAAAACAAACTGAAGAGAGTTTGCCTGTGTACTGAAATCACACTGCTTATGGGTCATCATCCAAGTACACAACTTGGAAAAGGAACTTGGAAAATTCTATACATGGGACTGAAGACAGAAAAACTGCATCTGTGACTGGCATTTCACACCTGTGAGGACAAAGGCACCTGCGAAGTATGCATACAACTCATGTTACCAGTGGTACAACAGACAGCTCCCAATGAAGCACATTTTTCTGTTTACTCTTTTGTTGGGGGGGGGGGGGGGGCGGGGCGGGGTAGGCCTGCACTGCAGTTGCAAGTGGTACTTCAGTACCTGGTATCAAGGCTCAGAAGGCCCCAGGATCTGGAGGCTGGGAGAATAAGGAGTCCCAGGACCAGAATGCTGTGACTCTTATCACAGTGAGGCGGCCACCTAAGAACCAAGAGGGGCCAGCAGGAGTGGCCGCAGTGTGTGTCTGAACTAGCACTTTAAATGATGGGGATTTGAATGGCTTTCTGTAGAAGAAAAAATTTTTTCTTTTAAAGATCCACCAAAAGTTAGGCATGGTTGGGGCTAGGAAGGTGGCTCAGTGGTAGAGTGCTTGCCTTGCATGTATGAGGCCTTGGGTTTGATTCCTCAGCACCACATAAGCAGAAAAAGCTGGAAGTGGCGCTGTGGCTCATGTGGTAGGGTGCTAGCCCTAAGCTGAAGAGCTGAGGGACAGTGTCTAGGCCCAAAAGTTAGGCATGGTGGGTGATACATGCCTGTAATCTCAGTGCTCAAGAAGCTAAGACAACTCAGGCTGGGCTACATATACAGCAGGACCCTGTCTGGAAAGAAAAAAAAAATCCACCAAAAGAGATGGCTGAGCCGGGCGCTGGTGGCTCACGCCTGTAATCCTAGCTACTCAGGAGGCTGAGATCTGAGGATCGCGGTTCAAAGCCAGCCCGGGCAGGAAAGACCGTGAGACTCCTATCTCCAATAAACCACCAGAAAACCGGAAGTGGCGCTGTAGCTCAAGTGGTAGAGCGCTCGCCTTGAGCTGAAGAGCTGAGGGACAGCGCCCAGGCCCAGAGTTCAAGCCCCACGGCCGACAAAAAAAAAAAAAAAAGAGATGGCTGAAATAGTCACGCAGGTAATAGTAAACCCTATAGGTTTTTCCACTAATTTCAAGTTCCCTAGTGTAGTGTTTCTATTTATTCATCTAGCAGTCAGTAAGCATTTACTGGTCATTTACAAAAACCTATTAAGCTTGAATTCTGGGGGCACAAAGGAGGCAAGCATATCCCCTGCCCTCAGAAAGTTCAGAGTGATTTCGTATGCAAAGGGTAGAGATGGGGGCTTCCCAGAGCACTGGTGCAAAGCAAGGAGACGGGGGCTGCTAGAACACTGGTGCAAAACCAACGCAGAGGGAAAAAGGATTAGGGAGGGAAGCCGGAGGGTGTCGGCTGGGCTGGCAGGAGCACTAGACAGCCAGGGAAGAGGGCAGTGTCGAGGCTGAAGAGGGAACGTAGTGCAGCCATGGCTGACACCCACCCCTTACGTTTATGATGACAAGCAGTTGAGAGAAGCAAGCTCTCAAGAGCTCACAATTCTCATTTTCTCTTCTATGAGTGGCTTTCAAGCTCCCAAAGAAAGACAAATTTTTGTGTGACTAGACTTACTTTGTGTGTCTGAGTCCACCTTCTCCTCTCTGACAGTAGTTGGAGTGTTCAGTCTGCTTTCCGGACTGAGAAGCTGGTCTCCAGGCTGTACCACAACTAAAAGCACAACAAGCACTTTTGTCACTCTTCATTCTTAGACCTTTCCATCTGTGCAATCTCGAGCAAATTCATGGTACAGCTCATGTCAAATGAAGTTGAGAGTTTCTAGAACCAATTTTAAGCAGAAAACACTAGACAATACCAGATTAGGTACTCATCTCTTGGTTGATCGTTGAAGTACAGGGATTTAGACTTCTCAAATTTCTAATACTTGCCGTCTCTATCCTTAATGTTTTAATCAAACTGTTCACAATTTATTACTGGTAAAGGCATCATTGTGGCCCCCAAGAAACCTAGCTTTTAAAAATTAATCCCTGGACCTTCATTTTCAAGTTCACTACAAATGCACAGATGAAAACAATTTAAACAATGAAACATCAAAACACCACTCTATAATGTTTAATTTGAAAATACAAAACTTCAAAACATCCACTAACATGTAAACTATAATGTCCAATTTAAAAAATTTTTTGGTTAATGACCCTAGTCGAGGACACTATTCCTTGAAAAGAATGAGTCGCTTTTATTTTACAACTTATTAGTATTACAATGCAGTATAGAAACACACATTTCATCTCTAACAAAAAACAAGTCATCTTTTGAATATAATCTTATTAATCTTATAATCATTCAGAATGAAAAACATGAAACAGCCAATGAAAACCAGAAATCAAAAGGACATGAAACTTAGAAGTCTTTTTTGAAAGCTGGAACTCAAAATATAAACAAAATGACTTGAAAAGCACATTCGAACTACTTCCAGTAAAGATGCCAAGACTCTGAAGGTGAAGAGCCCAGAGCCTTGTTTCTAAAGGCAAGGTCACATTGTATTCGCTTCCTCACCCCAAGTTGTAACTACTTCCTGGCCAATGGGTGGCACAGAGTAGAACTGTGTGTGCCTCGCCACATTGATGAATGCCATCTCAGCAGAGCAAGGATCAAAACCCACTCAAGGACACATGACTCACTAGCTTCAAGGAGGAATCGCACACAGTGGATGAGGGAGCAGACGTGGGTCACAAACTCCGCAGAGGAGATCACACTGCAGAGGCCAGGAACCTGCAGTGCCAGGCAGCAGCAGTCCAGCCCCGCTTGGAGGTCCAGACTCAGTGGGATCTGCTCGTGGATCAAATGCCATGCCAGGGCCTGCAGGGAAGCACTGCATCAGAGAATGTCCACCCAGTACCTGGCTCTAAGCCCTATCTAGGGAAGCAGTTCCACTAGCAGCTGTGAGGAACCACTCAAAGACTAGGATGCCAGAGGATCCTGCCCTTCCGGGGTGGCTCTCACCCCGTGTCCTAGGCTGCCACCCTTAGCTCACTCACATCCAGTCCTGACCCACTCCCTGAAGTGTGAGGCTCTCCTCTTGTCAGAGCACCACACAATCCCGCTGCCTGTTCCTGCAGCACTGTGGGCACTTCTCTGGCTGCAGGGCGTCTGTCCAGAGGCTCTTTTTTGGGTCCCAAGTGCAGGGCTTGCTTTAGGCATAGCCATGAGGCTCAGGTTGGGGGTGTGGACTCTGGAGACAGCAGGACTGAAGCTCAAATGCTACACTGGCTACTTCCTAGCTGAGCAAACCTCTAGGCCTTGCTTTCCTCATCTGTGACATGGGATTAGGGCTGGTGTGGGACCTGAAGGTGATAATACAGGTAAACCTGATCCTGCACACGCTGGACAGGGTGTGAGACCTGAAGGATGGGCTCACACTGACTCTTTTCTTCTTCTTTTTTTTTTTTTTTTTGGGGGGGGGGGGGTGTCCGGTCATGGGGCCTGAACTCTTGGCCTGGGCGCTGTCCCTCAGCTCTTCAGCTCAAGGCTAGCACTCTACCACTTGAGCCACCGCACCACTTCTAGCTTTTTTTTTTTTTGCTTATGTGGTGCTGAGGAATTGAACCCAGGGCCTCATGCATGCAAAGCAAGTGCTCTACCACTGAGCCACCTTCCCAGCCCCAGAGCAGTGTTTCAGCACTGCCTCGTGAGCAATACACACAGGCCCTTAAGCTACTTGTTTCCTTGGTGCTGGGAGGAGGGGGGGTGCGGTGCAGCTCTGTGCTCACATGAGGAGAGAAGCTGCAGCACTGGAGGCCAAAGGCAGCTCTTCAGCTGTACAGAAAGGCAATACATCCACTGTATAGACCTGTTTCTGGAGCCAAGTGTTTGTTTCTCCCTAGCGGAAATACCCAGGTTTACTGCCTAGACTAGGGTGCCCGCTGGGTTCATCATGCAGTTCTATGTAGGAGTGGTGTGGGGGGAAAGCAGGGGATGTTAAGCAGATGAGACCTTGATGACAGTACTCAATGCTGCCCTGGTGAGGAAGAAGGGCCAACTTGACTGCTTAGAGCACACTCTTTTTTGCAATTGTTGTGTTTTGAGACATATCTTACTATGTAGCCCAGGCAGGCCATTAACTCTCAGTCCTCCCCTGGGGACTCCACACACAGGAGTGTGCACACCATGCACACCACATGCAGCAGGCTCTCAGTTTTTGTTTTTTGGGTCCGGTCGCGGGGCCTGAACTCTGGGCCTGGGTGTTGTCCCTCAGATCTTCAGCTCAAGGCTAACACTCTACCACTTGAGCCACAGCGCCACTTCCGGCTTTTTTTTTGCTTATGTGGTGCTGAGGAATCGAACCCAGGGCCTCATGCATGCAAGGCAAGCACTCTACCGCTGAGCCACCTTCCCAGCCCAGGCTCTCAGTTTTCAAACAGAACTATTTCTCCTTTTCACTCACACCAGGCACATGTCACCTCCTCGCAGAAACCCTGAGTCCCAGAGCTGCACGTACTCACCTCGAGGATCATCACCACGAACCTCACTGTGTCCCTCTCCTTCTCAGCAGGAAGGTGCAAATGGGTGGGTACTTTGGAGATCACTACTAGGTACTGCGCCAGGGCCCGAGCCAGCGTGGTCATGGTCTGGTATAATGTGGCATCCCCTGAAACATGAGCCCTGTGAGCATCTGTGATGTGAACACAGGCCCCTTCCTCTGCATTCTGTGCAGACACACACAGCTCCAGATACCTGGCCTCAGAACAGGTCTGCACGTGCTCAGGTGCCTGCATGCAGCAGGGACTTGCTCCTCCTGAGTATTCCTAAAGGATGTGAGACCCTGACTATGTCCAAATTGGCCAAGTGGCAAACACACAAACAGAAATTTAGAGCTCAGACATGGTGCCAACCAGGTTTTCAATCAACAGCACTGACAGGTATTCTTACCACACACCATGTTAGCCCTCAGAACTGTAAATAAGAGAAGCTTTTACTTAAATTACCAAATAGATTATTCAGCTTGCTCCAGTAGCCTGTGGGCTCCGTGGGCAGGAAAGGCTGGAAGACCTGATGGACAGCAGGAAGCTGCTGGACGATGCCAGTCACACGGTCCAGAGTCACCCCACGAGCAGCTTCAAAAAGGACACTCTTCTGGCCACACGCGATCTCGCTCATGCCGAGGCTCAGGCATGGAGCCAAGAGGCTTAGGTTGAACTCCTAAGATCAGAGCATTGAAGGTGAGACAAACAGGAAGGATATTAAGCTTTCTATCAGATAAGACAAACACAGTCAGGACTAATGCAAGTGTTTCTAAGATAATAACAATGAACTGTAAGGAATGCTTTCAAGAACACTCTAGAGACCCAAACACTAACTTGCATGCAGTGATCTAAGCCAGCTTCGGACTCTGGCAGTAAGGCCATCAGGCCTTGCACCTCTAGAACCATAAATCAAAACCAGCTAGACTTCTATAGCATAGCAACCAAAGTGGATCAATACATTCAGCAAGAGGTTTTTGTTTGAGCATAAACAGACAAAATAAGGAAATAGGTAAGATCTATTTGAATTCCTTATTAACAAAATATACTGTTTGATGTCTGCTAAAAATGTATAAACAATTTAGTCTAATATTCTTTCAGAAGAATATGTCAATGGTCTCTTTATGGCACTTTCATTTTTATCTATTTTTTTTAACCTTTTTTTTTTTTTTTTGGTTGGACATGGGGCTTGAACTCTAGGCCTGGGCACTGGCCCTGAGCTCTTCAGCTTAAGGCTAGCACTCTACCTCTTGAGCCACGGTACCAGTTCCAATTTTCTGGTGGTTAATTGGAGATAAGAGTCTCACAGATTTTTCTGCCCAGGGTTGCCTTTGAACCATGATCCTCCAATCTCAGCCTCTTGAGTAGTTAGGGTCACAGGCACGAGCCACTGACGCCTAGCAACTTTTTCCTTTTTACAAATAAAATGTTGAGGCTAATGTGCCCCATATGAAATGAATGAGACACTTGCATTCCTGGAATTAGAGGCAAATGTGCAGAAGCAGCTAGGACTGGTGACTCTAACACACAAGTGTCAACACCTAGCTGGCAAAGGGCATGTCATAGGACAATCTACTTGTTCTGTCAACTTTTTTTTAAGACATTTAAGGATTTGGGAAGCCAGTTTCTCAGATAACACATCAATTTTAGCTTAACATTTAGAAAACTGTATTTCATCACTAATATTGCAAAGCAAATGTTCCTTTGGTTACAGCTAAAACCTATAAAGCGATTAAAAGTTCACTTGCAAATTTGGAAAATCCAATAAATGAGTCACTAAGCACATTTATCTGTGAGTCAGATTCTGATGCATGCTCTTAAGAGTAAGTGAACTTTGGCAAACTGACTTCGTTTTCTTGTTCAATGCTGCTCTTATTTACAAACCAGTCAATAGCTAGAACTTCAGAACATACGCACGTGCTGCCTGGACCACAAATCCTTCTTCACTAACACTTGATTATCCTCTGGATCACGTGCTCTGTCTGTGGGGCTCTTTCCCTGCATTTGTCCGCCCAGGACTGTGGCCTACAAGTGTCCTCATCAATCTGAAAAGGAGCTCTGCTAAGGCTATGGCTATAGAGTGACTGACAGGGGCTCACTCCTCACAGGAGTCCACAGAGATGAGGACAGGAAACCCACACTTGTGAGGCCTGCTAGACCAGCCCTGCAGTATATTCTGATACCAGGGAACCTCATTACATCTAGAAGACATGAAGGCCCTGTTTACGGGGAGGACTTATTAAAGATCAATTTCAAAAACAAGTTATTTAAATCAAGAGCCACGATGCCAACACAATACATTCCTTCATTATCATGAAACACACAATGAAGAACTAAGTCTATGAATACCCACAGCTTCTTGACACATATGCCAGGCTCAGTTAAAACAACATGCCTCTTTGGGGACTCTGTTCCCCTGTTCCCCACTGGAGTACCACCCATTCTGTGTGCTATTCCTGAATAGACTCAAGTCCCCACATAAGTCACTGCTACGTCAGTCCTGTGAAGGCAAGGCAGATCCCACTCAGAATAATCCGCAGAGCTCGTGGGTCCCCGCGCCTCCACCGCATGCATACCGAGCTCATCATGAACACGCTCATGTCTTCAGCAGGGATGCGATTCACCAGCTCCGCACCTTCCAGCAGTGCAGAATCTGACTTGGTCCAACATTGTGATCTGACCAGACGGAGGTACCAGTCCTGGAAAGAAGAAACAGCCATCAGGCTGGCATTCAAGAGCTACTACCCCCACCCCTCCGCCAGTAACACCAGATGCCTGGATGGCTGGGAAGGTGGTGGGTATGCCCTAGGCTTGTAGCTAACTCACCAGACTTCAAGCATTTCTGGGCTGTTTTCCCTCTTCTTCCCCCACCACCTGGGCAACTTCCTCCAAACTCAGGAAAAGTAGCAAGGGTTAGCCAACTTCACCTCTGCTACCCTCACAAGCTATTGTAGCAACCACTGTCGATTAGTGATCTGCTTCCTTCATCTGCCTCAGCAGCCAGGACCACAGAGGTCCAATGCAGCTCAGGAGTACACAGCAGAACCTGTGTTTTTCTTCACTCAGGCTGCTGATTTCTGAAATCTCAGCTCACCTTCCCTGAGACCCCATGTGGTCTGTAACTCTGAGGTGAGCAGTGATGTTAATGACAACATGCCAAACTGCTGGCAGTGGCAGCATGTGCGAGAGGTAGAAGGTACAGGGAAAGGGAGGCAGGCCAAGTCTGCCAACAGTCTGTTGCAGCTGGCTGGAACAGCCAACTTCTGGCCTGACCAGTGATCCCCCCCCCCACCACAAGAATACCATGTCAGCTTGGCAACCGCTACCCCCGTCCTATCACAGAGCGCCACACCAGCACTGTCTTCCTCACTAGGACACCATGGTTCTCCTGTGTCCACCCTATTCACCAACCAGAGCTGCTAGTGACTGGGCAGAAAGTCAGAAGGTCCTATGTGCAGACTGCCCTCCACCTCCCAGGCGCTGCACATTCTGCACAGAGGTGTCAGTATCTCTGTGGGTACCTTGGCATCATACACAGACCCACAGAGCACTAACTTTGTCTGGAATCACCGTTTCCAGTGGCATGTACCCATCCCCGTCCAGCGGATGGGAAGTGACCGGAGGTAGGGGGCTGAGGGAATCTTGCACAGTGGAGAGTCGGAACCTGTCCAGCAGGGAATAGAGCCTTTGATGTCTGAAACACAAACACAAATGAACTGCAGTATAGTCTGTCCTTTAGACTTAGTCTCCACATTGCAAGCCACGGTGCTAGAAACACAATATAAGGAAGAAAAGAAAAGTTAAAATGCAGCTTGTTGAAAACATTCCCTTTGACATTCCAAATGCAAATCCAGGTCCTAGTTACTTTTAACTACCATAATTTTTATCTCGTTAATATTTTCCAGAAATTTCATTTACATTCACATATTTCGACAGGCACTATATGGCATAAGAACTAATATCTTTACTATATGCAAAACAGATCATTGCTTCTAAGATCCAAGTGCATAAACTCTCCTAGTTAATCTCCCACAAACAATTTATGGCCAGGTGTTGGTGGCTCATGCCTGTAAACCTCAGACCAGGCAAAAAAGTCCCAGTTGGACTCTAATCTCCAATTAACCACTCAAAAACCAGAAATAGCACTGTGATTCAACGTGGTAAAATGCTAGCCTTGAGCAAAAAGAACTCAGGGACAGTACCCAGGTGGAGTTCAAGCCCCACAACCATTAAAAAAAAAATTATTTTATACCACCAGAAAGTCATTTCATAAAAGAACCATCTCTTCTGGCCCGAGGTATCTATACTCTTTTCTAATTTCCTCATCTGGACCAAAAACTGCATCTAGAAGCAAAACACAGTAACAGTTCGTCCTCCTATTACCTCCTCCCAGACTGACAGTGACTCAGGCTGCACCAACACTTGGGTCTGCAGACTGAGAAGTCACCCCAGACTGTGTCCTGTTCCGTTTAAGGGCACCATCTGCAAGGCCTCCTAGGACTGGGGTCACGGCAGAATTATGCTGCCATGCATACGCCTCTCCACATGAAGCCGAAGGTAAAAAACTTTATCTTGTAATCATAAAACTATGCTCACATTACAGATGCATGTATTTCTGAGAAAGGCTCTGAAAGACTTTTTCAGACAGACGTCAGTGACTGAATAGCTATAAAGACACAGAATTTGACAAGATATAGATGTAATTTGTACATGCCAAGAGCCAGGTAATGCTCTCAGATTCATGATCTCTTACCTAGTGATTGGGTTATGTGTCTTCATTGTACTAAGAGAAAGCTGATAATTCATATTCCTATTCATCACAGGGCAATAAATAAAAGTAACAAAGTTACTATTCTTCAAACAGCCAACAGGTTCCCGGCATCCTTTGTGAGACTATCTGTTTTTCTTCACTTCTCATACACTCTTGGAGATTGGGGAAGCCTTCCTGCCGTGGCAGTTCTACTGCCCACCTCACAGCCTGGCCGTTTCCTAAGCCCATGTGTCTGCTCCTGCACAAGCCCAAGTCCTTCCAATCTGGCTACGGAAACCCAAGCCCGCCACGGACACAGCCTCACCTCTGCGCGAGCCCACTGCTCTGGAGGTGCTCCTGGATTCTGTTCAGCTCTTCTACTGGTAACTGGGCCATGCTGCTCTACACAGACAAGAAGACATCTGTGAGGAGCCATGATCACCTACGCTCAGGTGAAAACAACAAGCTGGGTGGGCATATCTGCCCACAGCACAGCAGGGTACAGGAGAAGCAGGTTGTCAGATAAGACATGGAATGCCAAGTTTGCCCCGGTACTCATCATTCTATTGGTGGCTCCATCAAGGCCAAACTTATGGAGAAGAAAACCCAGCCAAACGGTTTGTTTGCCATGCTATTTTGATATAAATCAGTGTCATTTTTTTAAGTACCTGTAAATTTGCAGCCAAAAGCATTTCTACCCGGCGGCAGGCCAGGGTGTCAACCATGCGAGCCAGTGCGCGGAAGGGGGTGCCCAGGAGCCTGTCCACATACAGTGTGAGCACAGCGCCCGACTGGCTGAGGTGAATGCCTTCCAAGCACTGCAGCGTGTTCTTCAGAGTGGTTGGCTAACGCCCAAGACAAGGAAGAGACAGGAGCTGATTATTGTGCCAAATGGAAACAAGCACTTTAAACATGTCATTACTCCATGTTTAAGACAGAAAGCTGACAGGCAATAGTTGGCAGACTTACCGTTGAAAGATTTTCACAACGAGATTGGATTGCCTGGATAAAAAGGCCACTGGCGGCAGAATTCCGATGAATTGCACTAATAAAGTCCTGGACTGGAGGCTCATGGGACAGGCTGATCAGATCTTGAATGTGATTCACAATGAGCCACGTTAGGTGCTCTGAGTCATGGAGATTCTGACACTGGGAAAATACAATCAAAGGCTCATTTGCAAGCAGGCAAGATAAAAGGCCACAGAGGGTTGGCAGAAGACATATTTCAAATGTCAACTTTGCCTCACTAAAAATATAGAGGTTATTTGAACACAACTAACATAAGAAGTAGGACATTCAATCTGCAGAGACTGTTACCTCCAACCACAAGCCACGAGACCACAGAAGTCAGAACCCACAGCCAATGCCAAGCTCCCACGAGCAGTAGAAAATGGTACAAGGTCAGACAAAAGGAACACAGGTCCCTTCCTATGGAGAGGTCTGAGGCCACAGAAGCAACACATCACCACCCATGGCCCTCTGCTTTCCCCAATCCGCGTACAGCGTTTCCAAACTTACGACATAATCACAGAAGAGAATGAGGGCTCCCCTTCGCACAATCTCTCTGTTGCACATTCCAAGTTGGGCTGCTGAGTCAGAATCCTCCTCATCAGACATCTGGGGGCTGAGCGACTTTGTGCAGGATAGACTGTGTCTCCTACAGGAGTGACAGATGCCATGAGGGTGTGTCTATGGCAACAATAGGCATGCGCACAATACAGAGCAAAGGTATGCTTGAGTCTTGTTCTTAAACACACAAGTTATCCTCAAATTGCTACATCACAATGATGTGCAAGCAATAGGAAAAAAAAAACTTCACTTGGTCATCTGTGCTTGAGACTATGATATAAAAGCACGCGGGAAAAAAGTAAGGACACAGGGAGTTTAGCAGGCAGAAGATTGAAGTGCTTGGCTGAAGGAGTAAATCCATCACAAAACTGCACCTCCAAGCCTCACTGCTCTTTCAGAATTCACAGTGGCCATGTTTGGTCATAAATTCCTGTCTGCCATACTCACTGTCAACTTTCAGAATGACAGAAATAGTGACACTGAACAAGAAGCACTATACTCATTATCAGACATGGAATTGTAACCGCTTTGTGTAACTACATCATCATCATCATCATCAGCAGCAGCAGCAGCAATAATAAAAAAGAAAACTTTTATATTTTACTATCAATTCCAAACAAAACATTACTCTGTGAATGTGTCTGCAGTGCACATCCTATTGCAGGATCATGGTTTCAAATATTTCTGGAGGCCTGTAAACCTAGTTTCTAAGGAGTCTGAGATCTGAGGATTGCAGTTTGAAGCTGGCTTGGGCAGAAAAGTCTGTGAGACTTGTATCTCCTTAAAATTAAGTACCAAAAAAGCCAGAAGTGGAGCTGTGGTTCAAGAGATAGAGTGCTTGCTTTGAGCAAAAAGCTCAGGGACAGTGCCCAAGGCACTGAGTTCAAGCCCCAGGATAAGCATAATTTTTTTTTTAATGCCATTCGTGAAAGCACCTCTCCTGGCCCCCGTGATAGTATTGGCCTGGCCTGAGCACAAGACAGACTTCTGACAAGCTGAGGGAGGAGAGTAAGCTATCATTCCACTCTTCCAAAAAGTTAACAGAACTGTTTTTGTCTTGTACATGTAGTCAAGGCAATGAGCATAATCCCTTAAAAAGAAAGAAATCCCTTGGAATTGGGCTGTGAGAATTTTAGATGAAAGGGTGGAGCCTCTGCCTAGCAAGCCTGAGATGAAACTCAAGTCAAAATTTAGTAACATAAATAAGAAAATAAGACACTTTGCCAACTGGTGGCTTACGGGTGGAGCTAGCAAGCCTGAGGTGATGCCTAAGTTCAACCCCTGAACAATACAGAAATGAATCAACAAGTAGAAAACAGTGCTGTGGAGGTGTCTGAGGACAGGCCAAGCAGGCCTGAAGTGAGACCTTGGGTAAAACCACAAACTAACTATGTGAATAAATAAGTAAGAGTAATAAAACTCTTCCTCACTGAAGCGCCTCTCTTCCTACTTCACCTCATACTTAGTCTCAGTGTCTCTTTTTCTTTTAAATAGATGGGAATTATAAACCTCAAGACTCAATTCTAGCTCAAATGCTTACGACATGCTCTGGCTTCGGGGTGTGGGAGAGAACTGGCTGTGTCCTTCTGGGAACAGCAGGGCCCATCTACCTCCTGCTGAAGCCCGGTGGGAGCAGAGGCCATGCAAGCACAAGCTGGAGAGGGCATGTGGTTGGAGGTCACAGGCTCTGTAAACTGAACGTCCTGCCTCTTCAGTTGGTTGTGTTCAAACTTCTGAACTGTGTCTACTGATACTTTGGCTTCCTGATTTAGAAGGTAACTAGAATAAAACATTCTACAAGTTAAAAACTTTTCCAAACAGCCATTTCTGTTTCTCAACTGATGACTGGATAAGCAAAACACCAAATTTATAACCAAGAAATATATGTGGAAAAATCATTAAACTCACAGGAAACACAACAGCAAGTTATCCTTCATTAATACAATTTTAGGAGACGTTTTTCTTTGTTTTATTTTGTAAATCACATGAGTGATGCTGGTTTTATAGTTAAAACCTCCACAGAAAGCCAGGCACCAGTGGCTCACACCTATAATCTTAGGCACACAGGAGGCTGAGATCTGAGCATTGCAGTTTGAAGTTAGCCCTGGCAGGAAAGTCCGTGACACTCTCATCTCCAGTTAACCACCAGAAAAAGCCAATAGTGTAGCTGTGGCTCAAGGGATAGAGTGCTAGCCTTGAGCTTTTAAAAAAGTTCAGGGACAATGCCCTGACACTGAGTTCAAGCTCAAGAACAGGAAGGAAAGAAGGAAGGGAGGGAAGGAGGAGGCAGGCAGGCAAGCAAGCACACATGCACTAGTATTATGAACAAGCTGCCTGATGACATCAAAGCACCCTGTCACTTACAGCATGCTCTGGGAACCAGAGGTATCAGCACCACTTAGGAGCTTGGCAGAAATGCAGGCTCCCAGGTCCGAGCAAGCTAATGCCTCCAAGTGTTACCTAAACTAGCTTTCTGGCTGATTTCTGTGTACCTATTATAAGCACAGAGCTGACCTCCAGACTACTAGAGCTCCTACAGCTGAGTTGCTGTGACAGACCAAGGCATTCTCTAGGCATTTTGAATACTGTTTGGCTCTATCTCTTCTAGCTGAGTGATCACATGTGGGCAGGAAGCAGCATTGCTTTTTCCTTTGCAAATTGCACGGAGCATGAAGACAGGCAATCATATCCCTAACAAGGTGCCTGGTTAGATAGAAGGCCTGACAGAAGCCCCATTTCCCGGTACCAAGCACACTAGCACTTCTGGATTTTTTCCTTGAAGGGTTTTCAAGCTGTCCAGAAACTGCACCAAGGACTTGGCATGGCTCACTGTTTTCACTTCCAAACATGAGTGAATGTCTGAGTAAGCACCTGGACACCAGGGCTTCAGCCTGAAAACATATGAAAGTGGCTACACACAACCAGAAGCTTAACAGTAAGTCTTTCTGAGTACTTTTTTAAAAAGTCCTATTTCCAAACAGTTGTGAAATTTGCTAAATAATTACTTCATTATCTAAGAATAACCAGAACCACATTTAACTCAGAATGCAGTTATTACAACATGTCTCGCTGTGGAACCAATTTAAATCCTGTAACCTAGCAGGAGGGATACGGCCCAACAAGAGCATCAGGCAAGACAAAAAGTGTCCAAGAACCTGTCAAAGACGATCACGTTGAAAAAGCAGCAGCTCGCTTTGAATGCCGATAGTCAAACCACATTCTCCCCTACAATACAGTGCCTATGGAAGGAAGATTAATAATACCGCCAGAATTCCACAAAGCCGCACGAAGAATGGAAACTGAAAACGCCTTCAGAGTAGTCAAGCCTCAAATCACGTAGCATCTTGAGCCAAGCACTTGGCAGACACCCTGGGCTGAAGGAGCCATGTACCTACTTGGGAGTCTGTTGCACCTCTGCCCACCAGCAGTGGTCTGTGTGGTTGACAAGCAGCAGGATCTGGCACCAGAGAAGCACCAGGGCCGGGTGCGTGGGCACCATGGAGCGCACGTGCGCGTTCAGACTCTCTAGGGTGTAGAAGCTGCCCTCACCACTGTCGCTGCTGAAGAGTTTAGTGGCAGCTGCTGTAATTCTCCGGAACATTCCTAGAACCAAAGTAAATGGATTATGGGAAGCTGCCTCCTGTCATCTCAGCCTAGCACCACATAGCTACATGAAGACTTCACATCAAAAATGCATGGGTGGCTCTTTCCCGTGCCACATGGTCAAAGTACGTGGTGCTTACAGAAGTCTGATTTTCTAGGCAGAAATACATACTCTACTCAGGCCAGAAAGCAATGCCTGTCCCTCCCACTGTCTTCCCCTCTGCTGCTCAACACTGCCACATTCTCCAGACACTCCAAGCTGGGTGCTCCAGAAGCCTGGACACAGCTACACCTAAGGAGGCAGCCAACACAGTGTCACACGTCACTGAGCACAGGCCACAAAGGGCCTTCCTGGAACTGGGTCACAGCCGTGAAGCAGCACAGTACTCTCACCTGCTCCTTGGCTTGTTGGTAACTGAGCGACAGAAATACCACAAAAGGTTTTTTGGGTTGTTGTGGTTGTTCTGAAAATTTAGACATTATCACAGGAGGCAAACAATGTGATCAATTTTTCAAATCTGAAAACATATTCCTTCTGTTTTGAAACCATACTTAATTTTGAGTTTTATTCACTCATTGATTCCAAAATGAAAGCTCAAGAAGTATTTTTCATGGACTGGCAATCGGCCACCTGAGTCACACCTCCACTTTAGGCATTTTGCTTGTTATTAAGTATCTCTTGAATTTGCATGTCCAGCCTGACTCTAAACCACAAGATCTCAACCTCCTCTGCAGCTAGGATTACAGGCGTGAACCACCAGCATAACTATTTTTTTCTCTGCCAGTCCTGGGGCTTGAACTCAGGGCCTGGGCGCTGTCCCAGAGCTTCTTTGGCTCAAGGCTATTGCTCTACCACTTGAGCCCCAACTCCACTTCTAGCTTCTTTTGGTGGTTAACTGAAGGTAAGAGTCTCATAGACTTTCCTGCCCAGGCTGGCTTCAAACCATAATCCTCAGATCTCAGCCTCCTGAATAGTTAGGATTACAGGCCTGAACCATTAGCAGCTGGGATCATAACCACTTTTAAGTATACAGTCCTGGAATTAAATACATTGATAATGTGGCCCAATCAGCAGCACCACCACCTGTTCTGTCTCTCCTCTAAGTATCTCATGAAAATGAAATCAAACATTTGCCCTTTTGTGTTTGGCTTATTAGCAGAATGCCCTCAAGAGTCACCCATGTTGTAACATATGTCAGAATTACTTTCCCTTTTCAAGAAGAAAACTCCATTTCTAGACAAATCCAGCTACCTAATGCACCACATACATACCAGCTTTTGTGTATCGGTTATCCCACAGCAGACACCAGACGTGTCACCAGCTTAGCTACTGTGAGTAACAGCTGCTGTTATGAACATCAGCTTGGCACACAAATCTCTTCCACTCACCCTGCTTCCATTTCTTTGGGCATCTCCCCATAAGAACAACTGCTGGACCACATGGTCTCAGATTTATTCTTTTCATTAGCAAAACATTTTCAAATGGCACAGTAAACACAGAAGAGCTCCCACAGCACAGCCCCATGTCCTAAGAGCACACTGTGCAGGAGAGAAGACACTGAAACACCACAAAGATGACTCCTCATCGCCTACCAGACTTGAAGATGTGGATGAGGCACATGAGCAGTGTGCCTAATTCCTGGCAGTAGAAAGTATGCTGCTGTTCACTCATTTCCACTTTCAGTTGTTTTGTAACAATGTCCTCTAGAAGAACACCAGCCAGCTGTAACAGAAACCTGAAGAGGGGTGGGGGGGGCGTAGGGGGTGGTGGTGGTAGAGATGGGGGTGGGGAGGAGACAGACTGTGAGAAGGTAGCCATCATAGGGAGAGGGTGACAGTGAACAGGCAGCTGTCACAGGGAGAGAGCAACAGTGAACAGGTGCCCATCACAGGGACGGGATGACAGTGAGCAGGTGACCGTCACAGGGAGAGGGTGACGGGAACAGGCAGCTGTCACAGAGCGTGTAAACCAAGTATATATGGGACATAGACACAGTAAGTTAGGTAATGTAAAAAAGGTACACTAAACAGAGTGGCAGTGAATGTTTCATTACCATTACTTGTGTGTGCACGCACATGTGCACACTGGGATTCCAACTCATGATCTGAACATTGTCCTTAAGCATTTTCGCTCAAGGCTGGTTGTCTACCATTCGAACCATACCTCTACTTTCAGCTTTTTGGTGGCTGATTGAAGAAAAGAGTCATAGACCTTCCAGAACAAGTTGGTTTTGAACCACAATCTTTAAATCTCAGCCTCCTAAGTAGCTAAAATGACAGATATGAGCCACTGGCTCCTGGCCCCATCAGTTTGACTCAGTGGCGTTCCTCCCTGTATTCCACCTTCCTCACTCACGCATGAAAGCAACCACACCACCTTCAAAATGACATCTGTATGTATGGGGCTTTTTGGCTTTGTGCTGGTCCTGAAGCTTCAATTCAGAACCTCGCATTCTCACTCGGCTTGGCCTGCTCACAGCTGGCACTCTACCATTCAAGTCATGACTCCACTTCTAGCTTTTTAAAATTGTCTGCAGTCACCATGTGACCTCCCAAAAGCTACGCATTACAAGGTTAGACAGAACGCATACCTTGAGAATATTTCTTCTGGCAAACTCTTCACTTGTTTCCTTTCAGTGTGTTCTCCCATTGTTGAGCTACTGTCTCCATCTCTTAAACGGTTAATTACCGGACAGGAGATTAAATAGGGAGAGAAGGAGAGCTCCTGAATACGAGAAAGAACAATATCTTCAGTTGACTGGGAAATGAGAACCCTCAGAATGGCTAGGATTCCAGATACCCACAGTTGAACAGTGCTCACAGATGCCTGAAAGAAAGAAAATATATAATTAAGGAAAGAAAAAGATTACAATTTCCCAGGTCGTCAGTTCCCCTACGAGACGACTTGTATCACTCCTGCAGTGAGTCCCTGCGCCCCCAGTTCTCCAACTGTGGTGACAGCGGTAGCACCAGTGGCGGCTGGGGAGGTGGGAAAGGAACTTTGAGCCCCCGAACGAGACTGAGGCAGCCCTGTGCTCCAACTCTCTTTCCCACCCAGGCAAATTGGGTGCATCAGGTGACTCACCATTGTACTTGGCGTGACAAACATACTCCGCAAAAGCATGTCCACAGGACGGAGGGAGGAAGGGGCCAAAATCTCAAATAAGGTATTTAACACTCCAAGGGCTTCATGAGAATCAATATGCATCTGCAGAATTGAACAGCAGACATTTCCACATAGGCCAATGGAACGGCAGCTTCACAGACAGCAGGCTCTGTATCTCCAGGGCACCCACCACCAAGGCCAGTAGCACCCTCCCCTTAGAAGCTTTTAAGACAGCATTGTGTCTGCTGCACTTCTCCCTTTTTCTCTCTTCCTCTTTTCATGGTACTGGAGACTGAACTCAGATCCTTAAGCACTATACTCCCTAAACCACTCCCCCAGGCTCGGCTGGATTTATTCCACAATAAAAACCTTCTATAAAAGATTCCAATACACAAAGGTGTCACAATGGATGGAACCTGAGGTGCAATGACCAGCTTTCTGTGCCCTGCCCTCTCCCAGTGCCTCCAGACAGCACACGGGACAGCACACACAGCCTTCCCGCTCCACCTGCATCCCACCCCACCTCGCCAGGCAGCCACGAATATTAACAAAGCAGCACACTTCCCTATCTGAACTTTCCCATGTCCCTGCAAGCACATACCTACCTTCACAGAGGGTTTTCTTTTGAAAAACTATATTAGGTAGGTGTTTGCCTTTTCTCACTTAACAATACAATGGAGAACTCCCAAGGCAACTGCCTACAAAATCTGTTACCTTTTTTTTGGCTGAGAATGGAACTCATTATCTGGTGCTTCTGCTCACTGGCTGACACTCTTACATCTGAGCCATGCCTCTACCCTAACATCTATTAACTTTTTTTTTTTTTTATTGTAAAGATACTATACAGAGGGTTACAGTTACATCTATTAACTTTTAATGGACACAAATGATTACAAACTAAGCCTACAGCACAATGTAGTCAATCATTCCCCTAGTACTTGGTGCTGACTCTAACTCCCCACTTTCTGTTACTGCTGAGGGTGAATACTTCCTTCAGTGCCACTTCCTCTTCCTCTAGAATCCCCCATATCCACAGTAAATGCCACCTCCACCGGTGTGGTCTTCAGTAGTGGGTCCTGGTTGTGCCAATGACTCTTCCCATTCCTCTCTCCACAGGTGCTGCCCTTCCTCCTGTTCCCTCATCTAGCACATCTCTTTCCAACGTCCTCTTCCTGTTGAAATCCTGCTCTGTCTGCTTCTCCAAAATCCCTCACTAGTGCCCCAGTCCTGTCAATGCCAGCTGAGACTCCAGGACTCCCACATCCACCCCCTTGCTCCTCCATGGAAAGTCTTTCCCACGCTTGGCTTTAGGAATCCCACATCTGAGGTTCCTCACCTCTACCACAAAGAGGCTGTGCCTTCTCCATACTTGTCTGAGCTCTATGAAGCCCGATCCAGTGGGCTCGGACCAGGGCTTTTCTCCAGCAGCCTTATCCACCTCATCCACCCCTCTGAGATCCTGTCTAGAGGCCAGTCTCGCCCTTACGAGGTGTGTCCACTGAGCAGACAGACCAGGGGTCTCTGTTCCCAGTCTCTGTGTTCTGTCCATAGGACTTCCACAGGTACCCTGAAGTTACTAACCCAACGCCTCTCCCTCACAAGCCACATCCACATATCCATTGGTCCTATTTTTATATTGTGTCCAAAGATGCTACGAAGGGTGAGTGCACTCTGCCATGGGACGGCTCCTGTACACCACTCTGGGAGCCTATATTCATCTTAGCAATCAAAATAATCCAGGTAAAACTCAAATCATATCACCTTGCTCCTTTGTGCCAAAGTGTCCTCTTCCTGTGACTGCTCCACCAGGCTGGTCTTCTGAACCTATCAGGCAGGCTCCTGCCCCAGGCCTCCTCACAGCTGACTGCTCTGCTTCCAGGTATTCACTAGTCACCCACCCTCCCTCCCTCCCATCCCTCCATTCCTGTCCCTCCCTTCCTCCCTCCCTCCCTCCCTTTTACTCAAGTGTCAGCAGCCATTCTGGGTAAGGCCTTTTCTCGTCTCCAATGGAATGTAGCCCTCACTTCTAGGTCTTCCTCCTCAATTTATTTTTTTTATTTTTTTATTTTATTTTTTTTGTCGGCCGTGGGGCTTGAACTCTGGGCCTGGGCGCTGTCCCTCAGCTCTTCAGCTCAAGGCAAGCGCTCTACCACTTGAGCTACAGCGCCACTTCCGGTTTTCTGGTGGTTTATTGGAGATAGGAGTCTCACGGTCTCTCCTGCCCAGGCTGGCTTTGAACTGCGATCCTCAGATCTCAGCCTCCTGAGTAGCTAGGATTACAGGCGTGAGCCACCAGCGCCCGGCTTATTTTTTTTTAAAGAGATGTGGTTTTTTTTTTTTTTTTTTTTGGGGGGGGTGTCCAGTCGTGGGGCCTGAACTCGGGGCCTGAGTGCTGTCCCTCAGCTCTTCAGCTCAAGGCTAGCACTCTACCACTTGAGCCACAGCGCCACTTCCGGCTTTTTTCTTTTTGTTTATGTGGTGCTGAGGAATGGAACTCAGGGCCTCAGACATGCAAGGCAAGCACTCTACCACTGAGCCAACTTCCCAGCCCCTCCTCAATTTTTTGCACAGTACTTACTACCACCTGATACTTGTGTATACTTTATTCATTTATTGCTCTATCTGATCTTCTATACAGTATCTGTCCCAATGAAACTCTTAATCTTTGATGAGAAGTACTTTTTAACTGCTTTGTTCATTAATGTGGCCACTGCCAATACCCACATGATTGCCAAGCATTATTGCAATAACTCACATCTGTATTAGGGTACTGACTAGAGACCTTGCCAAGAGTTTCATATGATAAACATCAGACATTCACAGAAGCAGATGTTGAGCTGGGCATTTGTATGAATTCAGGCTTATTTACCTGCAGTAAATAAACTCCCATGTAAAAATGTCTACCAACAGGCCTGGGGTCCCCCCCCTTGCTCACTCCTAACACTGCTTGTCCATCTCACCATGTGCCCCCTGCATGGTCCACCATGGAATTACAACATGGAATTACCTGCTCAGTCTACCTATATATACTTTTTTAGCAAGTGCCAGAAACTGTGACTCGCACTTGTTTAATGTAGACAAATGCTGCCCAGCCACACCAGGGAGCTGGTAGGCTTTCTGGTGGCACTGTGTACACCCCGCAGCCCTCCGCCACTCTTACAATGGTGTTGGGAGAGGCACAGCCTCCCCGCGCCCTGGAGTCCTTGTGGTCCAGAACCACTGATATGGCACAACTGAGAGATCAGATCTTCCCATTGCATTTTTTTTTTTTTTTGGGTTGGTTGTGGGGCTTGAACTCTGGGCCTGGGAACTGTCCCTCACCTCTTCAGTTCAAGGCAAGTACTCTACCACTTGAACCACAGCACCACTTCTGGTTTTCTAGTGGTTTATTGGAGGTAAGAGTCTCACAGACTTTCTTGCCTGGGCTTGCTTTGAACCGTGATCCTCAGATCTGAGCCTCCTGAGTAGCTAGGATGACAGGCGTGAGCCACCAGCGCCTGGCTTCCCACTGCATTTTTTAGAACAACCAGTTATGTCATTTGATTCTTGAAATTCTGATTCAATGATGGGTAACCAAGTGACTGTAGAAATGATAAGGGTCCAGATCTTGTTTTCAACCCCAACCAGAGAGAGTTATTATGAGAAAAGAATTCATCTAAGCTTGGTACCAGTGCCTCATGCCTGTAATCCTAATCAGGAGACTGAGAACTACAAGATCACAATGTGAAGTCAGCCTGGACAGGAAAGCCCAAGAGACTCCCTGTACTAATGAACCAGCTAAAAGTTGGGCTGGAGGTGTGGCTCAAGTGTTAAGAGTGCCATCCATGAGCAAGAAAGCTCAAGAAGCATGGGATCTTGTGTTCAAATTCTGATAACTCTATCATCAAAGCATAAGTCTACTATGATTTGATGATCACAACCCACAAAACTACACAACAGCAAACCAGGGCCGGGTGACAAACCTGCTGCTTGGCTAACATAGGCAGGATGATGTCGGCAACCTGCCGAGATAAGCGCTTCCACCTGTCCTCACTCTCTTTGTGGCACTGCTGCAGGACAAGGATGAACATCTCCAGCACCTGCAAGAGTGTTTGTATGCAATTAGGAAACCTCTCGCCCACACAATCTTCCTGTTCCTACAAGTCTACTTCCCACACGGATCCCACTCAGCTGGAAGGCTCTGGAATTCAAACAGATGTAATCCCCATGGAGATCCACACAAATGTGGAGAAACCAGAGGGAAACACAAGGGATGGAGCAACAAGCTGCTGAAGGGAGTTGCATAACTTGCACCATCATCAGTATGACTTGTAGTCATTACTGCTTCTGTGGGATTTATAAAATTGTATGATCAATGATAAGGCACACAATGAAAATTAAACTTGTAGTAAGTTTGGTGAGGTATCCACCCTCTGCGATGCCCTGCTGCTCTGTGCACATTCATTTCTTTTGCTGTTTGCAAAGATGCTCTATTAAGGAGCATTTATTTCTAAGAGTTGCACAGGGCTGAGGATAAGCTAGTTAACAATAATTTCTATACAACGGCATCTGTAACTGGGCAGCGGTATGGTAACAAGGGGTGGCCAGCCTGCTGCCTGCTTTTGTAATGTGCTATCCATGTTCACGCTGACCCTGTCTGACAGAGATGAACTGTTGCGAAGGAGACTGCAGACTTGCGAAGCTGCTCATGCTTATGACCTACTGCTTCACAGAAGAAGTTTGCGAGCCCTGACTTCTAAAATGTAAATGGTGTAGAACACATATCCACCTCTGGAACAAATTCTTTTTTCTTTTTTTTTGGGTCTGGTCGTGGGGCCTGAACTCTGGGCCTGGGCGCTGTCCCTCAGCTCTTCAGCTCAAGGCTAGTGCTCTACCACTTGAGCCACAGCGCCACTTCCGGCTTTTTTCATTTTGCTTATGTGGTGCTGAGGAATCGAACCCAAGGCCTCAGGCATGCAAGGCAAGCGCTCTACCACTGAGCCAACTTCCCAGCCCACTCTGGAACAAGTTCTATAAAGTCTCCTCCAACTACCTCATCTCCATTGGCTTCTCTCTTCAGAGGCCAGGTATAGAACTTATATCACACAGGAACTTATTGCCCCTTTGTTTTAAGAAGGTGATAGAGTCTCAATGAGATGTGCTGAGAGACTTGGTCACAACCCTCTTCTCCAGGGCTCTGCCAGCCCTGCTGTGCCTGCCAGTTCAGCTGCACACACACACCACTCTGTTACTATTTTTTATTGTAATCATGTGGCGTAATTAAGCTATTAGGTATATAATGCTACACAGTTCGAACAAAATATAAATGCACAATCTCCAATGCACAAAGATAGTATTGTTTCTTTTGTGAAGACCTTATGGCTTCATAAAGATTCAAAGACTGAGAGCTAAAAAGAACTAACTAAGTGAACACCAGGCAACAGTGTAAGTTTCAAGAAACAGAAAAATCAAGAAAGCTACATATCTACACTCAGACTACTTCAAAATGTTTTAAATTCTTGTTCAAGGTTAAGGAAAACAAGGCCAGAAACTAACTCAAAGAAAACAGAGCTTAATTCTGTTAAGTTAAAATTTCAAAAAAGAAAAGAAAAAGAAAAAAAAAAGCCGTTGAATTATTTCAGATTTCAATTATTCTACTTTTCTGACAACATTGTCAACTAATTGATTCTTTTTCTTTTTTTCTTTTTGTATGCCAGTCCTGGGGCTTGAACACAGGGTCTGGGCATTATCCCTGAGCTTTTATGCTCACGGTTAGTAATCTACCACAAGAGTGACATCTGTTTGAAGGTTTTTTTTGGTAGGTAATTGTCTGGACTAGCTTCAAATCATGATCCTCAGATCTCAGCTTCCTAAGTGGCTAGAATTATATGTGAGCCACTGGAACCTGGCAACTAACTGATTCTTGAACCCTGTCTTAAACAAAATACCTCTGGCCACATTTAGTATCCTGAATGATGGGTAACTTACTGTCAGCAAGGTATCAGTGGCCTCTGGGGCTGTGCAAGTTTTAAAGATCCAACCTCACTACATCTCCAGTCACTCCTGGCCTTCTCCCAGTCCCAAGAGAGCCTGATGGTGGTCCAAAGTAACATCCAATATATAATACACGGGACTCCCTAGCATTTCCTTCCAATGATGTATATATGACTATTGCCGTTCTTTCCTCTTACCTGATGGTACTGGATGAGTCTCAACAACATCGACACCACCACTTCCTTCTGGGTTTCAAGCTCTTTGCCTGCATCAGCCTTATTTGTTCCCCTTAACACAAAGAGGTCATGAACTATGGGCTGCAGAGCTGGTATGGCTATGGGCACAAAAGGGAAGGCAAGATGGCTTTACAAGAAGATTAGATTTGGGAGACAGTTTTCAACAGCTCCATCATATTTTCAAGAAATAAAGAAAAACTGTTTGGTTTATAATAAGGGATGAATTAAGATTACCAGTGAATGTTGTAAAATTATCTTGGTATTGTTGTGGAAGGATAAAGTTCTTCTCTGAACACTTACAAGGTTTTTAAAGATTTAAAGAAAAAAACAAACTAAGATTCCTGTAACAAACACAATGTCATTTCTGACAAAAGGTCACCCAAAGCCAGGTGCTGGAGGCTCACAGCTACAATCCTAATTATTACTTATGAGGCTGAGATCTGAAGAACCTGGTTCAAAGCTATCCCAGACAGGAAACTCCCTGAGACTCCAATTACGTAGGAAAAAAAAAAGTCAGAGGTGGAGCTGTGGCTCCAAGTGGTAAGTGGTAGAACACTAGGCCTGAAGCACAAAAGCTCAGTGACAGAGCCCAGCCCCAAAAAAGGCACCAAAAAAAAGAGGAAATTCATATTTAAAACTCTATTTGAAAACTAAGATATCCAAACAAGCAAAACAGCAACATAATTTAATTCATAATCTACTTGATTAACTTAGAAACAAATCAGTATTTTTCCTATAGAATACATTTCAGTCTGTCATAGATTATTATACTGTTTTAGTAAAGTACTGTTTAAATTAGATAAAAGAGGTTTTCCCTGTACAAATTTAGCTATTCTAAGAAAACCATACAGAGAAAAAACTACCAAAGAAATGACTTGAATTGCACACCACACAATATGACTCAGCAGCACGCTCACACTCTTTGGTGATACCACACATATAGATTCTCTGATACTTGGTGACACACATTGACTTTCAATCTCAATCTCTCTCTCTCACACACACACAGACACACGTATAATCAGATGATAAGTGTGTGTGTGCATACTTGCTGACCCTCAGTGACATGGACACACACTTCTACCTATAATGACCCGCAATGTACACACTGCACATTGTGCACACTGCCCACAATGTACACATACAGATGGAGACTTTAGCCCAGGGGAGCCTGGCACGTTCACATGTATCCTGTCAGTAACATGCACGCAAGCATTTTTATATATGATGATACGTCCACAAGGACGCACTTGCTGACCTTCCTTCGGATGACAAGTGTCCCAGGAGAAAGCTCTGTGTGGCAGTGCCACCCTCACAGGGTCTTAAGATAGATCCTTACCAAATGTCAAGAATCTCCAAATTCCTGGCAAAGACACAGGCAGGAGCCAACAGGGAAATACTGAAGACCAGTTTTAGAAGTTCAAGAAAAAGAGCCGGGCGCTGGTGGATCACGCCTGTCATCCTAGCTACTCAGGGGGCTGAGATCTGAGGATCGCGGTTCAAAGCCAGCCCGGGCAGAAGAGACCGTGAAACTCCTATCTCCAATAAAGCACCAGAAAATTGGAAGTGGCGCTGTAGCTCAAGTGGTAGAGCACTTGCCTTGAGCTGAAGAGCTGAGGGACAGCGCCCAGGCCCAGAGTTCAAGCCCCACGACCGACAAAAAAAAAAAAAAAAAAAAAGAAGTTCAAGAAAAAGGTTCATAGTATATCCTTAAGACACACACCACCTCTCTTCATGGGCTGAAGGGACTACCTGAACAGCTGGCCGGCTGTGTGGTTCCTACTTAAGCTCTGGTGAAATGATCTACCGATGCTGGCTTCATCCTCAGGCGGGCGCTGTGATGAGGTGCCAGGGTAAAGGAATGTCTGCTTTAACAATAAGTCTGCTTTGCTAGTCATTACTTAAATGTGCAGTGCATTTGTATACAGGCTACACGTGGACTTATCATGAAAAATAACTTGGTTGAGCCGGGCGCTGGTAGCTCATGCCTATAATCCTAGCTACTCAGGAGGCTGAGATCTGAGGATCGAGGTTCAAAGCCAGCCCAGGAAAGAAAGTCCGTGAGACTCTTATCTCCAATAAACCACTAGAAAACCGGAAGTGGTGCTGTGGCTCAAGTGGTAGAGCACTTGCCTTGAGCTGAAGAGCTGAGGGACACGGCCCAAGCCTCCCCCCCGAAAACAACAACAACAACAACAAAAAAACTTGGTTGAATATTTATCTCCCCCCAAAAAGCCCCCACTAAATCAGGTCCCCACTACATCCAAAAAAAAAAAAAAAAAAAAAGCCCACTAAATTAGTCTAATACCAGTGAAATAGAAAACAAAGTAGATTTATGTCAAGCTAGACTGTAAAATTTCTGAGTCTGGGGTTGTAGCTCAATGATAGAGCACTTGCCTAACAAGTGTGAAAAATCTAGATTTGACTATAACCCCTCCCCCCAAAAAAGAAGAATAAAAAATTACAAATACTGTGTTTTCTATAAACAAACAAGGGAATTTATATTCAGAATCTAATCTTTATCTTTATTTTTGAGTGCTAGTCCTGGGGTTTAAACTGAACTCAGGGCCTGGGTGCGGTCCCAGAGCTTTTGTGCTCAAGGCTAATGCTCTACTACTTAAACTCCACATCCAGCTTTTTGGTGTGAATCTGACTTTTTGGTGGTAAATGGCAAATAAAAGCTTATGGACTTCCCTGCCTAAGCTGGCTTTGAACCCTGATCCTTAGATCTTAGCCTCCTGAGTAGCTAAGATTATAGGTGCACACACAGTGAAAGTGGGCACTCGCAGAGTTGAAAGTGGGTAGAAGAAGACTAACACTGCTGGGCATATCATGACACTGAAGATAGGGAAAGGGGTATCCTGTTACCATGTGTCACAGCCTTCCTCCCACTGGCCATGATGCCGTCGCACAGCTGAATGATCTTAGGAATCCCGATGATCTGTTTTGAATGGTAACGCTCATAAGATAGTAATACCAGGAAGAAAAAGATGTTTGGAATAATTGCCTCTGATTCCCTGGAAACAAAAACATCCATTTAGACATTTCTTCTTATTAAGAACACATGATCAATACGAAAAGCATAAAATAACTGAAGATTCAACATCAAGAGGTGGTGAGAGTTCTGAGGTAAAAAAGATTCAGCAACCTAATTTTATTCTGCACTTAATTTTAACAGTGTCCTGGCTCCGTGCACATGGAGAATGTGTCTGCTGGACCAAGCAGAAGGTACTTGACAGCCCTGGAGGCCCAGCATATGAAATCTTCCTAATTCTCCACTGTCCCTTCACTCATGAACAAATGAACACTAAAAAGAGAAAAGTATAATGCCTAAAACCACACAATCAAGGTTCCACATAATCAGAGTAAGACCTGGGTATGAGAAACTCAAAAACACTTTCCTTCTACACAGTGTTCCACAAACTTCTTATTAAGTACTTCAGAAAATAAAGAACAGCAATCTTCTATGATTATAAACCTGTAACAGGCACTGCAAAAATGCACTAAAGCTTTAATATATAGTAAGGAAAAGCTGTAGCTAATAAGTGAATAATCATTGCTTTTATTAAAAGCTTACTTTAAAAATGCTTTTGGCCAAGTGGCTAGTGGCTCACTTCTGTCATCCTAGCTACTCAGGAGGATGAGATCTGAGGATCTTGGTTCAGAGCCAACCATGGGCAGACAAATTGGAAATAATCTTATCTCCAACTAACCAGAAAAAGGCTAAAGATTAAGATACAGCTCAAGTGGTAGAACATTGGCCTTGAGTGAAAAAGCCAACCTAGATCTCAAGGCTTAGAGTTCAAGCCCCAGTACTGGCACAAACACACACACACAAAAGCAACAAAAGGGAAGGTGGCTCAGTGGTAGAGTGCTTGCCTTGCATGCATGAGGCCCTGGGTTCGATTCCTCAGCACCACATAAACAAAAAGAAAAAAGCCGGAAGTGGCGCTGTGGCTCAAGTGGGTAGAGCGTTAGCCTTGAGCTGAAGAGCTGAGGGACAGCGCCCAGGCCCAGAGTTTAGGCCCCACGACTGGACCCCCCCCCCCCCAAAAAAAAAAAAAGCAACAAAAAAGTTTTCTCTTAGAAAAAGTCATGATCAGCTAGGCATAGGTGTCTCACACCTGTAATCCTAGCTATTCAGGAGGCTGAGATCTGAGGATCCCAGTTCAAAGTCATCTCAGGGCAGGAAAGTCCTGCCTGAAATTCTTATCTCCAATAAACTCACAAAAAAAATGGAAGTAGCACTATGGCTCAAGTGGTAGAGCACTAGCCTTGAGAACAAAGAGGCTCAGGGACAGTACCTAGGGCCCTGAGTTCAAACCCCAGGACCAACCCACCAAAAAAAAAAAAAAGTTATAATTTACAGGGTGAAAAGTCATCATTAAAATTTTGAGATGTAAATTGAAAACTGATAACATATGTAATTACCAGATACAGAACTACTCCTAAACCAATCTTAAGAAAGCTATTTATTTTTAAGAGAAGTAAAAAAAAGGATGCCTAATAATACTTTAAGGTAACTTTTCTTCTTCACAACATATAAATACAATGATAGCACTCTAATAACAAAATACAATTACCTGAATTGGCCTACTTCGATGTATTCAAATTGTTTCAACACAAATCCAATGAACACCTACAATCAGGAAAAAGTTTCACATAAATAATAAGATAACAATGTAAAAAAAATTTTTTTTCTTCCTGCCTAATTGTATAAATTTTGACCACAGATAAGCAGATAAACTTTTGATAATCTAGAATTCAAATCCACCGAAACAGCAGTAACAGAGAACTTCCAACAATCCTTTTAAAACCAAGTTGAGTACAAGTGGCTCACTGCTTTAATTCTAGTATTGAATTGGCAGAGACAGGAGGAGCAAATTCAAGACTCGCCTGAGATCCAGTGACACTTTTAGAAATAATAAAGAAAATAATGACAGAGCAGTATCTATAGGCCTAGTATAGGCCTATAATCCTAGCTACCTACGGGCTGAAGAAAGAGGGTTCCATGTTCAAAGCCAGCTCGAGTAACACAGTGAGAAGCCTGTTTCAAAAACACGCAAAGGAACTGGAGACTTAGCTCAAATGGTACACACAAGCCTCTTGAGTGAAAAAAGCCGAATGAGAGAGCAAAGCCCAGAGTTTAAGCCTTCATACCAACACACAAACACAAACAAATAGTAATTTAAATTAATTAATTCCAGGGCTATCAGGTATCGTTCAAAATCACATCTATTCCAGGAAGTAGCAAACAGAGCAGTTCAACCCCCAGTGACACACAGGGCATGGAGACAGCCTCCTCTCCAGCACACAGGGGCATCCAGTACTGAGCACCAGAGGTGGTTTGTGCCGCTATGGAGTCACTCTTGCCCTCTGAGGAGCAGTCCATGGCTCCCTGGCCAGGCCAGGATGCTCCCACAGACCATGGAGCTTCTCATGGAATCACACTGGTGGATTCTGAGGGCCCAGGGCATGATGCTGACATTCAGCACAAGTGCAATGAATAATCATCTGAAACTCAATACTGGATCCTGACACCCAGGGGAAGGGACAGGCTGATGGAAATCACCAAAACAAAAGGGAGGCCCACGTGCTCACAGCAAGAAAACAGACTTCTCTCAGGTGGGAGGCTGGGCAGGAGCTTGGCTCATGTGAGACAGGGGTCCAAGGTGAAGCACTCGCTATAGTGTGTTTGACACCCATGCAGAGGCCCAAAGGCACAGACGAACTTTGGCTGTTCTCCCTCAGAATTAAGGGTCATTCTAAAGGAGATCTTTGAAGACAGAAGGAATAGCAAATATTACTCTCCTACTTGGGAAGAAAGGCTCCAAAAAATGTGATACACCTAGGGTAGAGTGGGGAGTTGATTTATTTTCTCTGTCTATAAAGAATTCCCAAAGAGGTCATAGTGTCTAAACTGCAATCGGAGAACACCAGTTTCCCAGTTCTGCTGAGTCAGAACTAAGAAAATGTGGGGAAAAAGGCAGACTGAATGCAGCTTTGATGGTTTCGTTCTAGAATGCAGCAAATCAGTGCCCTGCTTCCCTTTGGATACCATGATTATGGCCTGAAAGTTCTTGTCCCTATGCATCTGGTGTACCCCTTTCTGCCCCCACACCCTTCCATTCTTGTCTGTTAATGCTATTGGAGCATGGCACAGACTTGTGAGTTAGGACCAGGGTGCCCACACCTGCTCGTCAGCCACACACCTGACCTTCTGCATCTACTAGTTTCATGAAACAGACAAACAGGAAGAAGCTGGGGCAGGGGAGAGGGGAATCATGACAAACCTCCCATTTCTCTACAGTAAATGCCAGTATTATTTCGGGATAACCGTTACTTGATGAGGACACAAGGGAGAGTGACAAACCTGATCTGAATCCAGGAGACAGTAATTGACCCGTAGCTGAACCAGCTGTGCCAGCAAATCCAAAACCTGCTTCTGCAACTGCACAGATGTTGTAGTGGTGTACTGTTTTAAAGCTTTTATAACAAGGGGTTCAAATAAACGAATGTGGTTGTGAATAGCGTTCTAGTAAAGAGAGAAGAAAGAAACTGGTAGCTATGATGTCCCAAGTTCAATGAACACTCATAGTATCAAAGCTCCATGCTCACTTGAACTCCAGCTGCAGGGAATTTACCTTATCAGCTCGATTCTTTGTGACGCTCGTGAGGTTAGTCTTCAATTGGGTGGACACTTTCTGGAGTACATCAAACCATCTGATAAATGGGCAAAAAGAAACAGAAGATTATTTTCCATCATCTCCTCTGTCCTCAGCTATGCTCAGTTGAAACTACTGTCATGTTCACAAACTCAGAAAATGACTAAGTGAAAAAGAACTAAGAAGGTCATCATGCACTAGTACCACACACTGCATGTGTGGCTGCCTGACTGCACTGGTTCTAATACCTGAAAAAGGCTACTGAAGCCTGCATGTGCTGCTATGGGACACCTGCTCCTCAGTGCTGTCTCTAGAATTTGAGAGGAGATGACAGCCATTTGGAAGACAACATTTGATTTTCTTGAGGAAAAAACCTTTGAGGTTTATGTGTGAAGGCTACTTGGGCCCATGAGACTGAGATCAGCCTAGGCAACATAGTGAAACCCATACCAAAACATTTTTAAGCCAGGTGCTGGTAGTTCATACCTATAATCCTAACTACTCAGGAGACTGAGGATCACAGTTTGAAGCCACCCCCAGCAGGAAAATCCATGAGATTCCTATTTCCAATTAACCACCCCAAAAAAGCCGGAAGCAGAGCTGTGGTTCAAGTGGTAGAGTTCCAGCATTGAGGAAAAAAAAAAAAAGATAAGAGTATTACATAGGCCCTGAGTTCAAGCCATACTACTGGCACAAAATAACAGAAGAAACTAAAAGAAAAGAACCTGTGCGTCTATGCTTTCTATATGTGAGCACACTGTTTGCCCCACTGCTATGAGTACAATTTAAGAGTTAGAGCTACTGCTTTGCAGGCAGCCTGAGATGACATAATGTCCAAAGCACAGCCCATTGGCTGGACAAGGCACCATTTAGAAGGGCCTATGCCTTACTCATCTTTGCAGTAACCATATTTCCTAAACTTGTTCCAACACAGGAAGCTGTTAGAAGACCGTGGCTAACTTGTTTTTATTTTTACTGCTTTTGCCAAGTATTCCTTGCCTGACTTCTGTGTCCCACCAATGGCAGATCACACCACACTCTTACCCCGAGGCATCATGCTCCTGCTCCACCTGCACCATGTTCCTCAGGCTGGCATCTGCCAGGGCTTGCGTGAAGTGGGTGTATGGAGCCATGAAGCAGTAGTGATACAAGCCTGGTCTCATACTTGAAGAGCCCAGGCGCTGGGCTCGGCCTTGAGACTTGCTGGGGTTCCAAGATAAGCTGTCAAACTGGGAAGCCAAGTTTGTTCCAAAGAGCGTCTTCAGTAGCTAAAGTGAAAGAACTGAAGCATCAGCAGCTCACCAGCTGACTTACTGTAGATGAGCAACATTTTAAGATTCACACTCCCAACTAGTACGTAAATCCAGCCAAAATTCATAATGTGCATTTCTCATTAGGAATCCCTGCCGCTGCCCAGGAGACCATGCTGTGCAGTGTGACTGGTGCCTCAGACACAAGTTTGGGTTTCCCTGTGCTTCTATGTGAGACTGGGCATTCTGATCAGAGACCTGCAGAGATAGGAAGACCAGGGCAAAGCAGAAAGGGACCAACACAGCTTCCATTGTCCTGGGCTCTGGGATGGATTTGGAGAGGGGGAAATCATCCAGGAAGTGAGAGAATGGCAGCTAGGACCACCCAATCCTTTCTGAACACATCTCCAGCAGCAGCTTCTGAGGAAGCAGCATTCTGGTACCAGGCCGGGGCAGGACGTGGGACCAAGGATAGGAAATGGCACTCTTACCTGCTGAACGCAAACCGTTGCCATCATTGGCTCTCGACTAAAACAGGATTTCAGGTAACCAAGGATCTCTTCAACACACTGTGGAAAGAAAAGTAAGAAACTAAGAGATTCACAGATGATCCATTGTTGTTGTGAAACCTACACAGCAATCAAAGATGCAAGATGGCTCCATTTACATTTTGTACATGTAAGGTTTTTAATTTATTATCCTGAACAGTATCCATACAAGGTATTGAAATTAGGCCAGGTGCTGGTAGCTCACACCTGTGATCCTAGCTACTCAGGAAGCTGAGATCTTAGGTTCATAGTTCAAAGCCAGCCTGGGCAGGAAAGGCATGAGACTCTTACCACCAATTAACCTCCAGAAAACTGGAAGTGGTGCTGTGGCTCAAGTGGTAGAGTATTTGCCTTGAGCTGAAAAGCTCAGGGACAATTCGCAGGCCCAGAGTTCAAGCCCACGACTGACCAAAAAGAAAAAGGCAATGAAATTTACATAGGCATATGAAAGCTGCTTTCTTGAACACTTTTACACACCTATTTTTTCACTCACTTGTTTATTCAACAATGACCAAGTATGTAGGGTCTGTGATGCTTCCAATCATATTTTAGGTTAGGAATTAGGAAGTGTGCAAACGAGTCCAAAGCCCTGCCTTTGTGGATGTCTTCTGGCCTATGTATTCAGCTGAGCACATCACCTAATGTAAGGCTGTGATTATGCCAGTGACCCCTGGAAGTGTCTCACAGCACTCTGCAACTATGTGTAAAGTAATGGCATTAATGTTACCATGTTCAAGCCTTCTTGGTCAGTGTTACCTCTTCCTTCACCTCCATTTCCCCCCTCCTATCCTTATCCTGAAGAGATCTTGTTTTTATCATAATTAAAAAAAAGTATACAGCCGGTCGCAGGTGGCTCATGCCTGTAATCCTGGCTACTCAGGAGGCTAAGATACAAGGATTGCCGTTCAAAACCAGCCCAGGCAGGAAGTCTGTGAAACTCTTATCTCCAATAAACCACCAGAAAACTGGAAGTGGCACTGTAGCTCAAGTAGTAGAGTGCTTGCCTTGAGCTGAAGAGCTGAGGGACAGTGCTCAGGCCCAGAGCTCAAGCCTCACAAATGGCAAAAAAAAAAAAAAAAGTACACAAAAGGATGCATACGTACTATATAAGTGTAAGAACATTCTATAGATACATACTATATCTTTTTTCATGTGTGCCTGTCCTGGGGCTTGAACTCAGGACCTGAACACTATCCCTAAGCTTCTGTGTTCAAAGCTAATGCTCTACCACTTGAGCTACTCTCAGCTTTTTGCTGGTTAACTGGAGATGAGAGTCTCACAGATTTTCCTGCTTAAACTCCTGAGCTCTTCAGATCTCAGCCTCCCTAGTAGATAGGATTACAGGCATAAGCCAATGGCCCCTGACACTGCATCATTTTATATGAGGGATATGAGCATTAATGAATTTTGGTATATGCAGTGGGTGAGTTGGAATGTGAATCTTAAACCAATCCTCAGTGAATACTGAAAGAAGACTATACTGCATTTTAGTTGAGGATAAACAAATGAAAGGGGACTGTCTGTGAGTCACTTTGAAACATACTGGACATGAGGCGTGCTGATAGAGGATTAGTGGGGATCTATACAATACAGAAGAAAAACTTAAAGGATTTAAAGAATCTGTGTGGGGATGTGATGGTATCCACCACAGAATATATGTTTGAGACTTTCATTATAAAATAGAGTAGGGAAGAATCAAAGAACATGAGTTTCCTAGCTCTGCCATACCCTAAGACATGAAGAGAGCCAGTCACTCACATTTGCTCAATCTGGTTTTGCCTTGTAAAGAGCTCAAGGGGAAAATAAATGATTCTGTAAGCACATTACAAAACCCAATATTCTAGAATAAACTAGGTTTAATATAAGATAATGTGATTTAGAGAAAATAGGGTATGATTAGAAATGACTCTCCCCCTACCCACCCCAACCCATGCATTTTATAGCTAGGACACGAACAGTGTTCAGGTCCAGGACAGGAGTACACAGGGGCAGAGAGCAGTCTTCCCAGGCTGTGGTGCCTGGAGCCTGAGGTACCATCCTGGCCCCTTGGCTAGGGTGACATCAGGTTCGAGAGGAAGAAATGAAACACAAACCTTCCCAATGTCCTGCAGCGTTGCCAGCTCTAGAATCTGAGAAAGAACGTCCAAGGCAGAGCGCAGGAACCCCCCAAACTTCTCAGTGCTGTTCTGAAGATCCAAAGTGACCTTGGCAAGGTGGAAGGAGAGAGCACAGGGTTACTGGCACCACCTCAGTTCTGGTTATCTACAACAAAGACACAAATGCCATCTGCTGCAGCCAGAGGCCTCTGTGGACTGGCCATCTGGGTGTGTCTACTCACTAGCTATTTCAGGGATAGTCATCCCATCCTGCCACAAAATAGTAAGTCAGTCTTATTACGATTACATTAAGATTCTGAAGGATCCGGCTTACTTATACAGAAATTCTCCTATTTTCTAGAATCAGAGGATAGGACAGGGAGAAGCCAACTTCAGTATGCTTCCAACAGACCAGGAGGAAGAAGAGGAGTCCCTGTAGTGAGACCCTGGGACTTAATATGATGATGTCATGGAGGGCTACAGAGCCTGGAAGAGGCTCCCCTCCAACTTCTTCCCCTAGATAACTGAGAAGGGGAAAGAGGAGAGAGGTGTGGGATTCTAGAGTTCAGGTACCCAGAGAAGGCAGTCATGCAGTAAAAACTAACATAAGGGGCTGGGAAGGTGGCTCAGTGGTAGAGTGCTTGCCTTGCATGCCTGAGGCCCTGGGTTCGATTCCTCAGCACCACATAAGCAAAAAGAAAAAAGCCGGAAGTAGTGTTGTGGCTCGAGTGGTAGAGCGCTAGCCTTGAGCTGAAAAGCTGAGGGACCGCGCCCAGGCCCAGAATTAAGGCCCACAACCGGACCCCCCCCCCCCAAAAAAAAAAAACAACTAAGATAAAAGGGATAGCATGAGTGCTTAAGAAGCACTGAAAAAGTCCTGGGAGACTGGAAACCACAGAAATGAGAACCAGAGACAGGAAAGGGATCACAGAGAAGAAAAAAAAGGGGTGTGATATGGAGTGTGAAGACGGAAGGAAAGGAAGAGAAGATGATAAGACACATATCAGGACAAGTCAGCTACTCCAAACACAGGGAAACTGAGGAGTAAGACAGGAACAGAGAACCAAGGAAGCAGAAATCCAAGTGACTAAGAAAGCCAGAATTAAGGTGGAATAAGGTTACAGGGAGGAAAAAACAGCAAACAGGGAGAACAAACATTGGGAATATAGGAATGAAGCCTCTAGTTAAAGATGACATGAACTAAGCTAAAACAAGTTTTTTTAAAAAAACCAAAACAAAATAAAAACAGGCTGGGCCTCAGTGGCTCATGCCTGGAATCCTATACTCAGGAAGCTGAGATCTGAGGATCATGGTTCAAAGCCAGCCTGGGCAGGAAAGTCTGTGAGACTTTTTCTCTAATAAACCACTCAAACACTGGAAGTTGCAATGCAGCTAAAAGTGGTAGAGCAAGAATGCTAGCCTAAAGCTAAAGAACTCATGGGCAGTGCCCAATACCTGAGTTTAAGCCTTATAACTGACCAAAAAAAACCCCACAACATTCTTTTTTGTATGGACTGACATGTGGAACATACTAAACGGAGGCCCTAGACTTGCATAAAATGTGATGATATATTTTTTTTTTTTTTATCAAAATACCTTTTAATTTAAAAAAGAAAAGCTTCCTTTTTGGAGGACCAATACTGGGGCTTGAACTCAAGGTCTGGGGACTATCTCTTAGCATGTTTACTCAGTTGATGTTCTAACACTTGAGCAACACATCCACTTCCAGTGTTTTGGTGGTTAATTGTAAATAAAAGTATCACAGACTTCTTTTTTTGCCAGAGTTGACTTCAAACCTCAATCCTTAGATCTCAGCTTCCTGAGTTGTAAGGTCTGCAGGTATAAGCCACTGGCACCCTGCTTGATTCAAGATTTTATCTTTCAAAATGATCACTATCCCTCAGAAAGAAGCCAGGAGGTTTATAAATGATTTTCCAGCCAATTAAGAAGTTATCTATTAGTACAGTGAAAGAGTAGTATCAGGGACCCCTTTACTGAGACCTGTACAAGTACTGTGAGACATAATCTTTAAAAATTCTTCAAAGGTCACCTGGTTCTGAAGTAATTCCCTACACTGGCCAAGCACTGGTGGCTCACACCCGTAATCCTAGCTACTTAGGAGGCTGAGATCTGAGAATCATGGTTCAACGCCAACCCAGGCAAGGCAAGTCCATGAGACTCATCTCCAATTAAGCCGGAAGTGGTACTGTGGATCAAGTGGTAGAGCGCTCGCCTTGAGCTGAAGAGTTCAGGGACAGCGCCCAGGACCAGAGTTCAAGCCCCACGACCGACCAAAAAAAAAAAGACTCCCTACCCCAATAGGAAAGTTTCCTTAGATGGAAAGGGGGCTCATGTGCTCCGAATACCTGAAACAGGTTTGTGTGAAACACGTGTCTTCCCTCGGCAGACCCATGAGGGAGACCTGCACGCTACTGTACTGTGATGTGCACCTCAGAGGGCGAAGCAGAGGAAACCTGCATACAGAGCTACATGAGATCCCTGTAACCTGGCTGAATGGCCTAAGAAAGAGGCTGTGGTGAGCCTCAAGGGTGCACACCCAACACACCAAGCCTCAGGGTCTCCCACTTGCATATGAACACCAGCTGTTCTGAGAAGTCCATAAGCCATAAGAAATCACGTCCCTACTATAAAAATCTCAGATCTGTAAGTATCTGGAAATATCGGTAAAGCTACCATAAGCCAAGCTGAAAGACAAACTTGGTAAAAACAATCATAATTCGTATCTCTAACAGTATGTCCATACATATATAGCTCAAATCCTAAGAAAAAGACCAACAACCCATTAGAAACATCCAAGTACCCACGCATTTGGTACCTTGTAGTTGGCATGAGTGGCCTTCAGGACATCATGCAGTCTGAGGTAGGATGGGAGATGGTAGAAACTGCCCACTGAGGAAGATTTACTTGCTGTGACAGGGCCTGAGGAATCTGATTGTCGAGAGGCTTCAAAAGTATACAAAAAATAAATGTTTAGATCAAAGGAAAAAACCTGCCCAAGTTAACAAGAATTACTGATAATATGATTCTTTTTTTGGTTGGTCGTGGGGCCTGAACTCTGGGCCTCTGGGCTGTCTCTCAGCTCTTTAGCTCAAGGCGAGCGCTATACCACTTGAGCCACAGAGCCATTTCCGGCCTTTTCTTCTTATGTGGTGCTGAGGAATCAAACCCAGGGCCTCATGCATGTGGGGCAAGCACTCTCCCACCGAGGCACCTTTCCAGCCCCTGGTAATATGATTTTTAAGTGTTCTAGAAAAAACAAGTTCGGGGGCTGGGAAGTTGGCTCAGTGGTAGAGTGCCTGCCTTGCATGCCTGAGGCCCTGGGTTCGATTCCTCAGCACCACATAAGCAAAAAAAAAAAAAAAAAACCCGGAAGTGGCACTGTGACTCAAGTGGTAGAGCGCTAGCCTTGAGCTGAAGAGCTGAGGGACAGCGCCCAGGCCCAGAGATCAGGTCCCACGACCGGACCCAAAAAAAATAAAAAAAGAAAAAGAAAAAACAAGTTTGAGGACTGGGAAGGTGGCTCAGTGGTAGAGTGCTTGTCTTGCAGGCATGAGGCCCTGGGTTTGATTCCTCAACACCACATAAGCGGTAAAAGCCAGAAGTGGCGCTATGGCTCAAGTGGTAGAGCGCTAGCCTTGAGCTGAAGAGCTGAGGGACAGCCCCCAGGCCCAGAGTTCAGGCCCTACAACTGACCAAAAAAAAAAAAAAAAAAGTTCGAATCTCACCTCTATCTTCCTGATTAAGTAGAATGAGAAACTGACTAACAAATCAGAGCCTGAGGCCTGAAAAGTAACATAAGATAGTAAAAAGAGCACTAGCTGTTCTCGTTGGTTTCATTTGCTTGATTGCTTTAGAAGGCATCAGTGTGTCCACTGGGATCTGTTTACTGGATGAATGCTGGCTGGTTTTAGGCATCAGTTTGTTGACTGAATGCCTGTAATCAATCCCAGAACTACTCTGCCCAGGCCCAATAAGAACTGTACAGGCTGGATCCAGTTCTTCCTGCCATGTCAAAAGTCTGGCACCTTTTCTCTGACCTTTTCCCAGGTACTGAAGCCCCTTCCAACATCTGTGAATTTTCTAGTCTTTTGCAGCTGACTTTACCCCTTTCTTTAGCAGTCTGTTTTTCAAATAGGTACCACATAGCCAGCTCCCACATTTGTTGTCTCTTCTAAATGCAAATTCTATTTCCTACTCCAAAATCCCTACCAAACCACAATCAGCTCTACACACACACTCCAAGCTATCCATACTACCTCCTCCAGTGAAATCACAGCTACCTCCATTGCCACAGCCAGATGACTTACAGGCAAAAGTGACTGCTTTTCAGTAAGTAACACTTATAGATGCTAAGGCCAAAGAGTGTGCTGCTGACAAATAGCACGTTTATTAACTGAAGCAATTCGTAGAACTCCCATTGACTTCCTTGCTAGGTAGTAGATTTCCGTACAGCACCAAGTATTCTATGGATCTCAACAGGAGGGTAAGCTTAAGTCCCACCCTTCTGCAGCACAGACAGCGCCTGTCCCTCCCTACCCAGCACGTGTTCTTTACCTGTATTGGCCTCATTGCCTTTCTTGGGACTAGGTGGAACAGATGCCTGTTCTCCTGGTTCTCTCTCCTTCCCCTTTCGCCGGATGGGACTTAGAGAAGGGGGGTTTGCTAGAGAAGGCAAAGCTGCCTGAAACAGAAAACAAAAATGAGGTAGGAGTATGGCCAACAGACAATGGGAACTAAAACGACTCATATATGGTTTTGCCGTATAGTGAAAAGCGCTAACCATACAACCCATCTTGTTCTTTAAGCCTGTCTTTAACAGAGCTCTGAGCTACAAATGCCTGTACTCATCCACACAACAGGTTGCACCTGGTAGGTGAAGCCCAAAACTTCTTCACAGCTGCATGGTGAATGTGTTGCAGATGCACAGGGTTCTTGGGCTATGGCAAGGACCGGAGGCCACCAGCACCCCTCTAATAGTAGGCAATTGGGGTGTTCTATATGAGCCATGACATGCACAGGACATGATCCTGTTTTAAATGTCACTTTTTAAGTGACTCACTCAAGGTCGCAGTTAACAAGCAGCACAGCCAGGAGCCAGCAAGTACAGACACAAGCCACATTCTTTCCCCTCCATGAGTGAATATAGACTATCCAGCTCCCATGCCAGAGGCGGCAGCCAGCACGGACAGAGTGGAAATGACAGAGCCGCACTTCTAGTCCTTGTTCTGCTACCCACTTTCTCCCCAACCTTAACAAAGTGCCCACACAATGTCCCTGCCACTGAGCTGTTGAAACTTAACCTCTAAGATAATATATTAGGAAGTGGACAATTGGAGATGAGGCCATGTGAGTGGGACCCTCATAACGGGAATTAGTTCTTAAAAAAGAAACCAGCCAGGCGCCGGTGGCTCACGTCTGTAATCCTAGCTACTCAGGAGGCTGAGATCTGAGGATCACCGTTCAAAGCCAGCCCGGGCAGGAAAGTCCATGAGACTCTTATCTCCAATAAACCACTAGAAAACCGGAAGTGGCGCTGTAGCTCAAGCAGTAGAGAGCTCGCCTTGAGCTGAAGAGTGCAAGGACAGCGCCCAGGCCCAGTGTTCAAGCCCCACGAAGACACTGTAAGAAGACAGTTCTATGAGAGAATGGGCCCAAACAGAAGAAATATCTGTCAGCACCTTGATCTGACGTCTAGCCCCAGAACCATGCCACTCAGGATATGCCATTTTGTGATGGCAACTCAAATGAAAACCGAGCATGATCTGTAAGGACGTCACCCTGGGCAAATGGCCATAGTAAATGTCTATGGGAATGGGCAGAGGGAACAGAAAGGACTACAGAGGCTAGGTGAGAGGGTCTGTCACAAGGCCCCCAAGAGCATAAGCCCATCTGTAGGATTGTACAGAAGAGGCTTCCGAAGACAGAAAGCAGATCAATGGCTGACTGCTTGGAGCCAGGGGCATAGAAGGTTTTTGGGGAAAAGTACAGGCTTCTTTTGGGAGTCTAAAGTTGACTGTGGTGATAACAACTCTATGTCATACTTTAAAAGAAAATGAATTGTGGAAGTAGTGCTGTGACTTAAGTGCTAGAGCACTAGCCTTGAGCAAAAGAGCTCAGGGACGTGCACACCCAGGCCCTGAGTTCAAGCCCCATGACTGACAAAAAAATTTTATTTGTCATAGAGGCTGGGAATGTGGCTTCGTGGTAGAGTTCTTTCCTAGCATGCATGAAGCCCGGGGTTCACTTCCTCAGTAACATTGTTTAAACAGAAAAAAACGGAAGTGGTGCTGTGGCTCAAGTGGTAGAATGCTAGCCTTGAGCAAAAGAAGCTCAGGGATAGCGCCCAGGCCTTGAATTCAAGCCCCAGGACTTGCAAAAAAAGAAAAAGAAAGAATTGTATATTTGAATTATGTAATATGTAAACTATATTAATAAGATTATTTCCAAAGCTAGGCGAAATAGAGATACTACATCAGTCTGTTCAGAACAAACTGAGAGAAAGAAAAGGAGAAAAGGATATGGTCAGGGATGTGTATATTTACATGAATACATGTAAGTATACATATGAGTTTTTTTTCAAGGTATTTATTTTTATTTTTACTGTGAAAATACCGTTCAGAGGTGTTACAATTATATGGACAAGGTAATGAGTGCATTTCTTACCAAGTATTGTTGCCTCTCCTTCCCATCCCATCTCCACCCCCCCCCCCCAGAACCCCCCACCCCCTTGCAAGGTATTTAATAGGAAAAATAAAGGACTTGCCGACCCAGAATGAAGAGCTGTCATGGCTCCTATCTCTGGCTAAAAAAAATACAAAGTGAGGGAAGAGGCACAGGCACAGACATGGGGAGGGGATTAGAAGCTCAGTTCGCCATGTTCAACACATCTACGATCCACCAAACAGAAGCACCATGCGGAAGTCCACTGGGCACACGTGTCTGCAACTCCAGACTGTCCTGTCCACTGCTGAGACACTACCACTAGGTGGCTATTTACATTCAAACTTAATGAAAATTGAACAAGCTTTAAGTTCAGAAGACACACTAACCACTTTGAAGAGCTCATGGATCCTGTGTGGTTAGTGATGCTGCTGCAGCTGCCATGGACACAGACTACATCCACTGACATCAGAAGCTCTACTCGACATGGATGGTCCGGACAGTAGAAAGAGAAGATGACCCAAGACAGAGCTTTAACAGTGGGGAGGAAAAACTGAACAAGGCAGTGCTGGGGGGGTTGAAGGAAACACAAGAGACAGACTAAAGCGAATGCTCAGAGGCTGAAGGGGGAAGAAGGAAAGAGATAAAGAAGAGTCCTGGAGACATGATACTGGCAGGAAGAGTGTGTGGGGCGTGATAGCAGAAATCAGGCTAGCAGAGGTTAAAGAGAGATGAAGTAGAGGGTCAGAGTCCAGCTGTACAAGGCCCGAGAAACCTCATTCTAAAGGTCCATATCTAAGAAGGGGTAAAGGCTAGGTGTTGGGATGGGAGACTGAATTTTCAGAAGGCATTGCAGAAGAAGAGAACCAGAAGATAGAATGGTTTAAAGATGAAAGACACAATGCTAGGCGTAGTGGCTTACACCTGTAATCCTAGCTACTCAGGAGGCTGAGATCTGAAAAATAAAAAAAAGATGAAAGACACAGAAAAGAGAAGAATCACATGTAACTGTAAGTGAACTGGTAAATCTGAAGTTCATTGTGTGAATACTTTAACATTTGTTTTAGTGTTCATTTTTTTTTTTTTGGTCAGTTGTGTGGCTTGAACTCTGGGCCTGGGCGCTATCCCTGAGCTCTTCAGCTCTTGAGCCACAGCACCACTTCTGGTTTTCTGGTGGTTAATTGGAGATAAGAGCCTCACAAATGTTCCTGCCTGGGCTGGCTTTGAACCACAATCCTCAGTGTTGATTTTTTTTTTTGGGGTCAGTTGTGTGGCTTGAACTCTGAGCCTGGGCGCTGTCCCTCAGCTCTTCAGCTCAAGGCTAGTGATCTACTACTGGAGCCACAGCGCCACTTCCCATTTCTGATTTTTGAGTGGTTATTTGGAGATAAGAGTCTCACAGGGACTTTTCTGGTACATGATACCCAGGACCATACTGAGCTCAAAGAGGCTTGGCCTCACTAAGGGGCTAGACTGGGAAAATGCTGCTCTCCAGCAACACGCAGCCCAGAACAGCTGCCACTGCACACATTCACATATGCCAGAAACATCTGAGATATCTGGAATGAAGGAACCAGCTATCCTGGAAAATGACCAACAATTCTTTTCCCCTGTGTGCGCCCCTCTTCCCCCCCCCACTCCCGAAGATGGTAATCAGAGATAAAAGTCTTTTAAAATAAATAACCATAGTTTTGATGTTAAATGAAGCATCAGGATATGCGTGATATGGTTTACTTACAGCAAAAGTGAGTGAGGAAAAGAAAAGGATGGCTAAAGCAAGGTGTTCTGGAAGCCCAGTCGCCAGGGCTGCCTTGAAGAAGAAGTTACCTTAATTGCTGGCCCCGGAGTCACATCATCCAAGACGTGAGCACAGATATTGATCACCTTCAGCAGGTGGGAGAAAAGCTGCTCTACCATGGGCACCAGTGTCCGGTCACCTAACGCTGGCCACACCTCCTCTTGTCTGGTGGCTGTTGGGTTGGCTTCTTCTTCAGAGGTCCATGAACTTCTCAGAGACTTGGGGGCACTGGCTGTGACACAGGCACACACATTACTCCCCCTTTTCCAGTGGAGGGGAAGGAAGCTGCTTGTTGAAAACACAAGTTCCTCACCTATCTATACTGACAGACCGCTGGATCTCTGTACCTGATGCTCAACAGATGCCTCCAACTGTGTTCCAACTTCTACAAAAACCCAGGCTCAGTTGCAGACTAAAGCTCAGTAACTCTGCCTCTTTCATTCTTTGAATCACTTCCCTCTAATCCCAAATTACTTAAACAGAAGCTCAACCAAGATGGTAATTCTGGTCAGAATGTCAAAGTTAATCTACTAACTGATCTTCCTCATCTTCTCCTTCAGCCTGTACTGAATTAAGTTGAGTGATCCTTTTAGAACACAAATCTAACTACTAGTTGCTGCTTCCATGAATTCTGCGGGTGGTGAACAGAACCAGCCCAGATTCCTTACAGGGGACTGGTGTCCCTTCACCGTAGCTTCAATGGACTTGGCCATCCTGGTTGGTGCATCCTCCATTCTCATCCCTGCACTCTGTGACTTCCACTCCCCTGCAGCCACACTTTTCCATCTCCACACCCTCACATGTGCAATGCCTCACCTGATGTGTCTAATCTATACCTACCCTGTGCTGCTACTGTGCTAGCTTGTATGACTCTTCCGTCAGTCAGCAATCAACTGGAAAATGAAGCCCATACATATGCTCTAATGCCCTAAAGGTGTCAGATAATTCCTGGTACATGATAGCCAGGACCATACTGAGCTCAAAGGAGCTTGGCTTCACTAAGGGGCTAGACTGCGAAAATGCTGCTCTCCAGCAACACACAGCCCAGAACAGCTGCCACTGCACACATTCACATATGCCAGAAACATCTGAGATATCTGGCGTGAAGGAACCAGCTATCCTGGAAAATGACCAACAATTCTTTTCCCTTGTGTGCGCCCCCTCCCTTCTCCCCAAGAAGGTAATCAGAGATAAAAATCCTGGAGACTCTACTTCAACTTGGTACCTGCAAGCAAGTTTCCAGCCAAAACCAAGGCGTCTTGATGGGCTGAGAGATCCAATGGGAACCAAGCTGACGAGAGCAAGGTGAGAATCATGGTGGCCATCCCCACGGTACAGCTTTTTCTAGAGTCGTCGGAGGCACTGAGTGGGGGCGCTCTGGAAGGAGGCATTTACAAGGTAAAATGACAAGGAGTTTCAAGCAAATACTCTCATGAGAAAGCATGTCAGACGCATTCCATACCAGCTCAGAAGTTCATTTTACTATTGCTAAACAACTAACACCCTTTCTGTGAAGTACCTAAAAACTATTTGAGAAATCAAACCAAGTAATAGATCTGATTAGGAGAAGTAGCACTATGTGGTTATTCTGATGACTTTCTAACTTCCTTTGTGTTTTGATTTTGTTTTTACTTTGACCTAAGTCAAAGTCTAGTGCTGGACCTCTAACTAAAACCTCCAATTGTTCAGTCTCTAATTGTGAGAAAAAGAAAGCAATGTTGTAGATTAAGTATACAATGTAGCCAGGCACTGGTGGCTCATGCCTGTAATCTTAGCTACTCAGGAGGCTGAGATCTGAAGATCATGGTTCAAAGCCAGCCCCGGCAGAAAAGTCCCCATGAGACTCTTATCTCCAAATAACAACTCAAAAATCAGAAATGTAGCTGTGGTAGAGCGCTACCCTTGAGCACAGAGGCTCAAGGACAATGTCCCAGCCCTAAATTCAAACTCCATAACAGAAAAATTGTTTAAAAAATAAAAAAGAATATAATCCATACACTGAGACACAGACGTCTGCATATCTACTATCAAGCATGACAGAAGTCATCAAAATCCCATAACCAGCACACAGATGGAGGCTTACTTCTTAATGCTGCACAAGAGACAAAACACTTTCCCAGATGCCAGCAGGCTATTTACTAGAGGAAAATTATTATTTAATGATAACTCCTAACATAACATGCAAGAGTTCCTAAAGTACAGCCTTATAGCTCATCCCAGTAATTGTGCTTGTCCATGTAGTATCAGACAACTACAGGCTGGGGAAAATACATACCCACAATGCCAACCTAAACTCCAGACACAAACTGGAAAAGCTGCAGAAAGAAGACACAAAGCTTCACAGCATCCAAACTACCAAAGAGAGAGAGAGAGAAAGAAAAAAAATCACCCAAACACCACAACATATTGACCAAATTAAACCTCATTTTACCTTTTATAAATAGTACAACAGAAAGAAAACTGAGAGCTCTGCATGACCACAAGACATTCACCCAACCAAAGGACACATTGATAATTTAAGATACAGCTAGACAACTGCCATACATGCTAATAAAAGGGTGATGACACCCAGGGAATAGGGGCCAGCAGTTATTTTTCATACTTGAGATCAAACTGTAAACAACCCTAGCATGGTTTTGTAGTCTACCTTTTTTCTTTCAACATTAAGAATTAATATTATAGCTCCCCATATCATTAAAAATTCTCCAAAGGATCATATTAATAAATGTACAATGTGTTAATATATAAAATTTAATCACTCTTAGCTTTTAGACATCAGAGTCCAACTTGAAATCATGATATGATTACATTATATAATAATCTTTGTATTTCTGATTTACCCTTTAGTATAATTACCAGATCTCTGAGTTAATTGTACTAGAGATGCTGCATTTCTCATTCAGATTATAGAGTTTCTATTTTAAGTCTTCTAAAAGTGACTGAGTTAGTTTCTAATGAGTCTGTACTAGTTTCGATTCTGTTGATAAACACAGTTCTTTTTTTTTTTTTTTTGTCGGTCATGGGGCTTGAACTCTGGGCCTGGGCGCTGTCCCTCAGCTCTTCAGCTCAAGGCGAGCGCTCTACCACTTGAGCTACAGCACCACTTCCAGTTTTCTGGTGGTTTATTGGAGATAGGAGTCTCACGGTCTCTCCTGCCCGGGCTGGCTTTGAACCGCGATCCTCAGATCTCAGCCTCCTGAGTAGCTAGGATTACAGGTGTGAGCCCGGCGATAAACACAGTTCTTTAGCAAGCCTCAGAAGAGTGCCAACACACCATCTCCTGTGACCATGCATGTGGATTTTCACAGAACTACTTAAAATCAACCTCCTTAAGCCCAACCAAGAAGACTTACTGTGAGTGCCCTAGTGGTTGATGTGATCAGCTCATGAGAAACTGCAGCAATAACTCTTGACAGGTTATTTTCCATGGTGACATCTGTTATGCTTGGTAGTAAGCTATAACCTCTATATATTCTAGTAAGAAAAATACAAGACTTAAAATGTACTCTTAAAGCATACAACATTGTCTTAAGATCAAATTACACTTAAAAGACTGTAATCCAAGCGATGGTGGCTCACACCTGTAATCCTACTCAGGAAGCTGAGATCTGAGGATCGTGGTTCAAAGCCAGTCAGGCAGAAAAGTCCGTGGGAGACTCTTATCTCCAATTAATCACTCAAAAACTGGAAGTAGTGCTGTGGCTCAAATGGTAGAATGCTAGCCTTAAGCACAAAGAGGCTCAGGGACAGCGCCCAGGCCCTGAGTTCAAGCCCCACAACTGACCAAAAAAAAAAAAAGTTTAACATTGAAGGCTAGAAACAGGAAATAGGGTTGAGGATATAGTTCAGTGGTAGTGTTGTCTAGCACAAAGTCCTAAGACCCCTTACTCTGCAAAGAGAAGGAAAGGGTGGAGATGGCGGGGGAAAACATAAGAAACAGAGGAAGTGAGGAAAAGAAAACCATGTGTGGAAATAAATCTGGCACCCCTCTTTTTCCACTAGGTGCCCTCCTCCCCCAACCTGCACGACAGCTCTGGGGCCACATCCCCGGCCCGCTACTTCTTGTGCAGACCCCTGCATGTTCTGAGCATCCAGATCACTACTACTGAAGTCCCAAGGCACTTCTTACACATTCCATCTGTGCCACCCTGTCTACCTCTAACTTTACAGATAGATTCTAATTCTCCAAGGGTTTAAAATCAGGCCCATATGGAGTTCACATTTGATTCACTTTTGTGTTCCTCAGTGTTCTGTCCAGATAAACTCAGCAACAAAACTAAGGAGAATCTGACATCTTTTCCTAAGTGAGAAGCATGGCAAAACCTACTGGTTAACTATGACTACTATACAGACACTAAGTACAGGTGACTGTCAAGGGGCCATATGTCAAAAGAACCTTGGCAAAAAGCGCTAGCTGCGTGGCTGAAGCAGCAGAGCACCTGCCCAGAAGCACTGCTGCACATCACTGAGCTAGGTGCCCCCACATAGTTAGACACTTCAGTCATCTGCCCACCTAAACATTATCAGGCATGCTCTCGACAGAGCCACTCACTTTAGAAGGGACACTAAAACAGTGTGAATTTTCAATGGACAAGTGTTCAGATTGACAGTCCCACACAAAAATGAAGCTGTCATTACAACAAGTGATCACGTCACTCCTCAGACAGGGCTTAATTAACCAGAGTGTTGGTATGACAACAAACCACAGTGGTGCTTTGACAACACCTGAAGAAGATAAAAAGCCTGTCAAAGAAAGATGAGCTACAATATCCAGAATTAAAGCCTTCTGTTTTCAGAAAGGAGAAAGCAGGCATCAGAAGAAGCCTATTTTGCCACATGGGCAGTATACCTGGTAATGGTGCTGACGGAGAAGTGCGACGGAGGCTGTGTCTCGTGCATGAGCAGCTTCAGGTAAACACTACTTTGATCTCTTGCCACAGCCACTACGGGATCTGCCTGTCCTTGGTCACATTTATAAAACAGCTTTGGAACCAACCTACCAGGAGAGCAAGGCTGATTTACTCAGAAAGCACAGTGAACACGCCCATGCTTTACCCTCTCCCTCCAGGCAGCTGGCTACCCTAAATCCTTTCCCATTGCCAATAGCAATTACCTCCAGGCAGCAAAACTGAAGGCGATTGATTTTTATTCCTTTCCTAGTGCCACTCTGCATATTCCAAAATTTTGACAATGAAAAATCACTTTTACAATAAAAGGTTAGTAGTTTGTTTTTCTAAGTATCATTTTAGATTCTTATGGTAAAGAGCAGAATGGCTGAAAAGACTCAGGGATACCTCCCGAGAGCCTCTGAATTCCACCCACCCTTCCCACCATCACACCATTTATACTTCAAATACAAACAGGCAGGAAGAGAGAAAATACTGGTAAATACCTTACTAATGAAGCTGCAGCAACATGTCGCACCCTGGGGTCTTCATCCCCAAGCAAATAGATGACCACATTATTGAGGACTCGTTCTTGCAGTTTTAAAAGCTTTAGAGAAGCAGATAATAAAGATAAACATAATCTCTGTAGCTGACTACATTTCAGGTGAGATATTATAGAAAGCTAGTGAGGAAAAGCCTGAGATAACTAATCTTAAGTCTATACCAAAAAGTCACAACTTTTGTAACAACTGCTAAATGTATCTAAAAACACAACGACACTGTTACGGAAGTTTCACACACTAGGAAGGTCCTACCAACACTCAGGTTCCTGGAAGGTAGGGCAAGGTCTCCAAGAATGAGCTGCTTACCCCTGTGTAATGATGAGCCCCTCTGTGCAAGCTTTCTGCTTTTGCCTCCAAAAAGCTCACCAGCCTAACAAAAGAACATATTCAACAATGAAGTCACTCAGTCACTCAGCAAGCCCTCCGAGCGAGCTGCGGCCCTGGAAGCTGGGACACAAAGGCTGTCCACCCAGCCTCCAGAGGCAGCCATTCCTTGAAATGGCAGATCTAAAAGTATACTTAAGAAAGGCTGATTTACATTCCTTCCACAATTTCAGACTCACCAAGACAGTGCTTAATAAATGGCTTTTCATCAAATTGCTCATCTTCTCTTTCAAAGACTCCAACTGCCCCAAAAGTGAATTCAACCACCTCCTGAGGAAGGAGGCCCACTGCAAACTATCCCGCCCACCAAGGGACCAGGCACCTTGCTCCACGGCCCTCCCTGCAGGTACAGTAAGAACTGTTCTCAGGATGGAACAGGGCTCATCCTAGCTTTAGAATCAAATAAACAAAAACACCCCCCCCACCCCGCCCCTCAAGACTGGGAATGCTGCTCAGTAGTAGTCATTGCCAAACAAGTATAAAGCCCTGGACTCTATCTCTATTACCTCAAAACAAAACAAAATAAAACAAATGACCTGGATTACAAAGGTATGTGATTTCCCCTCTGAGATAAATTGTTAAAAGAAAGCACCTCAACTAAACCTATTCTGAGAAAATTAAAGTTGAAACACAACAGAAATTTTTTTAATTGCAAAAAATGCAAATAAGCTAATTCCCTTAAATTCAGAAATACAATGATAGTACATTATAAACAAGCAGCATTGATAAAAGTCTACAATTCTTAAAAGTTTAAGACAAAGGTGAAAAAAATCCAGAGCTCTTTTACTCCTGCACCTAGAAAACGTAACTCAAGACTACCAGAAAACCCTAGTTCTCATTTAGAACGCCCAAGCACAGGGCAAAGTTCAAAAAAGGGCTACCGTGAAGGATGAAAATCACAGCCCTCTGCCTGAACTATTGAGGTTTCTAATTTAAACTCAATAGCTACAAACAATCCCAGGAACTTTGACTCTCTAGTTGAGTCTCTGAATTTAAACTGTATTCACTTACCTGAAGTCGATCTCAGCAAGAGTCTCCAACAGCTCTGTCCTCAGCAGCCAGTAGGGGCTATTCCTCAGAGACAGCACATCAATGAGCAGCTGTAATCCCAGGTCACTGTAGCTGCTGCTGCAGAGACTCATGACACAGTGCTGAAAAGCAGGACCCACAGACCAAGGTGGGAGGATTAGCCCCTGCACAACCTCACTGCAACAGTTGTAGGTGGTCTTACAATAGCACTCTTACAAATACACCTCTTTTGAAATTTTGTTGTTGTTTGTTGGTACTAGAGCTTGAACTCAGGGCCTAGGCCACTGTCCCTGAGCTTTTTCACTCAATGCTGGCATTCTACCATTTAAGCCATAGCTCTACTTCTGTTTATTTTGTGATTAATTATAGATAAAAGTCTCAAACTTTCCTACCCTGGCTGGCTTTGAGCCACAATACTCAGAGCTCAGCTCCTGAGTAGCTAGGATTAAAGGTGTGTGAGCTACTGACACCAACTCTGTTTTATGATTTTTAAATGGCAAGAGGGGATGGGAATGTGGCCTAGCATGCATGAAGCACTGAGTTTGATTCCTCAGTTCCACATAAATAGAAAAAGCTGGAAGTGGTGCTGTGGCTCAAGTGGTAGAGTGCTAGCCTTAAGCAAAAGAAGCTCAGGGACAGTGCCCAGGCCCTGAGTTCAAGCCCCAGGACTAGCAAAATAAACAATTTATTTCAGTAAAATCAAGAAAGGGATAACATTGTCCAAAAGTAGTAAAAGCATTCATTACCTGACTTACAAAATGGTAACCCTTCTGTGCAACACCTTAATAATAACAATAAAATTATATTTAAAAATTAAAACTAGGTTCAAACATCCAGGCACTGGTAGCTCACACCTGTAATCCTAGCTACTCAGGAGGCTGAGATCTGAGGATTAAAGTTTGAAGCCTGCCCACACTGGAAAGTCTATGAGACTCTTATATCCAGTCAACCACCAAAACACTGAAAGCGAGTCTGTGACTCAAGTAGTAGAGGCTAGTCTTGAGCAGACAAGCTAAGGGACAGTGCTCAGGCCCTGAGTTCAGGTCCCAGTATCAGCACCAAAAAAAAAAAAAAAAAAAAAAAAAAGCAGGTTGATTATATATTCCTTATGGCTTAATTTATTCCACATTTTATGTATTGGCTTACTACAGAATTTTATTTTGTTATTCAATGGCTTTTGCATTTAATAATAGCATGGTGTAATTCCAAACATACTCTTTAGGAGAAGTATGTATTTAAAAAATATTCAATGAATTTTAAAAAGTTTACTTAAACTTTAGTGTTCTTGGCAATGTCTTCTAAAACAGAACTGGCGTATACACATGTCATTGTTTTGTTTTAGAAGATAAATACTTCCTCTGACACTCCAATTTTAACAGTAACAACAGTAAAAAGTCCACTGGTCAAAGAAAGTCACAGGAGACATAGCACTCACCCTCACAGCTGTACAGGCCAGCTTACAGGTAACAGAAGACTCATCCTTCAAAGTTTTCCTCAGCAAAGGAATGCAGTCTGCCAAAGAAAATCTATTCCCTGACCAGGAGGATAAGGAATAAACATTTTCACAGAAATTAAACGATGGAACACTAACCAGAAAAGGCACCACTGAAGTGTCCATTACCTGTTAGGACTCTGATGGTGCCAAGCCAGTCCCCCACATGGAAGCGGGAGCGGCTGAGGGTGGAGCAGACGAGAGTCCCACAGAGAATGGCAGTGGCTCCTCTGACCTGTGGGTCTCCATGATCAATATAGTTCAAGATGTCTGAGACATACTGCTCCTCTGTGGAAACATAGCACACAGTCACTGTACCATCAACTTTCTACTTCAAATGCTTAATTCTAAGAAAGGAGGAAAACAGCATTCCAAATTTCTAAGTGATTAGACCATAAAAACCCAAGTGGTTTAAAAAAAAGGGGGGAGGGGTTAAGGGTTCTGGATTCATCTTATTACTGATCTCTCAAGAGATCATTTGATTTGAGGGATTGTAATTCCAGGTTGCCAGACAATAATCCAACCTCCAAATTTTATTTTAAAACAAAGATGGAAGAACCTCAACTCGCTACTTGCTTACTTACTTAACAAATAATTTAAAAGCACAAGTTTACTCTCTAATCCAAAAGAAGAGAAAGAGAAGGTAGAAGATAACTTCTACCCCATGATGACAGGAGAGAGGCCCTGCTGTGGCTCTATGCACCGTAGCTCCACTAACCTCCGACCAGCTGAGAGTGAGGTACAATACGGTGTACATAGTGTATGTGTGTAAGCCACTCTATGGTTCCCAGATTTCTAGTTTGTATTTTACAGTTTCACCTATAAACACAACATCTAAAGGGGACCAGGAAACTAAGAAGAGTGCCTTCTGTCTGTTCATGGAGAGCCACAACACAGTCCAAATACACAAATCCACTCAAAATACTTTTTGTTCTAAATCTAAAACAAAATCTAAGACCACCTGAAATAAATATCTTTTAAGTAATGATTTAAATCTAAAGAACCTACCAGGGTACTCCATGGGAGCAAGGGGTGCTTTATAAAGTCTGCTGAAAAAAGACTCCGGATGAAGGGCCACGGCTGCTCCAACACAGCTGAGGGCCAGAGCCTTAACACTGACCCTCACGTCTCTGTCTGGAACCAGGGCTGCAAAGAAATCACCCACATCAGCTTCAGCCTTTCAAATAAACAAAACTAGATTCTACTCACTGCCTGCCTCTATCGTTTCCTCCCTTCTCCCATCAGATAGGGGTAAGCAAAGCTACACTAATAACGAAACAAAAACTGAACTCCAAATTGGCCTCTGAAACCTCCAACATCTCCTCAACTGTACTTCCTCCTCATCTGTACCTGACTTCCTGTGCTTACCATTCTTTTTCCCAGTTAACAAAAATGATGCCGATAAAAGGCGAACACAATGGACCAGAGGAGCAGAATCATCATCAGTAGAGTGTCCGATATCACCTTTGATTCGGCAAGGCTAGAACAGAGAGGGAAACACTTGTTTGTCTTTCAAAGAGCCAATAAATATAGACCTGTAATCGCAGGTACTCAGAAGACAAAAGTAGGAGGATCACAGATCCTAGCCTAGACAAAACAACAAAACCCTACTTCAAAAAAGATGGTGGTGTGACTCAAGGGGTTGTTCACTCACCTAGCAAATACAGTGCTTCGAGTTCAAACTAGCACCACCAAGACAAAGGTCAATACATCTATTCATTAGTTTATTCAACAGAATGAGCAATGTCAGTTGCTGGGAAGCTGAGCAGAATCTGACGAATCAGAGCACTACAGCACAGGGCCACAGGGTCACAGGACTGGGGAAGGGGATAAGCTCAGCGCACAGGGAGAGCACACTAGAAAAGGAAGCACCAAGACAGGTACTCTTAGTAGAGGCTTCTCAGATTATGGTTTCCACAGGACAAGCTGAAAATACTCATAGTGAAGCAGAAACACAGAGAAGCCTGAGGTTAGAAACAGGAGAGAGGAAGTAAAAAAATGCAGCTGTGAGGGCTGGGAATGTGGCTTAGTGGTAGAGTGCTTGCCTAGCATGCATGAAGACCTGGATTTGACTCCTCAGTACCAAATACACAGAAAAAGCCAGATGTGCCACTGTGGCTCAAGTGGTAGAGTGCTAGCCTTGAGCAAAAGAAGTTCAGGAACAGCACCCAGGCCCTGAGTTCAAGCCCCAGGACTTGTGACAGATGGAATTAAACTATAAGACACATTCCTTGTCCTCGAGGAATTTAAGAATAACTGGAAAGACAGTACAATTGCATGACAAAGACAAATGATATACAAGAGATATTTTAAATACTTCACCGTATCTAAGAGATCAGGCAAGGCACAGCTCAGTGCAGGCCAGACCTGTTGGGGAGGGTTTTTAAAGGAGTCAGAAGTCAGCCATCTTTAACATCTGGGTAGTAGTTCCCAGAGAGGCGGAAGAGTGGGCAAGCCAGGCGAGTGGCAGGAGAGTACTTGGGAGGGAGACGGGCAGAGCCAGTGCTGAGCAGCAGTAAACAAGGGCTACAAAGGACAGGGGCTGCAACGGGCGGGTGTCAGAATGCTGAGTCAACACAAGCCGGGCCCGGGGCACTCACCTTGGTCTCTGTGTCGCCTGGTTCAGGCGCTTCATCTCTTGACACAAATTTATCGACACTGCTGTCAGAAAGCTGCCTGCTGTGACCCATGCTCTCCAATAACTGTACCTTCTGAAGTGCTTTAAAAAGAGAAAGTGAGACCGACAGGTTTCCAATTAAAGTACATTGCACATTTCCCCAAAAAGAACGTAAAAATAAAGGATTTAGATCAAGTGCAACCATACATAAATTAGTCTAGTTACAACTCACAAATCGAAGAATGAAAAGGTTTCTTCTAGAAAGTGAAGATGAAATCAAGATGTCCTAAGATGAAAAGAACACAGACCATTTTGCAGCACCGCCAAATCGCCTTACCCAGGGAGGAGTTTCTGAAAGCACTCGAGTCTCCACCAGGAAGAACACACTCAGCTCCCTCGTCCTCCTGCGGCTGGCCGAGCTGCACGCTGGGGCACTGGCTGTCAGCACCATCTAACACCTACCACAGTGAGGGCAGCTGTGAACACTCAGAATTGTGATCATCAGGGACAAGGCAAACACTCAACGCTTGTGATACGTACAAAACACAAAGACCATTTTACTTATCACACTTGGTGCATATGTACAATTCTTAAGAGCTGACTGGCCACACATCACAACTAGGTTATGAAAAGCTTTTATAGCTCTAAGAATTTTAAAGAAACTTAAATCTAGAAAATGCTATAGAAGAAAAAGGCCACACAGGCATTGTGATAGAAACCTATAATTTAGCACCCAGGAAGGAGAGGCAGGAAGAACATGAGTTCAAGGCCAGCCTGGTCTAATAGTGAGGCTCTCATTCAAAAGACAAAAATAAAAAATAATTTTTTCTTCGTGAACAACTTTTATTGTAAATCAGAAATGAAGACAAGGATATTTAAAAAAAAACCTAACAATATAATAGATTGTCTCCACAAAACTTGGGACACAGTGTTTCATATGTTCAGCCAAAAGCCTTGCTTATGATTTGGTATTGCAAGATGTCTCACATGCAATTGTGTAATTTACCTAAAAAGATGAGTGATGACTCTCAACTAAGTATTATGAGAACAATTCTATCGTTATATCATTTAAGAAAATCATTCTCTACGTTCCTCATTTGAAAACAAAACTCAAGCCAGGTATTAGTGGTTCATGCTGATAATCCTAGCTACGCAAGAGGCTGAAATCTGAGCATTGTGACAGCCCAGGCAGATAAATCTGAGAGACTTATATGTCTAACTAGCAAAAAGCTAGAACTGGAGTTGTGGAGTTGCAGTTCAAGTGGTACAGCGTCAACCAGTCTTGAAAAGCCCATGAGTATCCACATGCACAGAGGGGAGCAAGAGGACATGGTGCACACCTAGGATCCCAGCAATTATGGGAAAACACAGGATTCTCTCACCCAGGTAGGAGGGAGACGCTACGTTAAAAACGATGAACAAAAAACAAGACTGAAGGAATGGCTCAAGGGATAAAGCTCCAGTCTAGGAAGAGGCCATGAATTCAAAACCTAGTACTACCAAAAAAAAGATACCATGTACTCAGGACATATAACCAACAAACCCTATTTTTTACTGCCATGTTCTACACTAAAGATAATAAGCTGTTTTCTTCAGTGAACAGACAAGATCAAGCTCTTTGTTAATAATTTCAGATGGCTGCAGGGTGCTGGTGGCTCACACCTATAATCCTAGCTAGACTGAGATCTGAGCATCACAGTTCAAAACCAGCCAGGCAGGAAAGTTGGCAAGACCCTTATCTCCAATTAACCACCAGCAAAAAAAGGTAGAAATGGAGCGATGGCTCAACATTAAAAAAGCTTAGGGACAGGGCTGGGAAGGTAGCTCAGTGGTAGAGTGCTTGCCTTGCATGCATAAGGCCCTGGGTTTGATTCCTCAGCACCACATAAGTAGAAAAAGCCAGGTGTGGCGCTGTGGCTCAAGTGGTAGAGTGCTAGCCGTGAGCTGAAAAGCTGAGAGACAGCGCCCAGGCCCAGAGTTCAAGCCCCATGACCGACCAAAAAAAAAAAAGCTTAGAGACAGTATGCAGCATCGGAGTTCAAGGTCCAGGACCAGCACACACACACACACAAACTTTTTAAATAATAATTGGAAAATTATTATCATCACATCGGTATTGGCAGACATCATGAGAAAAATCAGCAGGAAGGCCTTGAGGAATGAACATGGGGAGATGGCAGGATCGGCTGCACAAGAACCCATTCATTTGCCAACTTACAATTTCAGAACTGTCGGAGGGTGTCACGGCCGAGTCAGGTCCTTCAGTGGTGGTCTGGGAGCTGTCACTGATAGGTGAGGAGGCCTGGGTCCCATCATTTAGGTCCAGAGCAGGGTCAGATGGAACTGCACTGATTTGGCTGGAGCTGTGGCTCAAGATGTCCTCCTCATCTCCATCAGTGGCAGCACTAGTCAAGTCACAGCCAGAGAGGTCCACAGAGTCTGCTTGCAGCGTGTGCTGTGAACGAGGCTGCTCCGTAATGATGTCATGACCCACAGACCCAGGAGTGGAGATCCCGGGAGAGGCAGCCAGCTCTCCACCGATCTCACTCTTCACTGAGGCTGAACACAGAGAAACATGCATTTGTCAAATCTGCTAAGGAACTAAAGCTGTGCAAAATAAAAATAAAAATTGCATTTTAAAACAACTACATGGTTAAAATAAAAACTAAAACGTGCCTTTTTAAAATGCTGTACAAATTCTCAAAGATCAAAGCTCAAGTAACTATTCCAGCCTTGCGAGACCAATACACAGGATGAGGACAACCTGAAAGCCACCTCAACAAGACTCAGAGCAAGAGGTGACAGACACAGGAAAGTCGGGGGTGGGGGGGTGGGGGTGGAGGTGGTGGTTATGTGGAGGGGAACATGCCTTCCTCCCTGCTCAAGGATTTTCTAGATCAGTTTTCAAATTCCCGTTTAAGACAAAAAAAACCTGACATAAAAAGAAAATCACTTCAAAGAAACAAAATCAAGCTGGAGGCAGTAGTTACTCCAGCGTGCAACTTGAATTTTATATCCCATCAACATACAGGTGTAAATTTTTGTTAACTTTTTAATTTGTGTAATCAGGAAAAATATTTACATTTCAATCAATCAATAAATAATTGCCACTGGCATTTTTCAGATTTTTCTTCCCCAAAACTACTTGGTTTTCATTCATCTAAAAATATTCTTTTGGGTAAGATTACACAGTAAAACCACCACATTACAATCCGCTACTCAAAAAGATTTAGGCTCAGGGAAGACAAACCAACTTTACAATATCTTAGAACAAGAACACACAGTCATATATAATTCAAAATGAACATTCTAGGAACAGCTGGATTATCTACAACTTGAGCTGGTCCCCCAGCCACTCTGCCAGGAGGAGGACAGAAATGGTGGGCAACAGCCACTCATTAACAAACTACCTGCAAAGGCTGCACTGCTGACGTCAGATCTTGATTCTGAGTCGTCTTCCAGGGCTTCTTCTTCTCCTAACAGTATTTTGCCTAGTAAATAATGCAACAATATAAAAAGGCTGCTAAAAATAAGGACTTTGAAAAATGAATAAATGCATGTTAAGCTGAAAATTCTAAGCATTTTACTTTCATAGTTTATCATCATATATATTTTATATCTCCAACATGATAAACATAAAGAGTGAAAAAATACAATGTTCAGAATACTATAAAAATCAATAAACCCATATGGAAAAAAGATAAAAGCAATGGTTCTCAAACTGAAACACAAAATACTTTAACAACTGATCTCATTGAGTATTGTTTCTGTTAAATAATTTATATTATTACATTTAACCTTAAAATAAATAGTAAACTTTGGCTGAAGATTTCCAACTCTTAGCCTTAGAATATCTATGTCCTAACTCCAATAGCACATTAGAACTTATATATAAAATTTTATACATAAATAAGTTGTGTTTCTTTTATTATCTTTTCATTTTGTTTTCATCTTGTCAAGAATCAGACCTTAATCACTATATAATCTGAGGGGATTAAATATTTCAATTGAAAAGTTCCAAAACTCCTTTGTGCATGTGTGTGCGTGTGTAAGTATGTGTTACAGCTGAACTCAGTAACCTGCCTCATGCTTTCTATGTAGGTACTGTACCACTTGAGCCATATCCCCAACACTAGCCTGGACCTGGATCCTCCTACTTATACTTCCTGAAGTAGCTGGGATCACAGGCATATGTCTCCATGCCCAGCTGATGAAATGAGATCTCAAGTTTTGCCAAGGATGGCCTCACCCATGAGGCTCATGGATGGAGCAGCTGGGATGAGGGGCAGCACTTAGTTTCAACTGTCAAGCTTGACTGGATTGAGAATGCTTGGGAAATCAGTAAAGGATACTGCTGGGTATCTGTGAGGATACCTCCTGAAAGGATCAACTAGGGGTGAACTCCCTTTACAAATGTACACAGCACCAACAGGCTACAAGTCTGGACAAAAGAAAACAAGGGAGGAGGAAGAGGCTGGCTGACGTAGCCTTGCGTGCTCTCTTGCTCTCTGGCTCTCTGTCTGCCCACAGTGATGTGGGCTGCTGCGCTCCCATCATGGCTGTTCATGTAGTTCCTGTCAAGACAGACTGAAACCTCTCAAACAGTAAACTCAAATAAGTCCTTCCTGCCTTACATTAGGTCAGATATTTTGTCACAGCTACAGAAAACTGATTAACACAGATACTAACAAAGATACCATTTGGTTACTGGAAATGTCCAATTTGTAATTTCACTGCTCTTTAAGAGTAAATTAGAATCGTGATACCACATTTACATGATGTGATATTAAAGGCACCTTAAAAAAAAAAAAAAGCAAAAAAAACCCCCAAATGCTAGATAAAATAAAACACACAGTAACTCAGTACAAATACCAAATAACACAGCTTCTACTACAGGGCATGATTTACTTCGAAAAACCAAATAAAATTCCCCAACAGTAAACAGTAAACAATAGTCCCTAGTCTCTAAATTGGTAGCTTGCAAGTACGCTGCTCCGAGGTCTCCTCCAAAATCCAAGCATAGGCGGCAAGTGCACAGGACTGCAGCCTACCCTACCATCCTCAGCCCTACCGCAGTAAACTCTTACCTATCGTCTGTACTAGCAGACTCCACTTGAAAAAAATAATTTTGTAGCTATAAGAAAAAAAATTCTATTCATAAACTGCTTTGTTAAATGGTAACTCCTTTGTAATACCATTTAAGGATAATAATCAAAAGAAAATAAATTATTTAAAAAGTTTGAGCTGGGCGCCGCATGAGTGGGGCCCTGGTGGCTCACACCTGTCATCCTACTCAGGAGGCTGAGATCTGAGGATCACAGTTCAAAGACAGTCTGGGCAGGAAAGTCCAGGAAACTCTTATCTCCAATAAACCACCAGAAAACCGGAAGTGGTGCTGTGGCTCAAGTGGTGGAGTGCTAGCCATGAGCTGACGAACTGAGAGACAGCGTCCAGGCCCAGAGTTCAAGCCCCACAACGGACCAAAAAGATAAAAAAGTTTGAAAACGAACACAAAGACACAATATGTGCATTTGATCACATAAATAATATTTATCAAAATCAATTCCACAAAATGAAAATAGAGGTTTCTTTGTTGCTGTTTTTGCTTTTTTATCTTATTTGTTCATTTATCTCTCTTTGGGGGGAGGAGGACACAGAAATGGAGAGATAAAGGTTGAAAAACCACAGCAGTGGTACTCACTAGACACTATGTTAAAAATGAGCGATGGAAGGGGTGACATTGTCCAAAAAGAAATGTACTCATTACCTGACTTATGAAACCATAACCCTCTGTACATCACCTTTATTTATTTGTTTATTTATTTATTTGTCGGTCATGGAGCCTGAACTCTGGGCCTAGGCGCTGTCCCTCAGCTCTTCAGCTCAAGGCCAGCACTCTACCACTTGAGCCACAGCGCCACTTCCAGCTTTTTCTGTGTATGTGGTGCTGAGGAATCGAAACCAGGGCCTCATGCCTGCAAGACAAGCACTCTACCACTGAGCCACCTTCCCAGCCCCTGTACACCACCTTTATAATAACAATAAAAAATGGGGGGAAAAAACCCTACTTGAACCTCCTATACCTTAACACAAAAACAATGTTTGAAAATAGCTCTGAATTTTTTAAAAAAATCTGAAAAAGAAAAAGTAAAGAGATTGAGGAAAAACAATGTCCTAGCTAGAAGAGGGCAGAATGACTCATTTCAACAGCATCTTCTCGTACATCCTCTGTGGAAATCATGACGAAGACACAGTAAGCGACCCGAGTACCCCATCACCAGCCCTTCACCAACCAGAGATTAACTTTCCCTGGACTTCTCCAGACCCTTAAACAATGTTTCTCTAAAACATCAAACTTGGTAAGTATTCTATACATGATGGCCTAAATGCCTCACTTTGATTTTTAAGAGATAGTCTGCACTACATTGTCCAGGCTGGTCTTGAAATCCTAGATTTAACAATCCTCATACCAGGCTAGGAAGGTGGCTCAGTGGTAGAGAAAAAAGCCAGAAGTGACGCTGTGGCTCAAGTGGTAGAGCGCTAGCCTAGAGCTGAGGGACAGCACCCAGGCCCAGAGTTCAGGCCCCACGACCAGACTCCCCCCCTTCCACCCCCCCCCCCCCCGCCAAAAAAAAATCCTCATACCTCAGAAAATCCCAACCACACTACAAGTATGAACTAGCAAGACAAGCTTCCTAGTGTAAGTGACTCTAACTGAGTATTGTGTTTACTGGAGAATGCAATTCCAGTTAACGCGTCATGCAAAAGCCAGTTGTGGCGATTCGGGCCTGAAAACCCAGGTGTGGAGACAGCACGGATGAAGACTGGCCTGCGGAGCCAGGAGACTCAAAGTGGAGCTGTGGCTCAAGTGGTAGAGCACTAGCCTTGAATAAAAAAGTTAAGGGACAGCACTCAGGCCCTAAGTTCAAGCCCAGGATTGGCACCAAAAAAAAAATTTCATTCAACCTGTGCACTGGTGGCTCATGCCACTAGTGCCAGGACAATAAAAAAAAAAGGAAATAATCAGTGTTGCAAATAATTGTGTATAAGAAAGTTATCAAATTAAGTCAAGAAGACTTTGACTTAATAAAAACGAAAGTAATTATATCACAAAACTTTGATATACATAAAGCTAAGTGTGGCTTAAATTGAAATAATTAACCAAACAAGCTATTTAGCAATAGTCCTAACACTAGACAAAATTAATTAGGAAGAGAAATTATCTTTATAAATTATAATGATCCCCACAGTAGGAGTGGGCCTGCTACATGTATTAAGGTTGTACTGAAACAAGACCACACTTATCAGCTCACATACTGTCTATACTACTTTCCTGCCACAGAGTGGAATTAAAGAGTTTCAAGGGACTTTATGGCTCATATAGCTAAATAGTTACTCTCTGATAACTAATCATTTTTTAAGCTCATTCCTGACATTCATCATTAGAAACTGATGAGGAGCCAGGCACTGGTGACTCAGACTTATAATCCTAGCTACTAGGCAGGAAAGTCCAGTCCAAGAGCCTCCTATCTTCTATAAACTTCCCCAAGAATCCAGAAGCAGGGCTGTGTCTTAAGTAGTAGAGCATTATCCTTAAGCAAAAAAACATTCAAGAGGGACTGGGAAAGTGGCTCAGTGGTAGAGCGCTTGCCTTGCATGCATGAGGCCCTGGGTTCGATTCCTCAGCACCACATAAGCAGAAAAGAAAAGCCGGAAGTAGGGCTGTGGCTCAAGTGGTAGAGCGCTAGCCTTGAGCTGAAGAGCTGAGGGACAGCACCCAGGCTCAGAGTTCAGGCCCCACGACCGGACCCCAAAAAAAAAAAAATTTAAAAAAAAACACATTCAAGAATAGTGCAAGCCCCTAGGACTGGCACAAAAATAAATAAATAAATAAATAAATAAATAAATAACAACAAAAGAAAACCTCAGGGCCTAGACATAGTCCCTGAGCTTTTTTTGCTCAAGGCTAGCACTCTACTGCTATGAACCACAGCTCACAGACTTTCCCGATAGATTGGCTTCAAACCATGATTTTCAGATTGCACCTTCTTGAGTAGCAGGATTACAAGTGTGAGCCACCAGCACCTAGCTCAGAATTTACTTAAAGGCCACAGAAACCTTCAGCCCTGCTCATCAGATTCTGGTAATATTTCTACATACAATCATCCTAGTGCGAACAACTGGAGACATTTTATTCTACATAGTAAGAAATACAGAAGAAAAAAAAACAGTTTGATTCAACACAAGATTCAGACTTCTGAAATAATCACCTTTTTGCTTCCTTGAAAGGATAGGGCTGCATGAAGAACCCCCTCCGGCTGTAAATCACACAGAGTGACAGGAGAGAGTAAAGTAACAAGCTGTTAAAATCTAGAAGAAATTTAAAAATCTTCAAAAAACTTGATTTACCCTTAAAACTAGTAAGAATGTGAGTGAATATATTTCTATAGGAAGTGCAGAAATTCCACAGTTCGACATTTTAAACTCAGGATGAAAATTATACCAAAATCCAAATACACAGTTCTAATAATCTGACTAAAATTTCAAAAGAGGTCAGACTGCACATAAAAAGCCAAATTAAAAGTATCAGAGAACTCAGATAATCGTCACATATGTAAGAACCAAATATAAATTAGCTTTCACTAGAAGCAATCATTAAAGTTGAGTAATTGCTCTCCTTGGTTATGAGGTAAGCTTTCCAGAGTAAGGCGACTTCAAAGGGCAAGTGGCTACGATGGACTAACATCTTCCACTCAAAAACTCACTTTCTGCAGTCAAGTCAAGGAAAGTTAGGAAACCAGGCTTTAAATGCTTGAGTTCATTCTATCACCTAACTTTCTAAACCCTAGTTCTCCTTTTTGCAAAAAAAGGATTTTAAATTTGGGCAAGAAACCAGGTGCTGACTGCTCAGCACAGCACAGCCCCACAACGCAAGAGGGTCCCAAGCATTAATTAGTGCTCAGTTGCTGATAAGCAGACCTTGGCTGAGAACGCACCTAGAAGTTCCACAATGCTCCCGCTGCGGTCTCGGCCCTGGGCCTCCTCTTGAGCTGCAGCTAGCTGTCCAAGCCCACCTGGCATGGTCAGTGCCTGCAGCAGGTCCGGCGGTGGGGTGCGGAAGAGCTGCTGTAGGAGCTCCAGTGCTCCTGTCACCACATTGTGGTCTTGGTGTTGCGTGTGATGCAAAGTCAGTTCATATACCTAGACGCAGAGGCACAGGTCTTCAGTCATGGTTTTTAAAACATGTTCCATATTTCACCTTGCTTTATTTTTACAGGTCTTGATTGGCAAAGCTTGTGCTTTAATTTCTCCCTTAAAAACTCCTCTGTCATTTCTACTGGTGTTTATTAACATCCACATTGTATTCTAAATGCACATGATTTTTTCCCTTGGTACACTAATTCCTTAGACATAAATGGAGCACATCTACTAAACATGCTAAAGTCAATCTGCTTTTTCCAACACTGAGAGTAAGAAAGGAAATGTGCCCAGCTGGCACCAGGTAGGCAGTCAATGCTGGAAACATGATTCTGAGAAATTTAAAGACACATCAAATTTTATTTTGATAAAATTAAAAATTGTAATACTGTTAACATTATATACAGATTTATTCTTTTTCCCTTTAAGAGTTGCCAGATAAAATGTAGACACAGTGAAATCGGAATTTCAGTTAACACAATTGTGTGATTTGGAACAATACTCACTGCAAAATTACTATTCAAAATTCAAATTCCACTGATATCCTGAATTTTCATTTGCTAAGTTTGCCAACTATACTATTAGTATAAAAGTATACATGCTTTTAAAGTCAGTGTAAAAGAGTTTTAAATAAACAGTCAAAGAAAGCTGCCTTAACCCTTTGGTTTTAGCTCTTCTGCTGCAGCCTCCGCAACCCTACTCACAGCTGACAAACTGCAGTCCACAGGTCACATACCGCCTGCAACTGAAATGTCACTGGTACATGGCATGTTCATGGGCTGTCTGTGACTCTTCTGCCCTATAATGGTAGAGATGGCATGACTTGCAAAGCTAAGGGCCTTTCTGAAGATGCTTTTGGACTCTGCTTTAGGATATCAGCTTACAGCTCAACGCTGGAGGTATGCTCTGAGCAGTCAGGAGGAAGAGCCCAGCCACATTCCTTTCTTTTGCCCCACCTGCACTGTTAGCACCAGCACTGCTTCTTCCTCTTTACCACATTCACGTTTCCACATAACACTATTTAAAGTTGGTGTCCTCCATAGAGAAATTGAGTCTAAAAAAGTCAGTTAAGCCAGGCGCTGGTGGCTCATGCCTGTCATCCTAGCTACTCAAGAGGCTGAGATCTGAGTATCACGGTTCAAAGCCAACCGGGCAGGAAAAATCCATGGAACTCTTATTTCCAATAAACCACCAGAAAACGGGAAGTGGTGCTGTGGCTCAAGTGGTAGGGTGCTAGCCTTGAGCTGAAGAGCTGAGGGACAGCACCCAGGTCCAGAGTTCAAGCCCCAAGACCGACCAAAAAAAAAAAAAAAAGCAATACGTATATTATCAGGTTATATAAAATCACTCACTAGAAAGCCTGTTAACGTGATAATCAAAAGGAAAAGTTTCATTCATTACTAAGTACAGCTTAAAAAGAAAAGGATTCAATAGTAATTCTTTGATTATAAATTATCTTAAAATTATTATACATTTTATTTTGCTTAAATTGTAAGTTTTTTGTGAATTTCACTGGTTTTCTTCAAGTTCTTTATTGTGTCCCACCTTCTCTGCTAACAATGTAGGCACAGGCCTCACTTTATCCAGCTTCTGAGTCATAATATTTATTGTTGGGAATTCTTGGAGTTCCTAATCTGAATTACATGTTATACAACAACCAGCTTAAGAATGGCTTTTAGCACATTTCTATGTAGGATTCTTTATTTTATTGCACTTATTTCTGGTACATTTCCTCAAACATTTTTCTTCAGAAAGCATGTAAGAAATATTCAGAAGCCAGGCACCAGTGGCTCACACCTGTAACTAGCTACTCAGGAGGCTGTCATCTGAGGATCCACAGTTCAAAGCCAGCCTGGGCAGGAAAATCCGCAAGACTTTTATCTCCATTAATCACCATAAAAAAAAGCTCAAGTGAAGCTATGGCAAGTGGTAGAATGCTAGCCTTGAGCAAAAAAAAGCTTAGGGACAGCTCTAGGCCCTAAGTTCAAGCCCCAGGATTAGCACCAAAATAAGAAAGAAAGAAGGAAAGGAAGGAAGGAAGGAAACAAAGAAAGAAAAAAACAAAGAAAGAGAACAACATCCAGAGTTTCTATCAGGCTCCCACTGTCTCTATTTGCCCATCACTGCCTAGTACTGCACCCTGTCCAGACCAGCTTACTATGTCATGGATTCAAGAAGCAGATATTGTACTTAAAATGCTTGCTATTGCATCCTTAGCCCCAGTCTGATGGAGAGCACACGGTGAACACTCAGAGAATGGATGAGCACTCTTCATGACCCTTGCTTTTATAGATGTGTACCTGGTGCAAGCTGAGAGGCATAGGTGATCCAAGACCTATGCATCGCTCATGACCATGTGGACCTGAGGAAGCTGCAGGTCCGAAGCCGACCCCTGGAAGTCCAATCCTGGTTCCCACAGCTATCAGTTCTGTGCCTCCTGTCCAAGTTAGTGGAGTTACCACTTGTTCATCCTTGCAGCACAAGACTATAGGGTGTGGCTCCTACCTGGACAAGCTGCTCAGCAGAAGGAGAGACTTCCATTTCTTTCCGTGTCACCCCAAAGCTGCCTTTCAGGCTTGTGTCCTTGACCTGCTGCTGTAGTAAAGGTACCAGATACCTCAATGTGAGCAGCACGCCGAGGATCAGGAGTGTGGAGTGCTCTTCCTCCACAGGTACCAGCAGACCTACAAAGGCAGCCAATGTGATTTCTTAGCAGCTAATTTGTGGCTCAAAGAGCTGCAGCACTGGGGCTGGGAAGGTGGCTCAGTGGTAGAGCGCTTGCCTTGCATGCCTGAGGCCCTGGGTTCGATTCCCCAGCACCACATAAGCAAAAAAAAAAAAAGCCGGAAGTGGCACTGTGGTTCAAGTGGTAGAGCGCTAGCCTTGAGCTGAAGAGCTGAGGGACAGCGACCAGGCCCAGAGTTCAGGCCCCACGACCTGAAGAGGTGCAGTACTCTTTGATAAAAAGGGGAGATCCAGTAGGGCACCAGTGGCTCACGCCTGTAATTACTCAGGAGTCTGAGATCTGATGATCACAGACAGCTCCAGCAACAGAGTCTGTGAAACTCGTATTTTCAATTAAGCACCAAAAAAGCCCTAAGTGGAGCTGTGGCTCATGTGGCAGAGTGCTGGCCTTGAGCACTCAGGGATAGCGTCCAGGCCCTAGGTTTAAGCCACACACATACACACACAGGCATACACACACACACACACACACACACACAGACACAGACACACACACACACACACACACACACACACACACACACACACACACACACACACACACACACACACACACACACACACACACACACACACACACACACGGAGGGAAAGACCCAGAGGAAAATCCCTCTCTAAGGACAGCAGTAAGGATAAAGATGGTATAGGCATGACTAAAGGCAGGTTGTGTGCCCAGATCTAACACTGGATCTGTAGGACAGCCCTGTCTTTAAGCTTACTGAAGACCTTACAGTGAACATAATTACATCTGAAAGTCCGGAAGTTTTTTTGTTTTGTTTTGTTGGTCGTGGGGCTTGAACTCTGGGCCTGGGTGCTGTCCCTGTGCTCTTCAGCTCAAGGCAAGCGCTCTACCACTTGAGCCACAGCACCACTTCCAGGAAGTTATTTTATATCAAATGTCAACATGCTCACTCCTGGATCTGCTAATACTACAGGAGAAATGATCAGACCCTACAGAGAACCTATAGGGTGCTGAGGTAGTTTCAGGCCTTACAACTAGAGGGGCGGGCCAGGAAGGCAGGCGGGGCTGTACTCCACCTGGATGGAGCTCCTGCATGGTTGCGGCGATCACACATGGGCTCATGCCAGCCTCTGCATAGCTCATTATTTAGTAGGCACCCAGTGATAAGTCACCTGATTCAGCAATGACTTGATTTTTTTTTGTTGTTGTTGGTCGAGGGGCGTGAACTCTGGGCCTGGGCGCTGTCCCTGTGCTCTTCAGCTCAAGGCAAACGCTCTACCACTTGAGCCACAGCGCCACTTCTGGTTTTCTAGTGGTTTGTTGGAGATAAGAGTCTCATGGAGTCTCCTGCCCGGGCTGGTTTTGAACCTCGATCCTCAGATCTCAGCCTCCTGAGTAGCTAGGGATTATAGGTGTGAGCCACCGCTGCCCAGCTTGATTTTTTTTAAATACTGGTATTAGGGCTTAAATTCAGGCCTCAGTGGCTTTTTCAATAAAGACTAGAACTCTACCATTTGAGCCACACCTCCAGTTCTAACTTTTTTGCTAAGAGTCTCACCAATATGTCTGCCCAGGATGGATTTAAATCCTGATCCACAGATCTCAGCCTCCTAAGTAGCGGGTTTCAGGCTGGTGTGAGCCCACTGGTGCCAGCTTATGGTTCTCAAGTCTATTTTGAGTACAGCCAGAGGCTGGGTTATCCACACGCCTCACCCTTACCTAGGAGCACATTCAGAAGCCAGCTGTAGAAGTACTGAGTCCTCCTGGAGTGCTGGCAGATACTCACTGCAGAGCCAGCTGCGGTGCGACGGACAGTGGGGGAATTTGATTTCAGATTTGCTATGAAAGCCTTTAACAGGACCTGTGAAGGCAAAAACCCCAACAAACGAAAGATGCTACAATGAGGGTCATCGTGTGTCCCCTACAACTAGGCTTGAATGTAGAGCTTCAAGTTTTTCCAGAGTATATATTATAAACAAGTAAGACTTTCTTTCAGAAATGAATGAATCAAAGTCAGAAGCAGCTGACAAGCACATGGTCTATTTGCTTTTCTGTACACTGCATTAGACTTGTTCGGCATGTATGTCCTGTCTATGATAACTGAGGCCTCCATATCCAGGGAAGGTACACTCACAGAATTTGGGGACACCTATATAAAAACATCAGACCGAGCCAGGTGCTGGTGGATCATACCTATAATCCTAACTCCTCAGGAAACTAGGATTCAAAGCCAGCCCAGGCAGGAAATTCCATGAGACCCTTACCTCCAATTAACCAGCAAAAAGCTTGAAATGGGGAACTGTGGCTCAAGTGGCAAAACACCAGCCTTGAGTGAAAAAGCCAAATAAGCACACAAGTTCCCTAGTTCACGCCCCAGTTACTGGCATGAGCGCGCGTGTGCACACGAGTGTGTGCGCATGAGCACGCACATGCGCACACACAATCCTATCCGAAAAGTAACTAAAGTCAAAAGCTAGAGATCTTATCTCAGTGTTAGAGCATTTATCTGGCAAGTACAAACTTCAAAGTGCAAAACCCAGTACCTCAAGAAATATGGTGGTAAATATCATACATCTAAGACATAGAATTAAGGCAAATAGAAAAGGAAAATCATCTTTGTTTATAATCTTTTTGCTGTTCCTAGATTTCATTGATAATACATTTGAATGAGCACAAGTGGATTGGAAGGGCAGGGGAATATTTTTTTTTTTCAGTAATGCTAAAGGCCCAAGAAAGTAGTACAGTAATATGGCTATTCTACTTTTTTTTTAAAAAAGGGGGGTGGTGAAAGAGGGAGAGGGAATGAATGAAAGAAAGCAGGGAGGGAGGGAGGAAGGAAAGGAGGGAGGGAGGAAGGAAGGAAGACAAAAGCCAGATGGCAGTGGCTCACACCTGTAATCGTAGCTTCTCAGGAGTCTGAGATCTAAGGGTCACAGTTTGAAACCAGCCTGGGCAGGAAAGTTCATGAGATTCTTATCTCCAGTGAACTTCTAAAAGGTCAAAAGTGGAACCGTGGCCAAAGTGGTAGAGCACTAGCCTTGAGTAAAAAATGCTCGGGGAGGAGAGGGGAGGAGAGGGGAGGGGAGGGAGACAGAGTACTTGGCACAATTTTACTAGAATGTGATACAAATCATAGAGAAAAACAGAAAACTTAAATTACCCAGTGAAATGTTATCCCCTGCCTGGTCTCTGCACTGACACCAGTTCTCAAAGAAGCACCTGCTCCCTCCCAAAAGGCCCCATGAGCAGGTGGCTCATTGAGCGTCACAATGCTCATGTTCTGCAACTGCAGGAGCCTCCACGGCCAGGAGGGAGCAACAGAAATAGCAGCACTAGCAGCTCCCACTGACTGAGCAAGATGACTGGGTTACTACATTAAATTCTTAACATACATGACATCCTTTGCTTACTCCAAAGCCCATGAAATTGGCTTTTAACATCATGTTAATATTAAAAGAGAACCTTGAGATACAGAGAAAAAAAATCATGAACCAGGCTGGCCAATTTAGTCAGGTTACCAGCAAAGAGTGCAGAATTCCAATGCAATTCCATCGGACTCCAAAAAGTGTTCTCACCACTGCACTCCCAGCCTTCCAGGAGAACTGTGCAGCTCAGGACTGAATGCAAAAAAGGAGAGCAAGGGTCCTGCATGCACTTCACAGGCCGTGTGACAACCACAGTTCCTAGACACCACAAGCAATAAATCAGAACAAGTTTGGAGGTTGTCTGCTGCCACGCAGGTGCTGGCGCTTGTGGGCATAACACCCAAGAGCTGCTGCCACTCTGAGGGCTTGGTGCTGACTCTCCTCAACCAAGCTGAGCCGGAACTCAACTTCTCTGGAAAAATGTGCTTTGAATTTACATTTATAAACCATCTCTTTTCTTCACTTCACCCCATAATAAAAAGCAGAAGTGGAAGAAAACTCCTGGGGTGCCTGAAAACTACACAAGACAGTGGTGTGGCAAATCAGGAAGCCAACTTGCCTTGCCGTCATTACTGTATGACTCAAATGACTGCCAGCCAGTGCCCCCAGGAGTCCCATTTGTACATTTTCAACCTGAGATGGCAATCATACCTTAATTTCATTGTCATTTGCAAAATTGCCAAAAGAAGCCATAATTTTGGGAATAGCTGCAGCCAAGGTCTCCTGGACCGATTCCTCGGGTCTCTTGCTTGTTCGAGTTAAGCATGGCAGGAGATTCACCAGGTAAGGCCTAAATGTGCAAGAGGAACATTGGTCATTCTTCAGGTCTCCTATAATGAAAAATACAAACACTTGGCTTTCTATTAGGAAAAACACGGTTTTATAAACAAGTAATCCTTAATAGAAACAAAACAGTACTCAGATAAAAGAACAGCAAGCTTCAGTGCAGACTGGGGTTACCCACCCCTCATCTCTCCCATAATCAGAGGACAGTAAGAAACTGGGTTTAGTCAGGTGCTGATAACTCACATCTTTAATCCTAGCTGTTCAGGAGGCTGAGATCTGAGCACAAAGGTTTGAAGTCAGCCCAAGCAGACAAATCTTATCTCCAATTAACTAGCATAGTGAAAAGCCAAAAAGTGGAGCTATGGCTCAAATGGTAGGGCACCAGCTTTGAGCAAGAAAGTGAGAGGACCTGAGTTCAAGCCCCAGTGCTGGTGCCTGAGCCATGCACGCGCACACACACACGCACAAACACACACACAGAATCCAGACTTAGTTATAGTAAATTGTAAGTTATTAAAGTTATTAAAATGCCCCTATTTTGATTCAATAATATCAGAAAATACTACTTTAAAAACATATTTTTAAATACATGAATTTTTAAATACATGAATAAAGCTTTCTTAAAAAAGAAACAATACAAAATAGAAAAAAAAAAAAGTGTTCAAACCTAACTAAATGAGGCCTTTTAGAGACAATCTGACCTTGGAAAGAAAAAAAGGAAGCCGTGAGACATTTGAAGACTGAGACACAAGACAGAGTCAAGCCTGGGACTGAATCCTTGGCCCAGCCACAGAGGTCCCTGCAGCAAGGGACCTTCTTCCTTCAGTGGTGAGACAGGTGGCCGGCCAGCAAGGCCACAGGCAGTACTGACTGCTTTTGTGACAAAAACAGCAAAGAAAAAAATAAACAGGGAAGCGAGAGGACCTTTCCAAGATGACTTTTTACTGAGACCTGAAAGGAAAACTAAACCAGCCATCTGGAAGAAATTGAACTTGTTTAATGGACTAAAATCAAGCCAATGAACCTTGGCCGGGGGCGGGGGGGTGGGGGAAGGAGGGGAGTCCCGAACCTAAAATTTTACCTGGCTGGTACTAAGAAGTAAGAAAATGACAGGCGCGTGCATATGTGAACACACACACACACACACACACACACACACACACACACACACACCACACACACATACACACAATATGTGTTCTTTTTTTTTTGTCGGTCGTGGGGCTTGAACTCTGGGCCTGGGCGCTGTCCTTCAGCTCTTCAGCTCAAGGCGAGCACTCTACCACTTGAGCTACAGCGCCACTTCCGGTTTTTTTTTCTGGTGGTTTATTGGAGATAGGAGTCTCACAGTCTTTCCTACCCGGGCTGGCTTTGAACCTCAGATCTCAGCCTCCTGAGTAGCTAGGATTACAGGCGTGAGCCACCAGCGCCCGGCTAATATGTGTTCTTTTTATAGTACTAGGGATTGAACTCAGCGCATCGTCACCTGAGCCACTCTCCAGTCCTTTATGCTAGTAGTATGTTTTCCAGACAGGGTCTCCTTCTGCCTGGACTGACCTTAGATTGTGATCTCACGATCGGCCCCCATTCTAAGTAGTTGGGATTATAGTCATGTCCCACCACACCTAATCACAATTATATATTCTTATCGTCACTTTGGCTGCTATGTAGTAAACTTGGGATGCACTGCTTCAGAAATATAATAAAGTTTTTAACTAAGGATAATTAGGCTTAGAATGTAGCTCAGTAGTGGAGTATACACTCACCATGCTCAAGGTCTTAGGCTCCATTTCCAATAAAAATAAACAAGTAAGGTAGTCAAAGGAAGGCTTTTATAAAAATAAACTTCCTAAAGCAAGTCCCAGTGACTCACATCTTTAATCCTAGCTACTCAGGAGGCTTACTTAGGCACACAAATTCTCAAGAATCTTACCTTTAATTAACCAGCAAAAAGCTGGAACTGAAGGTGTGGCTTGAGTGACAGGAGTGCCTACTATGAGGGAAGAAAGCCTAGCAGGGGCATGAGGCCCAGTTCCAGCCCCAATACTGGTGCACACACATACACACACACAGAGCTTACTTAATGATTGTATCTTTGTGGTCATACAAGGTTAACACTGAAACAACAATGTCAAAAGGATCACTATTTTATGTTAACAATGAGGATTCAGCCCGCTCTACCAGTTTCTCTGGGATGGAGCCAAGGGTCTCTGGGATGTGAGCATGCTTTGACCAGTTAAGGAGAGAAAGAAGGACTTGATTTGATTTTTTTCTTTTTTTAAAAAAAGGTCCTACTTTGTTTCTCAACTCATTAAGGCAGAACTGTTTCAAGTAGTTAAAACTTGATGCACATCTCAACATTTATCCTTTCAATCAACACATTATTTGTTTTCTAGTAATTCCTACAGTTTGTGAGATGAGACTGGAATCTCAGCCTTCCCTGTTAACAAGTACCTTTAAGCAACTATGACGTGCAGCCAGTGTGCATACATACAGACTGCACACTACAGTGTTGAACAGGACAGTGGGACCCCTGCTAACCTAGAAAACACATTTCCTAAGTCACATGGCAAGATGGACAGAAAACTAACAAGTATACTAATAAAGTATATAAGAATATTCCACATAGGAATGGGTGCTGTGAAGGAAATATAAGCAGAACAAGGCAGCCATTTGGGAGGGGCAGAGTAGGCAACGGGAAACACACTAGATTTAGACAAGGAGGTGTATCTGAAGAAGAGAGATCTGAGCTGAGACATAAAGATCAGCAGAGGCGCTGGGCACCAGTGGCTCTTGCCTGTAATCCTACCTATTTAGAAGGCTGAGATCTAAGGATCACAGTTCAAATCCAACCAAGGCAGGAAAGTCTGTGAAACTCTTACCTCCACTGAACCACCAAAAAATCAGAAGTAGTGCTATGGCTCAAAGTGACGGAATACTAATTTTGAGTGAAAAAGCTCAAGGACAGTACGGGGGGGGGGGGGGGGGGGGGGGGCGCGGAAGTGGAGATGTGGCTCAAGTCACAGAGTACTAGCTAAGTGAGAGCACGAGGCCACATTTAAGCACCAGTACTGGCATCATAAAAAATAAAAGCTGAGCTAGGCACTGGTGGCTCATGCCTATAATACTAGCTACTAAGGAGGCTGAGATCTGAGGACTGAGATTCAAATCCAGCCCAGGAAGGAAAGTCTATGAGACGTTTATCTCCAATAAACCACCAGAAAACCACCAGAAGTAGTGCTGTGGCTCAAGTGTAAAAAGTGGCTGTGAGCAGCAAAAAAGCTAAGGGGTAGCACCCAGATGCTGAGGCAAGCCCCAGTACTGGCACAATAAACAAACAGAAGTACAACTTACCTGCATTTCTGAGGTCGAACCAGGTGAGCCAGCTCAGCAAACCTCCAAAGGGCAGCACGCAGACTTCGAGGGGCCCCATTCTGAGTGCATTATTAAATGCAACAAGTTACATTTAAGAGTCACATGCACTTGTCAGCAGAAGGGCAATGTGTAAACAAAGATTCTCTTTACTCCTATTTTCAGAGAGGAGGCTAGTTGCGTAAAACATCTGGTTTTAGACAGACGGCTTCAATTATAAATATATATATATATTAAAAAGTTAAGTTAACCTTTTAAACTTTCATCTAATAAAATGAAGAATAAGCTTCCAGAGAAAAGCAAAACAAAGTCTCCTTTTCAAACAGCATTTTCTCATAATTTTTTCTTATTAACTTCAAAATTAAATTTTAAACATACAGTTGCATTCAGTGTTAAAATATCATCTTTATGACAATGGAAAATAAAGGCCTACCTTTTTAATTTCCTTATAGAGTTCTAACTGTAGCCTTGGCAGATTAGAATCCATCAAAGCCTACAAGGAGACAGAAATAGGGCTGAGAATGTGGCAAAGTGGTAGAGTGCTTGCCTAGCCTGCATGAAGCCCTGGGTTTGATTCCTCAGTACCACATACACAGAAAAAGCTTGAAGTGGCACTGTGGCTCAAGTGGCAGAGTCCTAGCCTTGAGTAGAGAGAGGCTCAGGGACAGAGCTCAGACCCTGAGTTCAAGCCCCAGGACTGGCCAAAAAAAAAAAAAAAAAAAGAGAGGATGATACATTCATGGACACTTACTTGTGGTTCTAAAGGCAAGCAAAATTTGAACTTGGTGGCAAAGTCAACTAGAATAGCAACTAAATTGGAAAACTATTCCTTCCTTCCTTCTCCAACCCCCAGCACTGCCTCTTTTGAACTCAAGGACTGGCTACTTTCCCTGAGCTCTTCTGCTCAAGCACAGTGTTCCTACTGTTTGAGCCACAGCTCCAGTTCTGGGATTTCTGGTAACTAATTGGAGATGAGCATCTCACTGATTTTCCTGCCCAGGCTGGCTTCAATCATGATTCTCAGTAGTAGCCAGGATTACAGGGGTGAGCCACCAGAGCTCAGCTGAAAACTATTAAGAAGCAAATGTAGGCAGAAATTACTGGACATACTTGACATGAGTCACTAAAAAGAATTTAACCTTTATCAAAATCAAATACTGCATAACAAAATTAAAATTAAAGCTCTCATAGTAAACCTTCACTAGATGACACCAATTCAGGTGACAGGCTACAAAGTGAGAAGTGTGAAACAGGCCAAAGATGACCATACACACCGGTCCCAAGCCCTTCGCTCCACCAGGTAACACTTAAGACTCAGGATCCTCCGTCCTTCCCGAAAATCTGGGCCTCCTCTCTGGTAGGGATGCTCACAGCCTCCCCACGCCACAGTCTATGCTACTGAGAAGCTTCATGGTCCTCAAAGCTCTTTCTTGCCCTCCCTGCTCACTTCAGGGCTAAACCAGAAATAAGGTCCTGGCAGCCTCCTGGTAACCAAGGCTAACAGCTCTTGTCCTACTCTGGTCCTCTTCTAAAATGGCACTGCAAATGTGTGTTCATTGCAGAGGACAATGTGACCCAGCCTCCTTGCCACCGGGACATGCACACCCTGCCACTGAAACTCAGCTCCTTCTGACATGCCAGGTACATGCAAATACCCCGACCCCAAACCACACACCACAACCAGAGTCACCCAGACATCCTGACACACTCAAGACAGAGGAAGTATGAAACGAAGGCTTCTTTGCTTAGCTCTTACTTTTATAACTTTGTTGAGGCATTCATCAGCCACCATCCTGACATCTGACTCCGCATCATCACTACACAGCAGAAAAAGTTCCATAGCGATACCCAGAAGTTTCTGAAATTCTGGAGAATTTCTAAAGTATAAAAAAAGAAAAGACTGTCACAGCCAAGAGGAACCTACAGAGAGACATGATGACAAAATGAATAAAGTATCCAGAATTCTGCATGCAATTCTGAAATACAAAAGGGACATTACATGAAAATTAATGGCTTTAATAGCTCATCAGTATTGATTGTGAAAAATATAATCCTCTAATGTAAAATACTAAATGGGGCAACACTTTCTCTTTCTTGTTAGTATACATTAGCTATACACAGAGGGGGGGTTGTGTTGTGACATTTCCATGCATGTGCTCAACATATCCAATCCCCTCCCCACTCCATTACTCTCCACTGTCTCCACTCCCCAGGTCCTAATATAATTTCAAGAGCTTCATTGTTCTTTCTTCATATTTCCCAGGCTCCATCCCTTTCTGGACAATATTCATCCTCTTTTACTCTCATTAGCCCAACAGAACCAGTTTCTCTCTCCCGTTCCTTCCCCACAGACTATTAACAGCCTTCATTCAAGTTCTTTTTTTTTGGGGGGGGGGAGGGTCCGGTCGTGAGGCCTGAACTCTGGGCTTGGGCACTGTCCCTCAGCTCTTCAGCTCAAGGCTAGCACTCTACCACTTGAGCCACAACACACACCTCTCCCCATGGGCTTCTCTCCAGAAATAGGGTGGGGCAGCCTTTGAGGTGCCATTTGTGATCTGGCCTTTATACCCTGGTTGGTTGACCCAGTCTGTGGCTTGGAAGAAATGCCTGAGGCCTCACATAGCCAAATGACAATCCTGGTCCTTGAGCAGGCTGGAGGGTGCAGAGCAGGTAGCTGGACTGGAAGGAGGGAACCTCTTCATCCACACCTTCATCTGTGGAGTCCTGAAACTCAGCCATAGCACATACCTGCAGAGTGCCAGGGGCCTCCACCCCAGGAAGAGATCTCAGAGAATCCTCTCCCTAGCTATTGTGAGGCAGGGAACACTCAGGGAAGCCTTAGAAGTGGGTCCTATTTGGCCACATCTATTGAACAGAAGTCAGGGCCAGGGGTCAAGGTGACTATGAAGACTAGAGGTCAACATGAGGCCAAGAGTTAAGAATTTGTCCATGTACAATTTGTCTCTGGGTGAGTTAAGGAAGGGTCAGGCTGGGGCCAGAATTTGGCATGCTCTTGCAGAGTGAAAGTGGAGTTATTTTCTGTGTAAATCAAACTGCTCCACCCAATTACTCTCAGATTCATAGGAATCACCAGGCTGAAATTACTGAATCCCTGAAATAGAGGTCTGCCTTCTCCCATTTCTAGCTATAGACTCTGCCCAGACCTAGTTTCAGGAGCTAGCTTATCCTGAGCCCCATGATCACATTCTCCTTTAATGTTTTTGGGGGTGTGCATGAAGAGGGACCCTAAAGATACACAGGAGTGTGTGACTTCTTGTGTGGTTTCCACACTGTTCTACCTCTGTTTCTCAGGGAATCCAAGGAAACTTCGACTTTAGCATAAATTGACTCAGTTCCTACTTCCTTCCCAGTTAACTCAGGATGAGTAAGATGAAATTCTCAGTAAAACCAAACATTAACAAGTGAAAATACAGCAACCAGGGCTGGGAAGGTGGCTCAGTGGTAGAGCACTTGCCTTGCATGCTTGAGGCCCTGGGTTCGATTCCTCAGCACAACATAAGCAAAAAGGAAAAAGCTGGAAGTGGCACGGTGGCTCAAGTGGTAGCGCGCTAGCCTTGAGCTGAAGAGCTGAGGGACAGCGCCCAGGCCCAGAGTTCAGGCCCCACAACCGACCAAAAAAAAAAAAGAGAGAGAGAGAGAAAGATAAAGAAAAGAAGGGGTTCAGGCTGGGAAAGTGGCTCAGTGGTAGAGTGCTTGCCTAGCATGCATGAAGCCCTGGGTTCGATTCCTCAGCACCACATACGCAGAAAAAGCCGGAAGTGGCACTGGGGCTTGCTCAAGTGGTAGAGCGCTAGCCTTGAGCAAAAGAAGCTCAGGGACAGTGGCCAGGCCCTGAGTTGCCCAGGACTGACCAAAAAACCCCCACAAAAACCAAAAAGGTGTGGCTGGCTGACTATTAGGAGGCCGCTGGGCAACAGCTGCCTGCAGCCTGCCAACCCCAAATGCAGAGGAGCAGGCTGCAACCACGGGGAGCACAGGTGTCAGGACAAGCACATCTCTGACAGGTGATACTCAACAGAGCTTGGACTGTTCTAATCACTGCAGTAAATGTAAAACTATCAAACCAAACATGACTTTTAGTAGCGATCAAGAGTGCTAATTAAATACAAACATGTTATCTAATTACCATACCGGCTGTAATTCTTGTATGTAAGATTATAAAAAGAAAATATTATTCACTACACTGTCTTAATAGTCTTAGTATACAACCAGAAATATGGATACATAATTCTGTTAATTTCTTTATGATAAGACCTCTTTCAGCTGTCTGTCAAGCTTGATGTCATCTTGCTTCAGCATGACTGCTGGGATTACAGGTGTGCACAACATACCCAGCATTTTTAAAGTATTTCTTAAAAGCAACTGGTGACATAAGATGCAACACGTACAGTTTTTATTCCCTGGGCACCGATGGCTCACGCATTTAATCCTAGCTTCTCAGGAAGCTGACATCTGAGGACTGCCGTTCAAAGTCAGCCCAGGCAGGAAAGTGCAACGCTCTTATTCCAATAAACTACCAGTGGTAGATCGCTAGCCTTAAGCTGAAGAGCTGAGGGACGGCATTCAGGCCCAGAGTTCAGGCCCCACGACCCAGAAAAACAAACAAAAAAATTTAAAAAAAAACCAGAAAGTTCAGAGTACAATTACCTGAGAGATTGTGCCACTATGTTTTCACATATTGTCAGACAATGATTCACCCGGTCTTTTTTGGTGGCTGCAAGTTCCTTCTTTCTAAAAACAAAAAAGACAAAAGGGAAAAGAAATGAAGATGTGCGGAATTACATGCTTCATTTACTTCTACATCCCATCCATTCAATCGGTATTTCTTGTAATGAACCATTACACTCCATACAAGGAGGCAGCGATGGGTTCCCCAAGGGCTTCCTAACCATGACACACCACAAAAAAATCAGGCAATGCCACAAAAGCAGCTCATGTTCCCCATTTTAAAGACTGACATGCCAAGAGTGAGATGACCACCATCACAAAGACAGGAAGTAACAGATCTAAAAGTGTCCGACTTTATTTTTACCAATTCACAGTTGTTCTGTATGTCAACTCCACTGACACTTCTTACAACCAATAGCATGTCATGTGAATTAGGGACATTTCTTCTTTCTCAGAAGGACAGATGGTTATAGTACAGGTTAACATTACATGGGGCGTCAACTCAATGAAGCACAATATACCTATATGTATCAACCTGTCTTCATTTCTCAAAAACTGCACTGTTGACTGACTTCAGTTAGCATACAATATAGCCTCCCTGCAGTGTAGGCAGTGGCTAGTCACTTCTATATCCCCACACAACAAAAAATAAGCTTCTGTTAAGACATGAATGAACAGCCTGGTCAAGCTTCAGCAGGGCGCTAGTGGCTCACACCTGTAATCGTAGAGGCTGAGACCTGAGTATCACAGTTCAAAGACAGCCTAGGCAGGAAAGTTCTTGAGAATCTTATCTCCAATAAACCACCAAAAAACCAGAAGTGATGCAGTGGCTTAAAGTGGTAGAGCACCAGTCTTGAGCAAAAAAAGAGCTCAGGGACATGCCCAGGCCCTGAGTCTAAGCCCCACCCAGGACAAAAAAGAATAATTTTTAAAAAGTGCTTCCTTCCCATTCAACCTATGACTTCAGATAGCCTCAAACTCAAAGTGAGGCAGAAGAGAAATATACAAAAGGGATACTAAGGGAACAAGGAAACTGAAGAACATTAAGTTCATTATTTTTTGGTAAGGGGGAGAGAACAGGAAAAATTCTAATACCAATGAAATTAAAAAAAAAAACTTAGGTTGCACTGTGACTATTCTTAATGCAATCCTCAGGCTTCTAAAAATACACAGAAAATAAAATATGGCCACATGTGGCCATAGAGGAACACACTCAAACAAGAACTCCAAAAGGGGAAATAGGAGTCAAGATCAGGCAGGGATTCGCAGTGAGGAAGGAACCAGGGCCTGAGCATCACTCTCAGAGAAGAATTCAGTGTCAACAGCAGCCCAGTTAGTGTGTTTCCCTTTACACCCTTTCCCAAAAGAATTTTTTTTTTTTTTTGGTCAGTCATGGGGCTTGAACTCTGGGCCTGGGCGCTGTCCCTCAGCTCTTCAGCTCAAGGTGAATGTTGTACCACTTGAGCCACAGCACCAGTTCCAGTTTTCTGGTGGTTCAGGAGGTAAGAGTCTCACCGACCTTCCTGCCCAGGCTGACTTTGAACTGCGATCCTTAGATCTCAGCTTCCTGAGTAGCTAGGATTACAGGTGTGAGCCACTGGTGCCTAGCAAGAAGAGATTTTTTTAATTGAAACGTTATATTGCAGAATACTGGTCATCCATAAAACCCCATTATTTGCTCCTTAAAGACACATGCCCTACCCCTGTTCCTGTTAGAAAGCCCTTCAGCCCAAGCCAGACATGGGGGTTTACACTTGTAATCCTAGCTACTTAGAAGGCAGAGATTGGGAGGGTTACTGTTTGAGGTCAAACTAGGCAAAAAATTTATGTGACCCGCGTTCCATTTCAACAAGTTGAGTATGGTGGCAGATGCATGTCATCCCAGCTAGATGGAAGCATAAATAGCTGGGTCATCCTCCATGCCAACCCTGTCAAAAACTCAAGACCCTATTAGAAAAATTATTGAAGCAAAAAGAATTGGGGGTATGGCTCAAGTGGTAGAGCTCCTACCTAGCAAGTATGAGGCCTTGATTTCAAATCTCAGTTAAAAAAAAAAAAGCAGGGCACTGGTGACTCACAGCTGTAAACCTAGCTACTCAGGGAGCTGAGATCTGAGGATCTCCAGCAGGGATGGGCAAATTCAAACAAGCAAAAAGTCAGAACTGGAGGTGTAGTCAAGTGGCAGAGCCAGTCTTGAACAAAAAAGTTGAGCAAGATTGTGCGACCCTGAGTTTAAGCCCCGGTGTGTACGTTTACACACACACACACACACACACACACACACACACACACACATACACACACCGAGTCATCTTGTGCCTGGCATCCTGGCATCTAGCTACAGACACATGACCTAGTCCCACAGATGCAGTAGAACACTGTGACGTGTAATTCCTATCTAACTTGCTTTCCTTGGGTGTCTCCCTCCTTCATCATCTTCTAATCAGAACAATCATGCCTCATACCCGGCATGTTATACAGATAAATTGAATGGAAAAATTGCAAAGCAACAGAAAAAATGGCCATCAGAAGCTCAGGCCACCAATACCTGACATCCTCATGATGTCTTGTGAGGGGGCTGGAATGTGGCTTAATGTTAAAGTGCTTGACTAGCATGCATGAAGCCCTGGGTTCAATTCCTTAGTACCAAATAAACAGAAAAGGCCAGAAGTGGTGCTGTGGCTTAAGTGGTAAAGTGCTAACCTTGAGCAAAAGAAGCTCAGGGACAGTGTCCAGGCCCCAAGTCCAAGCCCCATAACCAACAAAACAAAATGAGAGACATGGAAAGCTGAGGGGTGGGGTAAAGAACTTCTTTAAATTCTGATTATGACAATCACATGCTTTTTTCATTTGGGAAAAGTCATAGAATTCTACATTGAAAAAGAGCACATTTTACTGCATTTTAAGGGAAAAATGTAATGAAAATAAAATGTTCTCTGTAATAAATCAAAAAAGACACAAAGAAATGGAAAGACCTCCCATGTACATGGATAGGTAGAATTACTATAAATATGGCCAAAGGCAATCCTCAGGTTCAACACAATCTCCATCAAAATGCCAAGATAGAGAAAAAAGCAAAAACAAAAATTCATATGGAACTACAAAAGTCCTCAAACAGCCAAAGCAATTTTAGGCAAAATAAGTAATACTAGAGGTTTCACAATTCCAGACCTCAAACATTACTACAGAGCTATATAACAAAAACATCTTGGTACTGGCATAAAAACTGGCCCAAAGACCAATCGAGTAGACTAGAAGACCCAGAAATAAACCCGTATACTTACAATCACATGATATCTGACAAGGTAGCCAAACATATACAATGGAAAAAAGACAGCATCCTCAATAGAGTTGGAAAAAGTGGACATCCACATGTAGAAAACTAACATTGGATCCCTATTTGTCACCATGCACTAATATCAACTCAAAGTGCATCAAGGACCTCAACATCAAACCTGAAACTTGGGAACTCCTGCAAGATGAAGTAGGAGAAGCATTAGAACTTATTGGCATAGGCAGGAACTTTTTTAAGAGTCCAGGGAACAGCAGTTAAGGAGAGAGACTACATAAATGGGGCTCAAACTAAAAAGTTTCTATATAATAAAGAACAGTTACAGGGTGGCTTAAGCCTGTATTCCTAGCTATTTAGGAGGCTGAAATCTGAGGATCCTGGTTCAACACGAACCTAAGCAGAAAAGACCTTGAAATTTGTTATCTCCAAGTAAATACCAAAAAAACTAGAAGAGGAGCTGTGGTTTAAGTGGTAGAATACAGCCTTTAGCACAAAAGCTCAGGGACAGTTCCCAGGCCATGAGTTCAAGCCCCAGGCCCAGAACAAAATTTAAAATACACACACACACACACACACACACACACACACACACACACACACACACACACACACACACAGAAAGAGGAAAGAGAGGGGGCGGGGAGAGAACCGGGCACTGGTAGCTCACACCTGTAATCCTAGCTACTCAGGAGACTGAGACCTGAGGATCATGGTTTGAAGAAAGCCTAAGTAGAAAAGTCTGTGAGACTCTTATCTCTAATGAACCACCCCAAAACCAGAAGTGGAGCTGTGGCTCAAAGTGATAGAGCACTATCCTTGAGCATAAATGCTCAGGACAGCACCCAGGCCTGAGTTCAAGTCCCAACCAAAAAAGAAGAGAACTAATACCCTCAAAATACAAGGAAGCTCAAGAAACTAACCCTCCAAAATTATTTTTATTTTTATTTTTTTGGGGGGTGGGGGTCCAGTCATGGGGCCTGAACTCTGGGCCTCGGCGCTGTCCCTCAGCTCTTCAGCTCAAGGCTAGCGCTCTACCACTTGAGCCACAGTGCCACTTCTGGCTTTTTTCTTTTTGCTTATGTGGTGCTGAGGAATTGAACCCAGGGCCTCATGCATGCAAGGCAAGCACTCTACCACTGAGTCACCTTCCCAGCCCCATTCTTCCAAAATTAATAAACCAATCAATAAATGGACAAAAAAGTTAAAGACTTCTCAGAAGAAATAAGAATGGCCAAGAAACACATGAGGAAAATGCTCAACATCTGTGGCCATAAAGGAAATTCAAATCACAACACTGAGATTGTATCTCTCCCCAGCAAGCTCTGCCAGCATTGATAATTCAAACAATAACAAATGCCGGCAGAGATGTAGGGGAAAAGGAACCCTATTACACTGTTGGTGGGAATGTAAACTAGAACAAATACTCTTGGAAGGCTGTTTGGAGATTCCTCAAAATACTAAACATGGAACTACCCTATCACCCAGCCGTACCACTCTTGTGATCCACCTGGAGCATTACAGGCCAGGACATGGCAGACACTTGCACATCCTTGTTCACTGCTGCACTACTCACAATGGCCAAGCATGGAAACACCCGGATGCACTACAACAGATTAGTGAATCAAGAAAATGTGGTACCTATACACAATGGGATTTTACTTATATTATTACATCATTTGCAGGAAAATGGACAAACAGAACAAATCATATTAAGTGAAGTAAGCCAGGCTCACAGAGACAAATGGTACATATTTTTTCTCATATGTTGAAA